AAGGATAGGGAACCAATGGAGTCGGGCGAGAATGGGGGAGATGGGGTCACGGAGTTTGATGCGGGAGAGGACTCGGGCTGCAACAACAGCAATATGCATTTATACAGTGCCCCTCAGGCAGGGTAGTGTCCAAGAGTGCTTGACAGTGGCGGAACGTGACTCCGAACCTGCGAATGCTAGAAATCTGAACAGAAACTAGAAACACAGCTGGAGCAGATCTTAAAAAAGAAATGCCGAGAGCCGTCATCCAAATGAAGACAACTTTCTAAAATTCAAAATGTCAAGATCGTGAGAAATGTCGTGCCTCTGATGCCATCTAGTGACTATATACTACCTACAATTTTGAACCCACCCACCTTTTTAACAACATCCTCTTCAGATACTCATAATAATACTCATCTTCCCAATGACATAATAATAATGTAATAATAATAATAATCAAGCTTATATTTGGTATTGTGCCTTTCAGCGCCTTGGGATGTTGTCCTCCTGACTTGAAAGGCGCTGCACAAATGTAATCTTGTTGTTTCATGTCTCAAAGCGTTTCACAGGATATCCTGAAGTATGGAGGGACTGTATTTTGTGGGGAAATCTGGCAATCAATCCTAATAATCATCAGTCGGAACTTTGAGATCACTTTTGAGCCTAAGTTGATACTCCAGTGCAATACTGGGGAAATACTGCAGTGTTGGAGGTGTTGTTCTTTGGATGGCGCTATATAAATCCAAGTTGCTGTTGTTGGATGCCTCCCTTTCCTCCTTCAAGGCCGGTCTCAAGACCTTTCTCTTTGACTGTGCCTTCAGCTCCCCTCTCGAGTTTCAACCCCCTCCTCGCTCCCTCCCTTCCCTCCCCTCACCATTTCCCCCCAAGGCTCGGGTCCTGACCCAACTGTCCAGCGCCTTGGGACGTCCTCCCGACGTGAAAGGCGCTCTATAAATGGAATCTTGTTGTTGTTGCTGTTGCTGATTGTTAGGATATTCCTACAAGAATTATGTCATCAGAGTTAAAGGATTTGTGAACTGGAAAAGTGAATGGTTTTAATAAGTGGGAGTCCTGTAGCACATCTTCAAGACGTCTCGAAGCGTTTCACAGATTACACTGTCGAGTGTAGCGACTTAGTGTATTTTCTGGGCCGAGTGTACAGTTCATTCATATATTGGTGAGCAAATAAAAAGCGCAGACAGAAGCACTTTTCCAAACCAAGAGAAGTGCCCTTTGAGAATTTCCTTTGCTTAACCATCCCATTTAACTTCCTTCCCTCCTCCCCACCCCTTTCCTCTCCCCCTCTTTCCTCTCCTCCCCATCTCCCCCTTTTCCTCCCCCCACTCCCTCTTTTCCTCCCCACTCTCACCCCCTTTTCCCTCCACTCTCCCTTTTCCTCCCCCCCACTCCCCCCTTTCCTCCCCACTCTCCCCCCCCTTTTCCTCCACTCTCCCCCCTTTTCCTCCCCACTCCCCCCTTTTCCTCCCCACTCTCCCCCTTTTCCTCCCACTCTCCCCCCTTTACCCCCACTCTCCCCCTATTCCTCCCCCCCATTCTCCCCCTTTTCCTCCCCACTCTCCCCCCCTTTTCCTCCCACTCTCCCCCCTTTACCCCCACTCTCCCCTATTCCTCCCCCCCATTCTCCCTTTTCCTCCCCACTCTCCCCCCTTTACCCCCACTCTCCCCTATTCCTCCTCCCATTCTCCCTCTTTTCCTCCCCACTCTCCCCCCTTTACCCCCACTCTCCCCCCTTTACCCCCACTCTCCCCCCTTTACCCCCCACTCCCCCTATTCCCCCCCCCCACTATTCCTCTCCTCATTACAACAGCCCTCCGACTTCTCGAATAAACTGAGAATGTGGGGGTAACTCTCTCTCTCTGTGTCTCTCAGTCTGTGTCTCTCAGTCTCTCCCCCCAATGGAGGGGAAAAAAAAGCGCATTTATCAAACATTCCCCACGTAAACTTTGCGCGAGTCGCCGTCTGATGACGTCGCAGCGAAGTCCATCGCATCCGATGGTCTTCGCGCCGCCGCTGCAGAAGGGTGAGCCTCCGCCTGAGGAAACCAGTGCGGGGGGGAAAGGGGTGGTTCGGATCACTTTTTTGGGGGGGGGGTGGGGTGTGGGTGGGGAGGGAAGGAGTTGTGGTGGTGTGTGGGGGGCGGCGGGGGGGTAGACTGTGAATTGAAAGTCTTGATATAGGGCTTGAACCCACAACCTCCTGACTCAGATTCAAGAGTGTTTTGCTTAAGCATTCTGCCAGTAATGCACGGTTTTATTTTATCGTTCTTCGCTAGGGACTAGGTATGTGCAAGAGAGGCCTACGCAGATTATTTTTCCGGCCCATTTTGCTTCCTTGATTCACATAGCAATGTCCCACAAGCAGCCATGAATTGAATAACCAGTTTTATTTAGGGGATGTTGGCCAGGACTCTGGGAGAAACATACTTCTCTTTTTGAACAGTAGCGTTAAAAAAAAAATTCTGTATCTAATTTTGTTATTTCATGCGGAAAAAGATGAATGGTTTTAACTTCTTTATTGCAATATAATTGGTGAGTCTCTACATAATGCCAATAATTTACTTTACAGAATTCATTCCATGCATGGATAAACTTTTTGATGAATCTGTACTAATTGGCTCAGGATACACAGCTCGGGAAACGCTGAGGTAGGAGATCAGTCAGATGTAATACAATTTTATTTATGGAATAGTACTTGCTTAGTTTGCTTACGCTTGCTCAAATTGGATATTGTCCATATAAAAAACTAGCTGGGTATGGATGAACATTTATCAACATTATTGAAGATTCAATATTTGCCTTTTTTTAATATAAATCTAGACCTCTGGCCTACAGCACTTTAGCTGATCTTGTGCACCATGTCCGCCAGCATCTACCTCTGAACGACTTGGCTCTTGCTGTCCAGCTGTTTGCAAAGAATATAGATGATGAATCGTTACCCAGCAGTATCCAAACTATGTCTTGCAAACTTCTCCTAAACCTTGTCGATTGCATTCGTTCCAAGAGTGAGCAGGAGAACGGAAATGGCAGGGATATTCTCATGAGGATGCTGGAGGTACAGGCTATGCTCACGTGAATCTTCTGTATTGATCATGTAAATTAACAAACTTTTTAAATGAAACCACATGCAATAATTGTGATATAGTCCAGCCTTATGTGACATAAAACAATATTTAGACTTATACAAATAGATGATTGTGGAAATGTATGTTTTGAGCAGTAGGACTTGAAAGAAAAATCACATAATTTAATTTTAGAATTACTCATTGAATTGGACAGTGTTTAGAATACTAAATAACTTTTTTTGCTTAGCTTTTTTCTTAATCAAAATTCAGGTACATTCTTGCATGAAGGGGAAAATGCATTTTAAATTAAGTTAGAAGTTAAACTTGCATTTTCTGAATGAATCTTTTAATTGTTGTCCTTTGAAGGAAGACACTGTTAGAAATTTTTAAAATTTTAAAATTAATTTCACAGCAGACATGAGATGTGCACTGGAGAAAGTATTTAAAGAGTCGATTTGTGAAACGTCTTTTGCAGATGGAATTAACACTTGTCTGTCCGGTTGTCATTAAAGAATTCAGAGTTCTTAATTGATGACTAATTCCATGCAAATGCAAAATTTAAATCTGCCTCTTAATTTCAGGTATTCGTGTTAAAATTTCACACCATTTCCCGGTACCAACTCTCCACTATTTTTAAGAAATGCAAACCTCAGTCTGAACTGACAGCCACAGAAGTCCCTATTGCAGCAGCCCAAGCTACACCCACAACATCTGCTCCTCCTCCCACCCCAGCCACACCAACCCTTCCTGCACCAGTACTGGAGAAACATGTGGATAAAGATAAAGAGGAGAAACAGACGTTCCAAGTGTCAGACTGCCGCAGTTTGGTGAAGACCCTGGTTTGTGGTGTAAAGACAATTACATGGGGCATAACATCATGCAAAGCACCTGGAGGTAAGGAGGAGGAACAAAAGCAACTCTGAGGTACCCCTCTTACTGCTCAGTTTTCTGATTTCGGTGAGAGCCAGATATGCTTAAATGGGATACAAATATGTAATGCTCATTGAATAATGAATAACGCTCAACAATTTTTTTTTCTTGAATTAAACCTCTGTATGACAAGTGGATAGGATTTGAAAGATCCAGCTGTTGGGCTGTGTGAGGTTGACTCTACGTGAAGCAAATCTTGTTTGGTCTTTAACAGAACTTTGGAGTTTTGTGTAAGTCAGACACAATGATGCCATATGCAAATAAGCAAATGTGAAAAAAATTGCATCATGAATTAAATACTTGCCCAGCAATAGTAGTGGAGATATTAGTAGATATTGTATTCCTTTGTATTAAAAAAAATCCCAATTTTATTAATTGACAGTTTTCATGTTCCTCCTGCTCTGTCTGGTTTGAGGAATCTCCCATTTGATTCATAGTTACTGGGTGTTTAGTAAAACAATGCTAAAGTACTGTCGTTAAACAAAGTCTGTCTATTTGAAATGTTTACGTACATATCAGCCACGTTTTCATGATGATGGGATTTAACGGTGTGATTTTGATTTTTAAGGAAGAAAATGTCCACTATCCAATCATGTTATAAGCAAATCTACATTGTAATAGGGTTGTTCTGTAAAAACGTTACTGTCAACTTAGTGTAGCAAAATACTGCAGCTAACTTGAATATTTCTGAGTGAGATAGTTATTGTCATTTTATGGCGAATTCTTTTTGTCTCACAAAGTAAAAGTGGCAAGGAACTACTGGTCTGTAGAATATTTGCAAAATATGAAAGAGATGCATTGAGGCATTTGACAAAGTACTCCATAAATCTGATTCTCAGATCAAATTGATCTTTTCACGGGTAGAGTTAATGGCTACATCATGGCTCCAACAATTCTGCTCAAGTAAACAATAGGAAATCATCAACTACTCGCAATTATCCTCAGCAATGTTTTCTGCTAGGTGGGAAGAGCGAATTTTTGGTTGTCAGGGTTATGAAAATGATTGTGGTGGGGGGGGAATAAATTATAATAGTAGATAGTATATACTGATATCGTTTGATAAAGTGTCACATAAGAGACTTGTAAGCAAAGTAGAAGCCCACAGTATTAAAGGGACAGCATGGATACAGAACTGGCTGGGAGATAGAAAGCAGAGAGTGGTGGTGAAGGGTTGTTTTTCTAACTGGAGGTATGTGTGCAGTGGTGTCCCCTTGGGGGTTGGTATTGGGACCACTGCTGTTTTTGATCCATATAATCCATATACCCTGGACTTGGGTATAGGAAGTACAATTTCCAAGTTTGCAGATGATACTAAGCTAGGAAAAGTAGTACACAGTGAGGCGGATAGTAGCAAACTGCAAGAGGACATAAACAGACTGGTAAAATGGGCAGACACGTGGCAGATGAAGTTTAATGTGGAAAAATGCGAAGTGATCCATTTTGGGAGGAAGAATGAGGAGAGACAATATAAGCTGATGGTAGAATCTTAAAGGGGGTGAAGGAACAGAGAGACCTGGAGGTTCATATAAGTAAATCTTTGAAGGTGGCAGGACAGGTAGATAAAGCTGTTAAAAAAGCAAACAGGACACTAGGCTTTATAAATAGGGGCATAGAAAACAAAAGTCAGGAAGTTGATGAACCTTTATAAAACACTGGTTAGGCCTCAGCGAGAGACTGTGTTTAGTTCTGGAGATTACACGTTAGAAAGGATGTCAAGGCATTAGAGAGGGTGCAAAGAAAATTTACCAGGATGGTACCAGGAATGAGGGATTTCAGTATGAGGAGAGGCTAGAGAAGCTACGATTATTCTCTTTGGAGCAGAGAAGGTTAAGAGGAGACTTAATAGAAGTTTTCAAAATTATGAGGGGATTCAATAAGGTGAACAAGGAGAAACTATTTCCACTGGTGGGTGGGTTGGTAACTCGAGGACACCGATTTAACATAGTTGTTAAAAGAAACAAGGGAGGTGAGGAGAAATATTTTCACACAGCGAGTTGTTCGAATCTGGAATGCATTGCCTGAAAGGGTGGTGGAAGCCGATTCAATAACAACTTTTAAGAGAGAAGTAGATAACTATTTGGGGAGGACAAGTTTACAGGATTATGGGAAGAGCGCGGAGGAGTGGGATTAATTTGGAAGCTCTTTTCAAAGAGCCGGTAGAGACATGATGGGCCGAATTGCCTCCTTCTGTGCTGTATGACTATGACTATGACTATGACTCTATGATATGCAACAAAGGTACATCTGGGGCAGTCTTCGATGAATCACAAACATTTTCTTTTAATTTCTAAATTATTTTCCTGTTTCTGTGTCTATTTTCTCTTTTTCTTTCTCAACATTGCCTTATAGACGATGCCTGAGCTAAAAGGTTTGTATAATGTTACTAGAACTAACAAGGGATGGTAATCTTAACAGTAATGTGTTTTCTATTATTTCTCAGAGGCATCTTTTATTCCAAATAAGCAGTTGCAACCCAAAGAAACACAAATTTACATCAAGCTAGTTAAATACGCAATGCAGGCCCTGGATATTTATCAGGTATATTGATTTTACGAAGAAGTTATGCTTTATGTATCTGTACATAATTTAACCTGATCCTCGTTTTGAAATGTTTAGAGAATGAAGAGAAAACAGGGTTAAAGGGTCATTGCGAAGGAGATTGCTCATTTTTCAGCACATTCAGACTAAAAACCTTTTACATTTTAATTGCATTATTAATTATTATTACTGACTTTGTGAAAGCTGGATTTGATTTATAGATCATCATTTGCAGTATTCGCACTTTTCAACACAGTTCAAATGTTGTAAATGCTAACATTTAAAAGAATAATTGCAAGCTAAACTTTCTTTGCAATGTTTAAATAATTATTTTTGTGTTTGGCTATTACTTTAATTGGTCTATGTTCTGATACAAGTTGGCCAGGGCATACATTTAAATAAATCAAACTTTTATTATGGTAGGAAGTTTAAAAAGAAATTCATCTCTGCTGATTTTTGTTGAATCCCTAACTTCTTTAACGTTGCTGACACAATGTGATTTTCTGCTTAACCTGCATATCTTTGCTGGTTAACGGATGATACAGAAGCAGATTGAGCTGGAAGCTAGGATTGGTTAGTTAAACTGACAAATGAGCTCTCAGTTTATCTCAGTATGGAACTTCCAAAATATATTGCTTTCATTAGGGGTTTGGCAGATATTAATATGTTTCATTTGGTTAAAATTTGTGTTATTTTAGGTCCCTTTAATATTACGATAATTCTATAATTAAAGCTCTTGTGATGTTTCAGCAAGTTTATCCATTTAGCAGCTGAGTGACACTGGCAGGGAGAGGGAACATTGCCTCGGATGATCCCTGCCCTATGCTACGTTAGTTGATCTCAGAAAGGACAGCATTTGGAACACTTGTGGCTGCTATCACTGCCCTGAATTACGGAGGATAAAAACAGTTGGGGTTTCTGCTCCTGATCACTTTCTAATCATCCCTGTTGGAAAATCTGGTGTATCAACAAGATTGAGCTTGGCTATTATATGCTCCCGATGGTTTGATCGCCCACTGGGAGTCACTGTTAACAGCGAGGGAGAACATTGGCAGAACATTCCACCCTTCCCTTTATGTACCCTCTTTTCCCTGCAAGTGCTGCACAATTACATTAGAACATAAGAAATGCTAGACGATAAAAGACCGAGTTTGCCTTCCACCTTCCTGGTGATCGCATGCACATATGTCCCGAACTACCTATGTCCTACATCCCATAATGTTATATCCTAAAAAAAAACTATCTAGTCTGTGTTTGAAAGAATTAACACAGAATCAATTGGGTTGACCTGAAGTCTGCATTTCTGTGATGATGATAATTTAGTGCAACCTGATATTTTTTTTTAAAAAAAAGTTTAAACTTACCTTGAGTATTCCTTTTAAGCACTTTTAAAATGATGAATGCAGATGGTGTAATTACTGGCTGTTTTGAACATCGGCATTTTTAGAACAAAATCAATATTGCGTTATACTTGAAAACTTACATTGTTTGATTCCTTATGGTGGAGGGAGTAAGGTAATGGTGTGTGTGTTTCTGTGTTTGAGAGAGAGAAAGTAGAAGAAAGTACCTGTGGAAGTGCTAATGCTTGCTAGCATTCAAACTAAATTTAACTTCATAGTTTTAATCAATCTTTTTTTAGGTTCAAATAGCTGGGAATGGGCAAACGTACATTCGAGTAGCAAATTGCCAGACAGTGAGGATGAAGGAAGAGAAGGAAGTTTTGGAACATTTTGCTGGTGTATTTACTATGATGAATCCCTTGACATTCAAAGAGATATTTCAAACAACTGTGCCATACATGGTTGAAAGGATCTCGAAGAACTATGCTCTTCAGGTGATGGGAGTTTTCAGTTACAGTTTTAATGGAAATGTATTCAGTATAGTTGCATAACATTCTTGCCATGCAATAATTTTTTTGAAGGAGAAAGGATTTAAGCTATGTCATTTTGGCAAGAAATTTGGCACAATTTAGTTTGCATGATGAGGGGCAGCTTTGTATAAGTACTTGAGTCTTTTAAACCACTTAAATATTTAGCAGTTTCAAGGGAATTTCAGACACCCTGGGCTAACCAGTATTTTCCATTTTCAGTGCTGGTAAAACAAGCCTTAATATCACAATAAAGTTTCTTGTGTCATATTATATTAATCATTCAATCTCCTCAAATAATCATTTTAGACAAATCTGGCCGGGCTGTCATCTTTCCTTTGTTTGCTCCTCTATTTTCCAAAAGAATATGTAGCCTTTTCCAACTTCCTGGATATTTTTTAAAATGCCTAAATTATATATCTTTTTCCTTAAGTTTCTGGATTTGCACTTATTCATTCTGGACTTGGGACCCACTTTGTTATAAGCGTAAAATGGCTCATCAAGCCTCCTTTCATCTTTCTAGTCCCATTTCCTTGTTTTTTTCCCATAATATTAAGTTCCAAAATACCTTTTAAAATACCTCAAGNAAAAAAAATTGGTCACTTCAATCCACAACTGTTTGTGGGACGCTGCTGTGCGCAATTGGCTGCCGCGTTTCGCCCACAAATATATAGTCAATTCACTTTACTGTGCATTCCTTGCAAAATTCCTAAAGGAAATACAGTAGAACCCAGTTATTAAGTAGGTGTAATTTTGAATAGTCCTGTAGCTCAGTGGTTAGAGCACTCGCCTCGCAAGCGAGAGACCTGGGTTCAATTCCCGGCAGGGTGAAACCTTGGGCAAGTTTTCTTACTCCACACGCCTAATAATAATCCCTCAAGAAAAAAAAACAATAATAACTTGGTCACTCAATCCACGACTGTTTGTGGGACACTGCTGTGCGCAGTTGGCTGCCACGTTTCGCCCACAAATATACAGTCAATTCACTTTACAATATATTCCGTGAAGCGCTTTGAGATGTCTAGAAGATGTGAAAAGTGCTATACCAAATGCAAATTATTATAATTTTGAATATGAATTTTTATCACTTGGTGTGGCTGACTTTTTGATTTTGTGTTAAGATTGTAGCCAACTCATTTTTGGCAAACCCTTCTACCTCGGCTCTGTTTGCGACAATTCTCGTGGAATATCTTTTGGACCGACTTCCAGAAATGGGCTCCAATGTGGAACTCTCCAATCTTTATCTCAAGCTGTTCAAGTTGGTGTTTGGCTCCGTCTCTCTTTTCGCAGCGGAAAATGAACAGATGTTGAAGGTAAGGGGAGGAGCAAAAAAATTATGAAATGGACTTGAATGATTCCCACGAGTGAAGCGTTTGAGGTTCAGATATAACTTAATTTAATTTTTTCTTCAGGTGAATGTTGATGTACTGAATGTGTGAATAGATTATGGTAAATTGCTGGTGCCCTACATACTGCAGAACCAGTTTCAATCTAAGCATTCAGAAATGTAATACTTCTAGCAATACTAGCAACCTTGGGCAAAGTTGAGATGTTCATAAAGATTGAAATTCATTTTTTTTAAATAAAAAGTGCATTTGGGGAAAAATGTATTCGCAGCTTGAAATTCTATGATGAACGCTGCATTTTCAAGGCAACAAACTCTTCAGTTAAAATGTATATTGTGCATTATTTATGCTATTTAGGACACTGATTACTCCCATATAAATATAGCATTAGTTTATTTATTAGATGATAATTGGAGCAGGGAAATACGTTCAGTATTGGATGGAAAAGGACATAGGCCTTTTCTATGGCTCTCTGTGGAGTTGCTCAATTCTAAATCCGTAGTTACTCTAGTAATGTCAGCATTGTGAGTATACAAACTCGTCTCGTGGAAAAAAAACAGAACGTCAAAATATTTCCTTAGAAGCCGAGTTTTTTTAACTTCAATCTTCTGGAAATGAGTTGTTGGTTTTGAAAGACATTGCTTTCTCCTTCTAGCCCCTTTCTGTGGCAATCATAGCCTGACACTTTTTTGTTTGCTTTGTGAAAATATTTTTTCCGTGTGAACTCAAGAAAATAATTCTTCCCATTTCATTTCACCTTGAGCTAGAAATTGCTGTGACCTCACAGGAGAAAATTGGCTGGTGCAAGTTTCTTAAGAGAGAGGCTTGCATGTCCCAGAAGATTTTCCGCTGTCGGTGATAGCTGTTTGTATGTGGAGGCTGAACTTCTTTCGAAGGCTAATCTATCACTTAAAAAATCCTTTTGGTTCCTGCTGCTTTTTTAAATGCTATGACCATCATGGTGTCAGCTCTGATAGAGGTGAGGTTAGGATTGAATATCGTGTAATCATCCATAAAACAGTTAACGAAGTAACCAATAATGGATTTACATATCTTCTTAAGACTGAATAAAGGGGGATTTTTGTTTCTTTTTGGTGTTGTAACCTCTTGGATTGTAGAAGAGTTTATTCTCAGTGAACTGTATAATAGCCAACGCCAAATTTTAATGTTTTTAAATCCAATTGAAATGTCAAACATGATATTCATTATAATCTTTCTTAAACTATAGCCACTCGTTGATTCAGTATGGCAGCCATTGTCAGACTCCAGACAAGATCAACCCCTAGTGTTTTCTTGTTAACTTATAGTTCCATAGCACTGTTAACTCTCCAGTACTGTGCCAAAGTGACCTTTATTCATTTGTGAGCCTAGACAGTGGGTGTCGGCAGGCTATTTGACTGTGAATGGAATTGTAATCGAGCCCAATGTGATCTCACGTGGAACCCACATATGCATTTTATAGCAGGGGATAACAATCTGAAATCAAGCTTGATTTATATTTCCCTCTCGAGCTAGGAACATTTAAGATCAATTGTAGCTCCTGCAGTGAGTTCTGTGGTGTTTTTTGGTGTGAGGTGAATTTCGTTTGTTGCACTTTTCCCTTCTTTCATAATTATTTTAAATGGTAAAATATTGTTTTCAGTAGTAATAAGGATATTACAAATAAAAGTAAAATGAAAAGTTTAGGTCTTGTATAATTTTTGAGAATGTTTTGTGCATATATGTGAAACAAGTAGGATATTACATTATGAATAATATAAATGGTGTGACTGTTTAAAATGTGACTTTTCCTTCAGTGATTAATGGTTTGATGTATTATTTTATTATATGAAGGTCATTTTAAAGTAGTATTTATTAAAAAAGTGACTCTTCATTCTTCCCCACTGTCAGAACATTCAAGGTCGAGTGAATTTAATGAGGTGTAACTGCAATTTAAATGTATTGATTTAATACCTTCTTAAATCTATACTTTAATGTTATTTTACTAGTCAGAAGATGACTGTTTGACCTTCTGTAGACAATTGAATGAGTAATGAACAGTCTCCCAGTACCAACATGTCAGTATAATGTTTTTGTTTAGCAATGGCTTCAACTAAATGCATAAACCATTTAATTCTTAAATGTATTGATCCAGTGAGATACAGTAGACTGCTGGGAATCCAAGCTCCAATTATCTGCATGTCCATTTATCCGCAGAGGGTTTTGAGGCAGAATTAATTTGGGGATGTGAAATACCAACAAAATCGTATTGTGAACATGCAATTGAGCTAGCTAATGATGTGATTTAGTTGCTTTGATCACTAAATTGCATAAATTGCACTCAGGCACAGAGAGAGAGAGACACACATACACACAGACCCAGAGAGAGAGACACACATTCACAGACACAGAGAGACACATTCTCGGAGAGAGACACACAAACACACCCATAGACACCAAGAGACATACAGACAGAGAGGCACACATTCACAAAAAGACTTTCATAAACACACACATAGAAGAGACATAGACAGACTCACATAGAGACACAATTACAATAGCAGCGCTTCCGAGTGTAACCCATTTGCCACTTGTGTCGCACTGGGCATGTGCGTCCGGAGCCACTCGTCCACAGTGACGTCAGGTAAACAGCGCGAGTGGCCCGCGGGCCAGAAACTACATTTATGGCGGGTTTGTAGCACACGGGGGGCCATTGTAGGAGAAAAAGTGTGGCTGCGCTTTTCTATTGGCCCAGGTGATGTCCAATTATTTGCACGGGTACCAATGAATACAGATAGCCATCTCTATACAGTAATTTCTAGGGTAACAATGTTTATGCTTTTGTTTTTTTAGCCTCATCTGCACAAGATTGTGAACAGTTCAATGGAGCTTGCACAAACAGCGAAAGAGCCATACAACTACTTCTTGTTGCTTCGAGCTCTTTTCAGATCCATTGGTGGTGGCAGCCATGATCTCCTCTATCAGGAATTTCTACCATTATTGCCCAATTTACTGCAGGGTAAGAATGCACTCACAGTCACATCTAATAGTTTAACAGATCAGCACTATGTTGTTCAATTCATATATTTTAAGGATTAGCAAATAGTTTTTTTAGGATTGGTAAATGGAATAGTAGTTAATACACATTATTTAACCTTTTCAGATACTGAATGAATTTTGCAGTGTTATAGATAAGGCGCTGTATAAAATGAAATTATTATTATATCGATGATAATCTCCCTTGCCCTCCTCGCCAGTCTCCCCTCCTCGATTCACAAAATTCAGCTCATTTAAAATTCTGCGGCCCGCATTCTCACCCGCACCAGACTTTGTGCCCTGATTACTCCAGTCCTTGCCAAACTCTACTGGCTCCTTTTCACAGAGCGGATCGACTTCAAGATCCTCACTCTAGTGTTTAAATCCCTCCATTCCTTGGCACCCCCCCTATCCCTCTCACCTCCTCTCTCCCCACAGCAGTATCAGCTGCCTCCGATTGCTGGGTCCAGCCTCCCCCGAATCCTCCGCTCCACCATCGGCGGCCGTGCCTTCAGGCTCTACGCCCCGAAACCTTGGAACTCCCTCCCTCAACCCCTTCGCCTCACCCTCTCCTTCCCCATCTTCAGGTCGCACCTGAAGATCTTCCCCCTCCCCCTGGCTCGGCTTTGGGCTCCGCCATTGTTAAGCGCTCTAAGATGCCGCCCGGCGTGGAGGACGCTATATAAATGAAAGTTGTTATATTGTTCTAATAAAAAAACTTGAACTTCAGGTTTATGTTAATATTGACCTTAATCCACTTTAGTAAATATTGCTTTTTTAAAAAAAGTACTAAACCTGGACTTATACTTTGCAGTCAGTATTTTCTTTTCAGTTTTCCTTCCCCATATTCTCTGACATTTATTACATGTTACTGTTTCTATCTATTCTACTGTCTGCCAGTATGGTAAACTACACTGACGAACTTTATAATGAAATTTTCCTGTACTTTAGTTACGTTTATTGCATTCAACTAGGACACCTGTTTAATGTGTGAGGATGAAACTGGAACTGAGTTGTTGAACTATCGTTAACATTTGCTTATTTTGTTTCTCATTTTTGCTATTGCAGGATTGAACATGCTTCAGAGCGGTCTGCATAAACAGCATATGAAAGATCTCTTTGTAGAGCTGTGTTTAACAGTACCTGTCCGACTTAGCTCACTTTTACCTTACTTGCCAATGCTGATGGACCCATTAGTGTCTGCTCTTAATGGTTCCCAGACTCTGGTCAGCCAAGGCTTACGGACGCTAGAGCTATGTGTTGATAACCTACAACCAGACTTTTTATACGACCACATTCAGCCAGTACGTGCAGAGCTTATGCAGGTAAGACTGGAAGAGGATTATATTTATAATAATAATCCTTGCATTTGATATAGCGCCTTATCACGTTCAGAGACGCATCAAAGTGCTTCACAGAATATACTGTAAAGTGAATTGAATATTTTTTGTGTGGGTGAAATGTGGCAGCCAATTGCGCACAGCAGTGTCCGACAAACAGTTGTGCTTTGAAGTGACCAATTTATTATTGGATTGGATATTTACTTGAAAAGGAAAAAATTGTAAGTAGATGGGGAAAAAGCAGGGCAGTGATACTAATTGAATATTATAATTATTATTAATTATATTTATTATCATTGTTATTTATTATATATTATATTACATTTCTATATGCCAGATAACTCCTTAAATGATGTGTATTTCACACATGTATCTATTGTATTTTAATGGGTGGGCCATGAATGGATTTGTGTTTTTTGTAAATTTTTATTATCCCAAAGATTGGCATACAGTTAAACAGGATGCCTTTATAGTGGGTCCACCTGTGTGTTTATACAGTGTATAAACTGTCCTACCAGATTAATATTTCTCAGTTAAATATCTTGTGCAACGTTCAAAGATTTGCAGAAATGAAAGTTATCCCTCAATCTCAGTATCCAAACTTGCCTGTTGAAATCTGCTCCTTTGTGCAGGATGGCTAATCCTCCAATCGGCGGTAGCTTTAGCTTGAAGATGGCTAGCAGGCTTGAGTCAGCAACCTAATTAATTTATAGGAGAAACCCAGTGTGTACTGATGATGTTAGTGTGCAGTATACTAAAGAAGCACAAGATCATGACTGCCACAGTGTTAAATAAACTAAGAAAATAAAAATATATAATAAGAAGAATAATTGGTATAAATGCTTTTATTTTCATAGGCGTTGTGGCGTACCTTACGAAATCCTGCAGACAGTATTTCCCATGTGGCTTACCGTGTCCTAGGAAAATTTGGAGGCAGTAACCGGAAGATGCTAAAGGAATCCCAGAAACTACAGTATGTTATCACAGAGGTCCAAGGACCCAGTATTACAGCAGAGTTTTCAGACTGCAAAGCATCTATTCAACTTCCCATGGAAAAGGTGAGTGAAAAAGCAATAAACAGTAGCAAATGTCTTGAATTGTTCAAAACAAAATTTCATTTAAATGTATATTTTCTTCAAACCTATACAAATTTTTGAAACTTTTGTGTTCAAGTGATTTGTATCATTGCTGTGAAATAGAACATTATGCACAAGCTCTCCTGATCTGACCTGCATCCTCCTCCTTCCCCTCTGTTTCATTATTAAACCTTCCCAGAATAGTTATGATTAGCATTTTATCAGAAATTAATGTTTTTGCAATCACATAATTTGTGTGTTTGTTGTTAAGCACTCAGTTGCTTGCTTTCATGTTGAAGTGTTTGAGAATTTGGTTCCAGCCACTTGGTGGCACTATGCATAAAGAATAGTGTGTTGCAGAAATGGTAGTTTACTTTGAAGTTGTGTCTCACAGTAAAATAACATTTCGATATCTGTACGGTGCCATCCTGTGGCAAAGCTGCAGTAATATTTGAATTAATTATGAATTAAATAGATTTGTAAGATAAATTGTCTACAACCACGCTGCTGCATTCATGGGGAGCTATGGAGTTGGGTTCTTCCTTCCAGAGAAGCAGAAATAAGCCAAAAAAATTAATCATCTATCACCTTCCAATCACTAATTAAACTGTTGTGCCAGAGTCCTTTTGGCATTGTTGGTGTTTTGTGTGAAGACCAAAGACCAGATACAAATAATATTTAAAAAATTGCAGTAAATAAATATCACACAATTGGTCATTTATAATGTTGGGAAGGATTGAGAGTGGGAGGTAGTTGGACTAAATGATGTTTTCCTTTTTTTGTTCTGGAAGATATTGATTGTAAATGTCCCAGGACTGTTTTTGATTGATTGCAATGGGTTTGTTTCTCCTTCATTTATTCATTTCAAAATACTACAAAAAATATCAATTCACAGCTTTGGCAATAAAACTTATAATTCTAAAACAGGGCAAAATTCCTCCCATTAGTGTGTACCACCTTTAAACACAATAATAATCTTTATTATTTCACTATAACAATAATGCATTTTGATCTAGTGGATTATCGTGTCTTTTGGACATCTCAAAGCCCTTCAAAGAATTTTACTGTGGTTTAATGTTTTTTTAATCCGCGAAGGATTGCACCTTTGCCAATGCAGCACTTCTCCAATACTGCAATGGAGTGTCAACCTGGACTGTGAGTTCAAAGTCCTGATGTGGGGTTTGAACCCACAACCTTACAACTCAAGAGATGAGAGCCAACTGAGCCTCCTTTTGTATGATAATAATCCTTGCATTTGATATAGCGCTTTTCACGTCGGGAGGATGTCCCAAAGCGCTTCACAGAACACACTGTAAAGTGAATTGACTATATATTTGTGGGCGAACGCGGCAGCCAATTGCGCACAGCAATGTCCCACACACAGTCGTAGATTGAAAATGACCAATTTATTATTGTTTTTGGTTTTGGAGGGATTATTATTAGTATATTATTTGGTATAGCACCTTTCAGGAGGTCCCAGTGTGCTTTGCAAGATATATTGTAAAGTAGAGTGACTGTTTTGTGGGTGAACTGGCAGCAAATGTACGCACAGCCATGACCAAATGGTTAATTCATAAATTGGTGCATTCAAATAATGTAGGGTTTATCAGTTGGGTTCACCCGATACACTTTGTGTGACATTAAGATTCAGAAATCACTTCATTGTGCAGAGTAGCCACAGGAGGGTATATTCAACATTTTTCTATGTAATTGATAAAGCACCATTACAAGTAAAACATTAGTTTCCCATTTCACTTTGGGCTCTGTTAAAAGCATTAGTTACAATGTACAGACTGGGTCCCTGGTTCAATGCCAACTGTGCTGAGTTAGCTGATCTCAGTTGGAATGGCAGTAGGAGTGCGACACTTGGGTTTGATGCCCCTGGACTACAACAACAAGATGTGTGTAGAGCCTTTCACGTCGGGAGGACGTCCTAAGGCGCTGGGCAGAGTACAGCATTTCGTGGACTAGTAAGAGAGAAGAATATGCTTGGTATATACTGAACAGGCTGAGCTTACTTTTATTCATGATTGATTTTGTTTTCTTTTGAATGCCAATCTTCGCTTTCAAAAGAACAACATGTACAGTTCTTGGCTGTTTTCTAACGACTGGGATGATTATAAATCAGTGTCAACCACTAACAGTCACAAATTGTAATGCTCAAAGAGATAGAAAACAGTCATACTGGTGTGATAATAATAATATCCTTGCATTTGATATAGCACCTTATCATGTCTTCGAGACATCTCAAAGTGCTTCACAGCATATACTGTAAAGTGAATTGACTGTATATTTTGTGGGCGAAACGCGGCAGCCAAATGCACGTCAAATTTTAGGTTCCTTCCCAGTTCTGGTGCTCAGCCAGATGCGTAAAACGCTTTTGAGACCATCTACTGGCAGGTGAATATAAATATAAATTGATTTGTATTGTAGATTTGATTCTGAGTGTTAAATATTTAAAATAACTAGGTGCCAAATGCTTACTGTTGCAAAGTGTTGTAATGGATATTTGCATTCATGTTATAAATTGTTATAAATCCTGTCACCAAGGAGAAATTGTTTGATGTACAGTAAATATGTGTACATTATGAAAACTCGATTTGGAATATCTCATTTTGTATCTCAAACAAAAGGATTTTGCACTGAAAGTATGATTGAAAGTATAGTTCCCATTAAATTGCTCTCATAAAACATTTGGCTTTTGTGAGCAGAATTTTAAAAGGAGTATTTATTTCCACTGCTTAAACTGTGCCTGCCTTACAGTTGAGGTGTTTTCTCCTCCCCCTCCTATATTAAATAATTATGTCATACTTTACAAAGTCGTAATTTAATTTGCAATAAGAGCATGCTGTTTATGTGTAAAAGAAGAAACTCCTGTGGTGAGGTTATACTGCACATTTGCAGTTGGAGATGAATCGCAGTATAACTGCAGCTACCGCTTTAGCTTGGCATTTTGTATCGGGTACAATAGTAATAATAATAATAATCCTTGCATTTGATATAGCGCTTTTCACGTCGGGAGGACGTCCCAAAGCGCTTCACAGAACACACTGTAAAGTGAATTGACTGTATATTTGTGGGCGAACGCGGCAGCCAATTGCGCACAGCAATGCCCCACAAACAGTCGTAGATTGAAAATGACCAATTTAATTATTGTTTTGGGTTTTTGGAGGGATTATTATTAGGCTCTGTGTGGAGTAAGGAAACTTGCCCAAGGTTTCGCCCTCTGCCTGGAATTGAACTCAGGTCTCTCACTTGCAAAGCGAGTGCTCTAACCACTGAGCTACAGGACTCCAATAGTACATTGAGGAGCTCACAAGTTTCATGTTACGATGTCTCAGACAATACTTCAGTAATGAGGCACTTTAAAAGTACTGTACATTTGGGTTGTTAGCCTGGCTCAGCTGGTAGCACTCATGGTTCTGTGTCAGAATGTTGTCGTTTTTAAGCCTTATTTTGAAATTTTTAACTCTTGTTGTCTTGGCTGACACTCCAGTGTACTACTGGGGGTGGTGCTGCACTGTTGGAAGTGCTGTTCTTTGGATGAGATGTTAAATTAAATTCCTGTCTGCTTGTTTAGGTGGACGTTAAAGATATAGTGTCACTACTCAAAAAGAGAGAAAAGTTGCTCCTGATATACTGCCAAAATTCCCCCAAATATAATTGGTCTTTCATTTCAGTGGCTGTTTGTGGGACACTGCTGTGCACAAAATTGACTGAGTGCATCTACAAAGTGCGCAATCACTGCACTTTACAATAACTCCACTGAAGTGCTTTAAGATGTGAAAGGCATTATGTCAAATGAAAGTATTATTCTCTGTGGTTTGGGATTGTACTGTGAGTGTTTACAATGATAATGTATCATTTTACACCATTGACTGGTTGTACTTAGTAGAATAGCCATGGTTCTATGCATTGAGAGCTTAATGTTTGTCTTTGGAAATTTATTGGCTGATTTTATCAATGCTGGATTGAAAATATTTTTTCTTGAAAGACAGTTTACCTTTCACTTGCCTCAAAAGTCATCTAATCAACAATTGCATATTAATTGACAAATGTGCAGGCCATGGAATTTCTTATTTCATGTCCTCCTAAATGATTTTTTCTACTGCAGTCACATTGATGAGCAGTGTTATACTTCACAGCACTGTGTGTCTATTGTGCTTCAGAAATTTTGCAAACTTTGTTGAACTTTGGTTTTGTGGAAATGTATTTGTGAAGTGCAAATTATAGATTTTTTTATGCATTGTGTCCCTATATGTAAAATTTCTGCAGTTTTACAGAACTCTTAATCAACGAGTTTTGAACTTACAACCTGTCGGTTAGAGTGAGATGCACTGTTTTTGCCACAGACATGAGAAATCTGTATGAGAGACCTGCATTTCAACGTGAATACAGTAGAGCCTCACTAATCCGGTCACTCAAGTGACTGAGCAAAAGTGACCTACTTAGTCAGGTGACCTGATTACTGAAACCGGTCGGTGATCAGGTCACTGATGTAATGTTAAGGACATTGGTAAAGGGCAAGTGTGATGAACATTCAACAACCATACTTTGCAATCTCATTAAAATAAAGGCATTGCCACATTTAAAACAAAAGCTGTCATGTATTCAGCTTTCCTTTTGAGAACACATCCAACTTGTGTTCTGCCAATGCCATAGATAACAGCTAACTGTCTGTGACGTTTGCCCTCACTGTTTTTGATCAAGTCCACTCTCACGTAAGGACAACTCCTTCTGTGGTGGCACGTTTACGACACTGGTCAACAGTCACTAAATCAAAACAAACAATGTACATGTGCTCTGAATACAGCACTTAGAAAGAATTGGCCGCAGGAGCTCAGGTTAGGCCGCAGGCGCGGGGCGAAGTTGATTTTCCGCAATCCCATGCGTGACTGGAGCCCGCTCCACCCACAGTAGCAGCATCGAGGAAACAGCACCAGAAACCAGAGGCCTAGTGGACTTGTGTATTGTACAGGTTAGTAGCGGAGGGCAGTGTTTGTACCGGACGAGGGTGCTGTAGCGGCCACCATCAATGACCGTTGCCCTGAATAGTGAGGGTACCCAGTTTACTGAAGCAGACAACCGATCTTTTAACATAGACAATTAAAGAGACTGAAGATATGCCCGCAATTGTGAGGTGGCTGTACTACTGAGGTGACCGCAAACTGGGTTTCAACTGTACATATTATTGCTAGGAAAGTGTGGCATACAGATACTGATTAAACTGTCAGAAAAGCACACTTCAGACAATACTGTTCTTGTAGGATACTCTTGTTCATCACCTCAGAATGCATCCACTGTTAATTATTAATTAACCGTGCATAATATGATGCAAAACAACCTTTCCAAAACATATTTGCAAAAATTGAATATATAATTATACTCGAATGTGTGAAACTTTTATAAGTCTCATTATGCTGTACTGAATTCCTCATGGTGCCGTGGTACCGCACTGTGCTGTGTTCGTGCAAGGGAATCTTTAAGTGGTGGCCTTTTGCAAAACATTTCTGTGTGATTGTATAAGTGAGTCTGTCATTTCTGTTACGCAAGGGGAGCAATGACGCCCTGATTTGGAGGTTCGTGCTGAACCCTGTGAAAAGAAATTCAGTATCTGTAAATGAGATATATTTAATCTTAAAGTGTGTAATGAAGACCATTGAATAAATTATCCAATTTGTGTAATTGCTTAAGCAATGGAAACTGGGACTTGTTTCTCATTGCCTCCCATGTTCGTGCCAGACCTCAGCAATATCACTGAAGCCACATTCTAATAACATGAGAATCTGAAGTGTGAACCAGCCCTGTTGAGATGTTTAACGGTAATGCCACAATGTTGAGACTAATTCTTGTTTTTGTAATTATAGTGCTAATGAGTTGCAGAGCTCGACATGTTAATTAGCTTCATTAAAATCTATCAAAATGTATGTTTTTAAACTTGTACTTTCCTCTAATGCAGAACTTCAATCTCAGCCTGGTGTCATTAAAATCTCAGCAAGGAGATCAAAGTCACCTCTCATAAATTACCAGGGTTCATTGATGTATGCCTGCACTTATAGTAGACCTAGTTTTGAACAGAATCGTTTGCTGTACTCGTATTGTAAACAGAATGCTGATCAGTAAGCTGCTGTATGCAGTCTTTATCGCAAATATGGGGCTGGCTGAGAGCCCAAGGCATGTCTGAATTGGCTGGGTAATTGCGAGGGGAAATTCTGTACTTTGTGTGGAGAATCTTCTATGGATATTGGAATGTGTTGAAGTAGTAGCTTGTTTCACTTAAATCTGGACTATCGCTGCAGCAAATGGCTAATATAAATGGAAGTGGACCATCTCATGCTTTGCAGCTTAGAAAATAATTATATATGGAAGAAAGTGACGAGTAATGCATATTTTAAGTAGCGATTATTTTCCCCTCCCAAATTAGTTATCCAATGTAGAGGAAATATTTAGTTATTGTTAGATACAATAATAAATAATACCACTTTCTGTGGGTTTATTATTAACTAGTGATTATTTTGATGGCAAAATGTTTTGGTGACGTTCCTTTAGATTTGTGCACAAATGCTGTTCTGCTTGTTTTCAGGCTATTGAGACTGCCTTGGATTGTCTGAAGAGTGCAAACACTGAACCATATTACCGTAGGCAGGCCTGGGAAGTGATCAAATGTTTCTTGGTGGCAATGATGAGCCTGGATGACAACAAACATTCACTGTACCAACTACTTGCCCATCCAAAGTAAGAGAAGTACCAAATCAGTTTAATGTTTGTTTAACAATTTGGTGAAGTCTTGAATGCGATGTAATTATGTGAAGTATGCAGAGAAGAGATAATGTTTCATAATATATGGCCTGGAGAATTGGAAAAACTGGCAAGTTAACAACTGTTGCTTGCTTACATAATAACTGCCACTGCACTTTAAAATAATTCATTGGGTGAAGTGATTTCAGACATTTTGGGCATTTATTAAAACTTAGCTTTGCTGTGGTATTGTAATGTTTCAGCAGCTGTCCCATGTGTTGAAATGGTGCTGCCATTGCTGAATTCCTGCACTATGCTATGCTATTTCATTTGATGTTGGATGGGTTAATTTACCATTCATTAGGATCCAGCAGAGTGTTTAATAACAGATATCTACTATAGTAGTGCCCTCCCGGCAAGCATAGTCTTGCTACTGGTTTGCCATCAGTGCTAGTGGGCTGAGCGATTAGGCATCTTGCACCATTTTAGACCTCAGCATCCTGTAAGGGAATCAGATAACAGTTGTTACCATTACCATAAAGGGAAGCAAATTTTAAATTAAATGTCTTTCACTCAGACATGTAAACGTTGTAAACGTGAAGGACATTATTTGATGAAACCAGAATTTGATAAAAACTCGTGACTATTCTCCTGGGATGGGGGTTGTGGGGGAGGTAAGTGGGGTCTCCTTCAAGCTGAACTCCAAGGTGACATGCCTGGCAATGGAATGTCGGAATCAAGGCAGCCCTCTGTGGCATTCTCGGTCGTCCGGTTCCTGAGCCAGTCGGGTCCGCAGTGATCCAGGGCACTGCTAATGACAGCACAGCTAATGACATCGGCAGAACCTGGAATGGCACACCAGTCACTGGAGGCGGGGATTCATCCCACTTAGCTCCTCTTAACCCTGTAGCCAAGGGGCTAATCGGTAGGGTGGTCCTAGCTGGACAAGCAGCGGGAAAGTTGCTGACCAGCAATATCAATGGCAAGCTATGCGGTTTTACCTGGTTAGCAAACTCTGGGGTCCCCAAGCCTTGGCTCTTGCCAACTTGCGCCTAATACTTTATGGAATTAGGTAAGTAGGATGTGTGCCTCCAAGGAGAAAGTGCGCATTCCATTCCAACAATCTCTCTCTGGGATTTCCATGTATAGGTGGGATGCATGGAAATCTCAGCTTGGTTTGGATACTTTTTAGCATGGTGACGGATTTCTGCATGTGTCAGAACACACGGCTGACCAAAACCAAAATGAAACCAGCGTGTAATGATTGATCAAAATAAGCCTTTCACATCTGTCTTGGGTTTGGTCATTTCAGAATGCGGTGGTTAGTTAGCTTTTTATTTGTTCTTAAAACACAAAAGGCTGCATAATTCAATGTCAGCTCTTTCTAAAACAGCTTCTGACTCCTGACAGAAACTTGTAATAGTCATTCAGTATTGAAATCTATAGGGACTAGATAAGGAACTACTGAAATTTATTGAGGGTAGATAGGGGTATGAGTAAAAGGCCTTCCTTGATCTTGGTGTGATAGCTGTTTTGGCCTGCTAAATTGATTAATATTTCAGCCTTTCAAATCAAAATGAAAGAGCTTCAACATAGCACGCTGTAAATATTGGAAACGTCACTCAATAATTTAATCGCATTCAGGTGTCAGCATATGTAATATTTGGAACATATATTCCTCATTTGAAGCCGCTGGCTCTGAATGCCTGTGATGAAATTGAACCATCCATCTTATTTGTGGTCAGTTGCTGACAATATTAAAGTGAAGTAATTGAATTGGGTCAGCTTTCATCAAAATGGGGAAAAAAATCCTGAATGAAGTATGTGAATTTCATGGTTGACTTGTTCGTACATTGACTATGTTCTCGTAATGGGCTTAATTTTGTCTTCCAGCTTTACAGAGAAGGCAATACCAAATGTAATTATATCCCATCGTTATAAAGCACAAGATACGCCTGCTCGCAAAACATTTGAACAGGCTTTGACGGGAGCATTTATGTCAGCTGTCATTAAAGATCTACGGCCCAGCGCCTTGCCATTTGTGGCCAGCTTAATCCGTCACTATACTATGGTGGCTGTAGCTCAACAGTGTGGTGAGTGAATGCCACTTACTGAATGCTTTGAAATTGGATCAAGGTTCCCTAACATTTTGAAAGTTATTTGTCAAAAGAAGCTGAAACCTCCCTAGAAATTAATGGAGGATTTTGCACAGATAGATTATTAAGTCTTCAGCAGCAATAAAGGCAGCTCAGTCGTTCACTGCTCCCAGTGAAATATTCTACCTATTGAAATTGTTTAATGTTTTTGTTTCTTTTTAAAAAAAAAGTTTTCAAGTTTATTAAATTGAGTTTCTGGAGGCACAGTGAAGCATTCATTCTTATTTGTTGCTCCAAAATTTCTTTTGTGTCTTATAACTTGAGGTACTCAGCATTTTTTAGGTATCCTGATCGCCAGATGCATAAACATTTGCAGAGCTTCATGCACTTGGAGTGGGTCAGGCTCTGCGACCCTATCATTCCCATCCTCGCTGACACCACTGACTGACTTCCCATCACACCGAGGATACAGTTCAAGATCTGGTCCTCACTTTCAAAGCCCTCCATGGCCTTGCTCCCGCATACCTCTGCAACCTCCTAACCCCCTACCATCCGTTTTACTCCGTTTTAGCAGGTTCTGGCCTGCTTCACGTCCCCCGCCTCACCCACCCCAGCAATGGCCGGCAGGCGTTCAGCCACTCTGCCCCCACCCTTGGAACTCCATCCCGCAGTCCCTCCGCCTTGCCCCCTCCCTTGCCTCCTTCAAGAACTGTCTCAAGACCCTCCTCTTCGACTCTGCCTTACGGTCACCCTGCTTCACCCTCTGCCCTCTAACCTCACCATTCCCGACCCTCAGCTCGGGTCCGAAACACTGACTGTCCAGGGTCTGGAGACGTCCTTCCAATTGAAAGGCGCAATACAAATGTAATTTTGGTGGTGTTGTCAGGGAATGCTTTCCCATCTTTACAATTGTTTTTATAAGAATAGAATGATATTATACGATCCTGCGCGATAGGATTTTTTTTTAAATAAGAATATATGAGACAGGAAATAATGGAATGTACAAAGCGCTCTCTGAATGATGAGTGCTAAAGTTGTATCCTGGATTACATCACTGTGCACTACTCATGGTTCACTGTCATACTCTGTGCCTAGACATTCACTCTGCGAATAACATCTTGTATCTTTCCTTACTTAATATTACCAGGTGCTGCTAATGAAGTAGAATATGAATCACTGGTGCTGCGTAAGGCCGTCACCCATTTCTGTGGCAGCTTGTGTAGCCCCATGTACTGCTTTATAATGAGTTTTGTTTTCCAGATTTTTAGATTTACTGTCAATGTTTTACTTTGCCAACAGCCCTTTGTAAAGGAGTAGAATCTTATTTTTCCTCTGTGATACTTGTATTTGATGTTACCCTATATCCTCTTTCCACAACCTTAGGCCCGTTCTTGCTGCAGTGTTATCAAGTTGGCAGCCAGCCCAGCACAGCCATGTTCCACAGTGAAGAGAATGGATCAAAAGGAATGGACCCACTAGTTCTTATAGATGCCATTGCTATCTGCATGGCTTATGAGGAGAAGGAGCTGTGTAAGATAGGCGAGGTGGCACTTGCTGTCATCTTTGATGTAGCAAGTATCATTTTAGGATCAAAAGAACGGGTAAGATTCCTCTTGAATTTCAAAAAAAATTATAAAACCATATCTGCGAAATGTAACCAACTCAAGCTCCACTTGTTTAACGTTTAGATCAGTTACCTGTTCAATTGTGAAATATTGTCAAATTACAACTTTTTTTTTAAACTCCAGGCTTGTCAGTTACCATTATTTTCTTACATTGTGGAACGTCTCTGTGCCTGCTGTTACGAGCAAGCTTGGTACGCCAAGCTAGGAGGTGTGGTGTCCATTAAATTCTTAATGGAAAGACTTCCTTTGATCTGGGTCCTTCAGAACCAGCAGACATTTCTCAAGGCTCTCCTTTTTGTCATGATGGATCTCACTGGAGAGGTACTGTGGCCTTGGTTCTGTTATAATGAGGATTAGACATAACTGAAAATATTTGTCTGTGTGGCTTGAGGTAACAACTAACAGTGCTCACATTGAGGCTCATAAAAAAAATTGATGGACAGGATGTTGCATAAATTGGCAACCCTTTACCCAAAGGGATTTAATTAATTCCTTGGATGAAATAATATTTTGAATGCAGTTGTGCAGTAACACTGCAATCCGTATTGTGTAGTAGACATGCAAATTAGTTTAAAATTAGGCACATTTATCCCAGGGATATATATATCTCTTATAATTCTAAAGCTTTGATTTATTTTGCTTAGCTTCATCAGATCGAATACAATGCAACATGAAGTACTTCTGAGTATGTTGGCAGATACAGAATGTAATGTCATTAGGATTTTTAAAAATAAAAAATTCTAACTTTCATAGTTTATTAAAAAGCAACTGCATAACTTAAATGCAAAGTATTTTATGTAAGCTACTTTTTTTTAAAAACCCATCCTTTTTCACCAAATAACATTTATTTAATATTACCACATTCTTGTAGAGCTTAAAGCTGCATTTTCCTGGCAACAGCATAGAGGACAGTTTTAAATCTGCAAGAACTGAGAGACCTGCACTGTTCAAATCATGTAGTGTGAAGCTATAACTGACTCAGACCTAGGTGGACTGATGAACGGAAATGTCCAAATAAAGAAATAAAAAATTGTAATCTAGGCATATTGCTGCTTTCATTAGAGGAGGAGCAAGATTGTTTCACCAACATTGCAAATCCAATGTCAGCTTTGACATCAGATAAAATAGAGAGAGGTGGGGAAATGTTGATTATATGGATGGAATAAAACAGTTTCATGGGAAGTAATAATTTAGTACAATAGTTTTACTGTATGTGATTTGATCTTATGGCCTTGCATGGAACTATATAATGTAAGTTTCTGGTCAATTTGCTTTGTCTGTGAACGGTATTTAAATTTTGTACCTTAAAAAATAATTGCATTTCTGTTAGGTTTCCAATGGAGCTGTTGCAATGGCAAAAACCACCTTAGAACAGCTGTTAGTTCGCTGTGCAACTCCCTTAAAGGACGAAGAAAAAACTGAAGAGCTTCTTGCAGCTCAAGAAAAGTCATTCCACCATGTAACTCACGACTTGGTTCGTGAAGTGACATCCCCAAACTCCACTGTGCGGAAGCAGGCTATGCATTCTTTGCAAGTGCTTGCTCAAGTAACTGGAAAAAGTGTTACTGAAATCATGGAGCCCCATAAGGAGGTAATTATGAATATAGAAATTGTACTTGATTTATATTACTATTTATAACATCTTTTACGTGTTGGTTTTGACACATTGAGTGCTGAATTCTCAGAGGTGCCATCCTTTGGATGAGACTAAACCGAGGTCCTGCCTGCCAAGGCTCTCCAGATGAAATTGATCATTGACTTGGTTGTTTGTGGAATATTTCTGTGTGTCAATTCATTGTCATGTTTGCCCCTAAAATACAGTCACTACAGTTTACAGTAAATCCTATGAAGAGCTTTGACACGTTTTCCTAATATGAAAGGCTCTGTATCAAATGTAGAGATTGCTATTATAGTAACAGGAGTAGAGAAGAATTTAAGCAGGTGAGCCATCAATAAGAAATTGCGATATGACTGAGTTTAAACAGAAACAAATTTTGGGGGATGGAGTGGGAAAATGAAGCAGATGGCTAACGTTTTAAGATGTTCTAAAAGCATTGTTAAAGTTTGAAGACTGAAAAGTTCTTCAGATAAAATAGTTGCTGCTCTTGCAGTCTGCACTGGACTTGATTGGAAGAGTATAAGAAACCAAGGATAGAGAGTCGGACGTTGTTGTGGTAAATCACAGATGTCTGGATCATGTTTAGCCTCAGAGCAGAGATGTGGGTTGAAGTGGTTTTCCAATTTCACACTTGATTTCCAAAGTGCTACAAAAGATAACCTTGGAGATTTTGAATGCCAGTTTGAGTCACTACATGGGAGAATGTGTGTGTATTTCTTTCTATGGACCCATCATTTTTTTTGACCACTACTAAACATAAAAGATGGTGTCAATGATCTGTGTACTTGAATCAGTAGTCCAGGTGATTTGGGTTTAACTATTATATAATAATGCATGGAATAATTTAACACGCTCCCAGGTCCTTCAAGATATGGTTCCACCTAAAAAGCACTTGCTGCGACACCAACCTGCAAATGCTCAGATTGGATTGATGGAAGGAAATACTTTCTGCACAACCTTGCAGCCAAGGCTCTTCACTATGGATCTCAATGTTGTGGAGCACAAAGTCTTTTATACAGAGGTAAGTGCTGGGTGTGTTTAATGTTTAAGGCATTGAAATCAACATTTGGTGAGTCATATTAAGTAGTGTGATTTAACTATAGTTTAAGATTAATAAAAATATAGTGGTAGGTTAATGGGAAATGGAGACGGGTGTCGAGCTTGTTCCTTGAAGTTTATTTCACTAACCTGTACAAATAGATGACATTTAAAAGGCCTGTATATGCTCTACATAGACGTTATCAATTCTTTTGACATTGTGAAGAAGGAAGAGGAGAGATTCACTTGTAGGTGTCTTCTAAGTGAGAATATTCTGGTTTCATGTTGCAGAAGATTGTACCTTTGCCGGTAGAGAGGCAGAGAAGGGATTGAGGAGGAATTATCCAAAAAGAAAATGGGTATTGGATAGATTACTATCTATGGTAGTGTTTAAAGGTCCACCTAGCTACATATGCAGATTAAATCCTTTACATATTTTACATTCATGATTGTGAGGATTTCTAGAACCAGTTCTTCTTCACCTAGGCCATTCTGGTAATAACATATACGTCTACAGTGATAATTCTAGTTGTTTAATGGAGGTGGGTGCTTCATACTAGCTTGAGAGCTGATCGATGGCTACCCAACCCCCAAAACATCACCACACAACTGTTATCAGTTTCCTTGGACATGTGAGCCATTTATGGGTTTAAAAAAAAGGAAAACATTTATGTAAGATTTTTTTTACAAAAAATAACATGGACTGAAATTATTTGTACAAGTACAAAGTTGAAGTATGCAATGTTATTTCAGCTGATTTCGTCGATTTCTTAAGCCACTATGTTCCACTTACTGAATGCTTTTATCTCATTACAGTTATTAAATCTGTGTGAGGCAGAAGATGTCGCACTTATGAAGCTGCCATGCTACAAAAGCCTACCTTCACTTGTGCCATTACGCATTGCTGCCCTAAGTAAGTGAGAAGATGATAACACAAAAACAGAAAGCTGCTGTCAACTCAGCCATTTAGGAGTTATTTATGTTCACTTGCAATTTGGTACCATTTGGCAATGAATTAACGGGCTGTTTAAGAGATGCCTAATGACTGGTTCTTTGAGCTGCTTTAAGAGGAAATTATAGGTGGGTGTAGTACTTTACACGCTTACCTGTGAATTGGTTTACAAAGTTGAGCAATGACTGAGTGGTGAGGTGTGACAATAGGTTGGTGCACCAACATAGGGCACCGTGAAGTGATGAGAATTGTTTGATTTTTACCCCTTTTCCTGAGTTTCTCCTGGGCTTGTGTGCCTGGTGAGGATTCGCTGGGTTGCTCATACGGCCAGGCTCCTTGGAGTACCTCCTTTTGGAGGGGTGACATACCTTCATGAAGAAGTAAAAGATTATGTAATGGCTAGACAAATCTTTTACAAAACAGTTTGGAGCCCAATATACACCCTCTTATTGAAATCTAGTATGATGTTAATCTGAAATATTCCAGATAAAAAAGGATGCAGAAAAATCGTAAATCCAGGATCTCATAAAAAGGTGTTCAGTCAGTTAGTTCTAGTGACCCCAAACTATGCACCGGAAGTTTTTAAAAATAAAATGCATTGGTAATAAAATCTATTGTTGTCAGCATTATATTTTGAATCTGAGATTTATGCTTGCAACATACATTGTATAATTATACAACTGAAAACCATTAAAATGTTGTCAGGGCAGCACGCATATGGGAATTGATCAGTATGTTAAAAAGGAGACAAAAACGTGATGGAGTGGCTTCTCATTTTCCTAGAAGTTACACCTTCCTCTTCATATTAACAGCACACACAGGATCATCAACGTCAGCAAAGAATTTCAAACCCAAATTGAAAATATGTACATGTACCACGTATTTATTATCTTGTCTGCTGTACTGAATTGTGTTAATATGTTTTCCTTCCTGTTTACTAAAAAAGAAACCTAACCCTACTTTGTTCTGGATTTGCTTTTAACTCACATACTGATAAAGCAGAAAGTTAATTACTGGCTTGCATTGCACAAATACTTTTTTTTTAAACCATTGATTCTTTTCATTTGTTCAACAGATGCGCTAGCTGCCTGCAATTATTTGCCTCAGTCACGAGAAAAAATAATTGCAGCACTTTTCAAGGCTCTAAACTCTACTAATAATGAATTGCAGGAGGCAGGAGAAGCTTGCATGAGGAAGGTCAGTTGCATGGTGCTCATATACAATATGGAGTTGTTAAAGAGATAAAAACAACTTCTTGGATTTATATACTGGCTTCATATAGAGTTCTGTCTTTGGAGAAAAATACAGAGCAGGGAGGGTGGAGGGGAGATAGGATCCTAGGCAAGGTAGGTTTTAGGTTTTTAGGCATCCTTAAAGATAGAGGGTTGAGATGGAGAGATTAAGGGAGGGATTTCCAGAGATGCTGAAATCTTGGTTGCTGATGGTGAGGCAAAGGGGGCAAAGAACATGTATGGTCCGAGGTTGCCAAGCAGAGGGACTGAGCTGGAGTGAGACTTGAGAAGGTAACATAAATATGGAGGTGTAAGAGCTGTGGGGGGAGGGGAATGTGATGAGAGTGAGGATCTTGAAATTGATCCACTTCCAACGGAAGTCAACGGTGAGCAGATGGGCATATGAAACTTTGTGTAGGTAGGAATGGGGGCAAGTCAAGTTTTGGATAAGGTGGAGCTTGTGTATTTTTCTGAGTGTGGACTTTATTTGGGAATGATGCTAATTCTAATGTTTAATTTTTCTTTAGTTTTTGGAAGGAGCTACTATTGAAGTGGATCAAATCCACACCCACATGCGACCCCTGCTGATGATGTTAGGTGACTATCGCAGCCTGACGTTAAATGTTGTGAATCGCTTGACTTCTGTCACAAGGCTGTTCCCCAACTCCTTTAATGATAAATTCTGTGATCAAATGATGGTAAGTATGTGAAGGATTTCCCAATAATAGCCTGATATTGAGCTCGTTAAAGTTTAAGGAATTTAAAATTAAGGAACTTAAAAAGTTTAATAGCCCAGCATAGAATGATGCATTGCACATACTGCAACCTAGAAGAGAACTTCAGCTTTCTAGCAAACATTTTCTAATTTAAAGTGAGGTGTAAATGTTTTTTCTGACACTCTTTATATTAGAGTGAATGGTACATGTGTTTTATATTTCCATGCATTCTGCAGTGAATTATTTTCAATTCGTGTGATGAATCATTATAGATTTATACATTAACTGCAGTTGTAATCAAACCTCATTGTTTTTTATGTTTCCAATGTCCAATTTGAAAATAACATCCACAAAGTCACAGACAAGTAAAGACAGGAGTTGATAAGATGATGACTCGATGCTCAGATAGACAAAGTCCTAACCTCACAAACTTTCTTCATAGCTATATCTTTTCATTTCTAGTATCATCCTTGTGAACCTAAGATGCACCATCTCATCTCCATAGATGAAATAACTTTTTATAATGTGTCACCACAACTGCACACAATTTACAGCCAACTGTCGCTTAACCAATGTCTGGTGCAGATTTATCATTTACTTTGTCTTTAATGCCTCTGTATATGAAACTCAGAATCCTGTGTGGCCTTTTAACAGCCTTCGCTAATTACAATCACACTTAACAAACAAGTATTTGTACTCTCAGATCTTTGTTCCTCCATTTGAGAAGTCTACCACTCTTTTCTCAAAACAGGTATATCAAGAGTCAATTGTACCGCATAAAATTCCATGCTATTACATTAAGACTAGATTCCGGGTAGCTAGCTCAGCCTGTACTTTCTCCTTCGTACTTTTCTTGTTGGAATGCGATTAGGAATTTCCCATAGCACAAATACTTAGAATGAATAGCGTCTGAGCTCCAGTGCTATTTGCTGGGAGCAGTCTGGCAGTTCATTAAAAGGCAATATTGTTTTGAATGATACAATGATGCAAATCTTGCAAAAAAAATCACATTTATATGTATGTATGAATGTATGTATGACTGTATGAATGAATGAATGAATGAATGAATGAATGAGAAGATTAAACAATGTGACAATGTGTATTTTAGGTGGCTCGCATAGTGTTCAGGTGCCTGCTATTTTGAGCTTATTGTTATTGCTGAATTATAGCGTACTCTAAAATTAAGTACTTCAAGCAACATAAGAACAGAAGCAATGTGACTTTCAAATCCTTTAGAGTAATGGATGTGCCTCAGCAATTGTACGTTAAGGTAATATTATTCTCTGCAATAAAAACTTGTGCAAAAAATTAATTCTGAGTTTAAATCTGCTAATAGGCTTGGGCTTGAATATCAGAAAAAGTTCAAAAAAAGACAAATAGAGCTACTATTTTTAAAGAGTTCTAGGAATATTCAGTAGTTGCTCAGCGTCTTATCTATACACTGACCAATTGGTTTCTCTTTGCACTTATTGATATTAATTTTCAATAATTATTTTTAGAAATTTCATATACTGCTTTCTCTTCCTACTTTTTCCCTGTAAACTTTGCAGTTTATTTTATCACCATTTTATTTGACTGCCCATTGTGGTGAATGTTCATGTAACTTACATTTTCTTGAATGCGAAGAATTTTATCTTGCGTCGGAATCCTGTAGCTCAGTGGTTAGAGCACTCACCTTGCAAGCGAGAGACCTGGGTTTGATTTCCGGCAGGGCGAAACCTTGGGCAAGTTTCCTTACTCCACAAGCACTGAATAAACATCCCTCAAGAAAATAAAAAAAAGTAATAAATTGATCACTTCAATCCACAACTGTTTGTGGGACACTGCTGTGTGCAATTGGCTGCCATGTTTCACCCACAAATATACAGTAAATTTACTTCCTGTGAAGTGCTTTGAGACATCTAGAAGATGTGAAAAGCGCTATATCAAATGCAAAAATTATTATTATAATCAGTGAGATTGGTTTTTAAAGTGTTACATTTTTACCTGAACCGCTTTTTTCCCTCAAACCTTTAAAGTTTTGCTCAAAATCATCCATTTGTCCTATTTTTCACTGGTGATATTTTCCAGTTAATTTTAAATGTAAATCTTGTTGCAGTCACTAGTTCCTGCAGTTCCATGACTTCTATAAGCACTTGACTCATGGAACAAACACACAATACTAAGTGGAGCTTTCGTCATGCGTCAGATGGTATCCCTCCAATAATGAATGACCTTTTCACATTAGGTTAAATTAGAGCAGTGAAATATTATTCTAAAATGGGACTGATTGCTTAATTAATGTTAGAAATGATTAATTGCTTTATTTGGTTCTTCTTTTTTTATTGGATAGTGGCATGATAGTGATGGAGTATAATGTATAGTTGATGATTTAAACTTGTTTTGAAATTAATGAGGTAGGGAGATTGTATAACAATTTGTTGGACGCTCACTCATTCTCACAAGTATAACAAATTCTACTTCTGCCCCTTGTGGGTTTTTCATCTGTATAACTCTTCTTAAGTGCATTTGTTTAATTATAAGTGAAAGCATTTAAAGCAACCATCAGAAATACAATTGTGGGTTGCAGTGCTTTCGCCCTTTATTCTCAGGGTACATACAAGTGATGATCACTGCAGTACTTAGATTTTTATAACCAAACTTGATATTGTTGAAAATACGCTCTGTATGTAGAGCAGTGAAAATTATTTAAAATTCTTATTGAAGCAGACTTGACTCCCAAAATTGCAAGTCAGCTATGGTCTGTTTCACACGTGGGAGTAAATATCACCGGCTTCATACAGAATTCAGTTTATTAATTGCTGCCTTATGATTTTGATGAGCCTTTCTAGCTCATCAAAGAGACTTGAAAGAATTGAATGTTTCCATTCCTGCAAGGTTAGCCCCTAATGGGTAGGTGGTCCTAGCTATTTTGTTTTGAGTAGTGTTGAAAATTTTAGGTGTTTGATATTAATCTGAATAGAAGGCTATACAAGAAGCTATACCTCAGTACAAATAACTTTGATGCAATCGCTTTAATTTTTCTTCCTTCTACAACAACAAGATTACATTTGTATAGCGCCTTTCTATGATTCCTGTTCCACGTCATGAATTGATACTGTAGTTCATTCCTGTAGAACTGCTGAATTGAAATCATTTCTCTTTGTATTGTCTATGGCACATAATATTCCATTGATGACGGAACACTGTTGTGTAGGTTCTCTGATATTTCACACTAAGTTGAATTATAGGAAGTATTGCATTCAATGAAAAATGTCCTTTATGCTTTCCAACACAATTATATTATGGGGGAAGAAGCACTTTGACATGTATATGTTAGAAATCAGGGTGGTGGCTTTGAAACTTGTTGAACACATGATTTTTCACACAGAAGGGGGAGAAAATTTATTTTGGGGGTAGCACATGCCTCCCTTTGAATAACGAGACCCTATATCCAGTATAGAGGTTGAACAATTGTCTGGTCCTTCTAAGATTACAGTGAATTTTAAGTTCTAAGCGTCCTAAAAGCTGATGTCACGTATTTACCCAGCTGTTCATTTGGATGAGGAACATGAATTGTACTGAACAAATGATTGAGACTTCCGGACAATCTAAATGAAGTTTCCAAACCCAATTTTAGACCAAATATGGCATGTTACATCATCCTGTTCAGCCTGATTTGCCCTGCTGTTGTAGTTTCTTTGTTTATAATTACTTTATTATGTTTTGAAACAAAATAGATAGAATCACCACTGAAAGGTATTTTGCAAGGTTTGCCAGGAATAAAGTAATTAGCTTCAAATTGGACAGGAGAGGTTTAAACATCCAATTAATCAGATGCATAAAGATGTCTTTCCCATTCACATCATGGGAAATTTTATATAAAACCTCGACTTCGATGCTCTTCTTTTACCAGTGGCTTTTAACATTCCTAGCATGTGTCGTAAGGGGGAACTGCCTGTTTAGGAATCTGCCTTAAAAGCATTTGTGCATTCAATAGAATTCACTTTTAGCATTTTAATAATTCATACTGCATACTTTATTTGCAATTGTTGAGGATATCAGGACCTAACAGATAAACTGATTTGAGATATGCATGGCAAAGTGGCATGTTAAATGAGGATTAAAAAAAATGTTACACAGGTGAATACTTTGTTTTCTTAAAAGAGCATTTGATTACCCAATAACTATCCGAAGGAAGTAATGCATGAACAAATAAATGCTATTTTAATTTTTGCTCAAGTTCCACATCCACACCATTGTATGGCAAATGAAATGTTTGATTTAACCGCATAAAATTTAATGGATAACCTTGTTTTTAATCTTAGCAACACTTGCGTAAGTGGATGGAGGTGGTGGTTCTCACTCACAAAGGAGGACAAAGAAGTGATGGAAATGTAAGTAATTTAGCTATTAGAGCAAATTGCCTGCATTTGTCTATTCATTAAGATAAATGCATTTTTTTTGTTTATGTAAGACATTCAGTGCTATTTAAAGAGAAAAACACCCATTACGACTAATTAAGAATGTTGTGGCTCTCGGACTATTCTAATGATGTCTGTGGGGTGTTCTCTTTTAATGACAGATAACCTTGATAAAAGTATGACCGAAATAGTAATTTGCAAAAACTTTGTGCTTAATTGTTTCAAGAACACCTAATTAAATTTCAGCGTTCAAAGTAATTTTTAAGGCCTTTGGCTTTTGTGAACAATTAACTTCAGAAATTGGCAGCTCATCCTTTTACGACGATTCATTAGGAGACTGCCCAATCTGAATAATGGTAGTTTCAGCAACTAATATTTTGACATGGACACATTTTGCAGTTATCCGGGCTCATGTTATATTTTTAATTTCATCCCCTCTGTTTCTCTGTAGGAGAGGACTTTTATGACTGTTTGTCCAGCTTTTGCAGACAAATACATGCTACTGAATACATTAAAATGTTTTAAACCTGTACCGCATATTAACTTTCTCCATTTGAAGTAGGATCTCTACCTAAGACTTGGTATGGAGGCCCCATATGTAGACTTGTTGTGTAGGTTTCTTCTGTAAAATAGGTTGTACTGGTGAAACTTAAGTTGGCTGTTGTCAATTTTTAATTTTTCTCGAGCTTGAGAAATATTTGTTGGAAAGTAGCTATTCAATATTTAAACATGTCTCACCATTTTGCAAATGCTTTAGAGCTTGAGTTCCTATAAATCATAGTTTTGTTGCGTAATTGGAGTTATCTGGTTTGTCCCAAGTTAAAAGTAGGAAGATCTTATATCCCATTTAGTGTAATCGCTGTCACAATGTAAGGCAGCAATAATTTCCTTTGACATTTAGTGAGCTTCTCACATAACAATCCCAGTGAACAGGTTAGGTTTGGCTTGCTTTGCTTACATTCTTTTTATGCGTGTGCCATATTAGCAATTGGTTGGCGTTTCTTCTGATTTGACATACTGAAATATGGAATTAAAATTTTCATGCAAAGATTTTGCCACAAAGTTACAGATGGGTATTCATTAATTCGACTGTGCTCATTTTATAAAAATCTTTCTTACGCAAACACTTTACAATTCACAAGACCACATTTACTAGCTATGGTTAAACCTGCTTTGGTAGGTCTCTGAGGATTTATAGATTTGCTGAATCTGATTTATTGTGAGTACAGTAGCACCTAATGTCTGCCCTGTTCAATTGTTATGTTATGATTCTTGTTTTGGTTTAGCCTGCCATGGAAGGGGTAGAGGTGAGAATTCTGGTAAAGGCCAAGTGTGAACAGGAAGATGTTACTGTGGTGTTTTTTCTGTTTTGTTCTGATGTTCCAGCTGGTGTAGTGTTCTGTGGTTAGCAGTCGTACGTTTTGCTTGAAATTGCTGTAGCAATTTCCAGTGGTTGCTTCTCTGTGGTATTGTTTTGTTAATGAGACCACATTGAAATATAAAGGGTGAGGACACATGTGGAGAATTTGTTTTAGGTCATATATTTTTAGTTTTTCTATACCTGTTAAAAATATTTTTTCCCTATGTTTTTTTTTTCCTGTTGCCTCTGTCTGTATGTGCTATCCAACCCTAATCAATCTCTTTTAAGTTGAGCTGGACTGACATATAAAGTTGATTGTGGTCTGCCACATGACTCAAGCAAGTCATTTATACTTTTTGATTCTGAATGCCAAAATCAAATTATAATTGGTTCGCTGTTTGAGTACACCACCAGACATTTCTAGCTAAGAGCTTGTTTTGTTTGCTTAACTGGGAACAATGGATTTTTTGACGATTAGGTTTGGAATAAAGCATTCAACCACTTTAGCCACCATACGGCGTGTCTGGAAAGTTCACTCGGGCTGCTTATTTTAACCTTTTAAATTCTTTTTTTTCTCCCTCCCCTCTTCCTTCTTGACCTTGTGAAGAAAAAAACCTAATTTACATATATTTTATGTATGACTGCATATAGTTTATTTATATGATCATGTATGGCACAAGGTAGATGAACTGACCTCCATTCTCTTTCTTTACTATTTCTCAAATTACATAGTTGAATAAATTGTACGATCTGTACAAAAAATTGAATGCTGACTGGAGCTATCTTTAATCGGCACTTTTACATTTTGATGGTGGTTCTTAATTCATATGACATTTTACTGCTGCATCTCATCCCAGTGCGTTTCAGTGGGCACTGAGTATATGGTTTGCAAAATTAGGATTATACAAAAGTACAGACATTTTTGAGTTATGATAGTGTTAAGATGTACAGCAATCAGACTTTATTAAGTAGAGCTAAGCTTTGGTTAATCAAATCTACTTCCAGCAATGCTATTGCGCTGCACCAGTTGAAAGATCAGCAATGATTTGCTGCTAGAACATTGTATCAACAATTTATCATCAAGAACAGAAAATTGACGATAGTAATGTATCTAGTTAATTGAGTGATTCTGTACAGTATCTTGATTTGATGCCCTTTCATAATGTTGTTTCTAATTAACTTGTGCAGGAAATGAAAATCTGTTCGGCCATCATTAATCTGTTTCACTTAATCCCGGCTGCACCTCAAACCCTGGTGAAACCCCTATTGGAAGTGGTGATGAAAACTGAAAGGGCCATGCTTATTGAGGTAATAAATGTGAAATTGTGTTCTGGTCAAACTATTTAAATAAATGTGGGAACTGACATTCTTCTGTTAATTGTGTAATCTTTCATGATCACAGAATTTTTAAATGCACAGCATTTCTTTTAATTGCAATCTAGCTAACCCCAACCTAACTTGTTTAACACTATGTATAATTTAACGTTGGTTGGTTATTTAATATACTTGAATTTGATGCAGTAAACTCATTCTGTAGACTTGGAGCAATGGGTCAGGGATGTGACGCTATCAGCCAGTGCATGCGTTATGGGTTCCTTAGCATCAGTTGAACCGCAGAAAACAGGCCAGTGGGTTTCATGAATAAAATAATAAAGAGGTATAATAATAAAGTGGTATATTGGACAAACAGGAGATTGAGATTTGACCAGATGTCTAATGAAAAATAATGCAGGGCAGAATTCATGGTCTGAATGGTGTGCTGTACATTCTATGGTTCTTCAATAGTTTAGTACTAACGTGGAAATATATCAACTCAGTGTGAGATATAGCAACTCTTTCCATCTAACTGAAATAATGCCATTATTGACAAAATACAACGTTAATCAAAGTTTTGCATGCCATGTCAAAGATTGAATATGTTAATAGTTAAAATTTAGAGTAATCACTTTTTCGTGTTTCCTGTTTTATGTGCAGGCTGGAAGTCCATTCCGTGAGCCTCTGATTAAGTTTTTAACTCGTTACCCAGCACAGACTGTCGAACTTTTTATGATGGAAGCCACTTTGAATGATCCTCAATGGAGCAGAATGTTCATGGTAATCAGTTTTATATCAAAATTGTATTGGAATAGTTCAATAGAGTCCTGTTAATGCATGTTAGTGGGGGTGGGTCCATAAAATCCCAACTAACAGTATGATGGTGTGTGATAACAGGCTGCATTCTGTGGGCATAAAGATGACGGCTCCATTGGCATTTCAAAACATTAGCCAGCCCGACATGGGTCATCAGGTTACCGGGCAGGCAGCACGTAGGAAGTGACTTGATGATATTTTGATGGCTTGGATGTTGGCTATTTTATCTGTGCACCATCTGGTGCCTTGAAGTGCAATTTGGATTTTTGGGGTAAATAAATGTCAGGATCTAATTGTGCTATAAGCAAACCTGTGTTATAACTAAGTGGATTGCCTCCTACTTTGTATGCTAGATATCCAATGGGTTTATTATCTATATGCTTAAAAGAGAAGAAATGAAAATATTGTAAGGAAACTAAATAAGATCGGTATTTTTTATTTTGTAAGGTTTCCTTGTCTTTTACCTTCCCCCTTTCCCCAGTCTGATAACTATTTAGCCTATTTAGCCTATTTAGCTTCAATAATAAGTTCATTGATTTCAATAGGAATTAGTGCTTCAAGATTGCCTTTGGGTTTATGCAAATCTGCAGCAATTAGAAAAGGTTACTACCAGCTGAGAACTGCTGTAAGGATAGAATAAAATAGCACATTTTAATAAAGCATATTTTAATACAGAATATGCTTGATTCTCAGAGTAGATTGACAATTACCCTTATACAATTGACAGCTAATATTGAACACCACAGAGCTAAAAAGTCAGTGAAAAATATCTTTGGATAATGTCAATAGTTTCCTCAGTTAGATATGGGCCCCAAACAATTTCTTAAATTGGCAGAATTTATATTTTAATTGTGTACTGTAGAAAGATAATGAAGGTAATCAGATTGGACATAGCAATCTTATATTGATGGTGTTGGGGGAGGGAAGAGAAATCAGTTTAATATTCTGCATTTCATGCCAGTTCACTGTGTTCGTTCGAACAACTTTATTCTAAATGGCTGCACTTGTTAATGAGAAAGTGGGTGGGACATGGCTGGCTAGGCCATATAGATTGCTGGTCTACTGCCTGAGATTACGCAAAGTTCCTAGAAATTCAACAACCTGTTCCAGAGTCGTTCATCCTCTCTTCACCATCGTACTTTCACCTTGCTTTCATTGCAGAGTTTTTTAAAACATAAGGATGCAAAACCCCTGCGTGATGTTCTTGCTGCAACTCCAGGTCGTTTTGTCAACCTGCTGTTTCCTGGAGCCCAAGCAGCAGTCAGGCCTGGGTCTCCCAGCACCAGCACCATCCGATTAGATCTACAGTTTCAAGCAATCAAGGTAAATCTGGTTAATTTCATTGCAGTACTAGATTCTCATTTCAACAAATTGAATGTTTATTCAAATAATTTGCTTTTAGTTTGGAATCTCGGCCGGCCCCAAATCCTGAAGCCTTATGAAGTCACTTGTTGGAACACCAATAACTATCATCAGAGTAATTAATTGCCTGATGGGAAGCAAGCCTCAAATTTGTGATCAGTGTTTTGTGAGGATATTTCCTACGAGGCAATAATTTTTTTTATAGCACGTTAGTCACTCTCACTCTGTTTAATAGATTATCAGCATAATTGTGAAGAATGATGGGAATTGGCTGTCAGGTCAGCAGCAGTTGGTGAGCCACTTAAGGCGGGTCTGGGTGAGTGACGCCTTCCAGGAACGGCATCGTAAGGAAAACATGGTCGCTACCCATTGGAAAGAGCCAAAACTGCTAGCATTCTGCCTACTCAATTACTGCAAGTATGTATACACTTTGATTTAAGCAAATGTTTAATGTAGTTGTTGATGGGATAAAGATTAGTCTTTTAGTGCAATTTTGTATACAGCACATAGTATTCAGTCTTCATTAAAATTAACGTTCATGTTTCTAATATTTAAGTTGTGCAGTCACTTTTTTAAAAAATGTTCTGTTATGATTTATGGTTCCCTAAATTGTTTGCTACATGCATAGCTTGTTCATGGTTATTGTGCCTTATGTGCACTTTTATGTGCATTTCTGAAAATTGCACAGTTTTGAACAATAATGCATTTAACAGTTTTTTAGCCGTGTTTTCAATAGCTTCAGTACTTATTCTCATCCTCTTTTAAGAGATAGGTGGAGTTTGCAGGTTCCTTTATACTGTAGTTTTAATAGTCTATTAAGATTTATAAAGTTAAAAGAAATAACTTGTTCTAAAGTTTTTTTGAAAGAAATTACTTTTTTTTCACCCACAAAATACAAAACCAATTCACTTTATAGTACATTCTGTGAAGTGCTTTGAGATGTCTCAATGATGTGATAAGGCACTATATCAAATGCAAGGATTATTATTCCGAAATAGTTTTCCCCCAAATAGAGAAGGAAAATATATTGTTTCAAAATAATAGTTTTCCCATAGTGAGGACTCCTTACTATAAAACCATACCTGAGGAGGATTTCCCCCTCCCTCTACAGTAGGCCTCTCCAGTGAAGTGACGATTGTTATGTGTAGCTGGAGGAGTTTCATTGAGCTGAGAGAGGATGGTAGCTTTGGAGTAAACTGGAGAAAGTTCCGTATTGCATTGTACGTCATCAGAGATGTCAAGTGCAGGAGGGAGCAAATCCACGTATTGTTATTAGTGAAATTCTCATTGTTTTGCGAAGATATTTTGTGTCTACCACCAGTGAGAGCACTTTGAGTTAAAACGTAGTCACATCTGATTTTTTTTGATTTAAAGCAAAATGTATATTTGTTGTAAATATTTATGAATTCCTCCAGGCGCAATTTTGCGGAGATCGAGCTGCTGTTTCAACTACTACGTGCATTCACCGGGCGATTCCTGAGTAATATGACTTTCCTTAAGGAGTATATGGAAGAAGAGATCCCCAAGAATTACAGCGTGGCGCAGAAACGTGCTCTTTTCTTCCGTTTTGTGGAGTTTTACGATCCAAACTTTGGAGATGAGCTTAAAGCCAAGGTGAATGTTGTGCAATAGAAATAAGCTGATTGAGAGTTTGAAAACCCTACAGGCCTACCAAAGCCAACCACTGTATAATGTTTTATCAACTGACATTCAAATTCACTAAATCATATGGAAATGTCATAAATTATACTGAAACAAGCTGGTTGTAATGGGTGTGTTGTCTTGAAGTCATTTACCAAGTCAGATAATCAGGCACACAGATTATTTTTATGCAAGAGTTATCTCATATTACTGAAAAGAAACAAACATTACCTAAACAATTTGTTCTGTTTGCATTCATCAGATTACTTATTAAATGCTTTTAATGAACCACGATATTTGGCATCTGTTCATTTTGGATGTGGTGAAATTCAGTTGGCTTCTTGGTTCATAAGTTTTGATCCTTGCTCTATGCTCTTATTACGTGTACTGTTTTATAATGTAGTTAATTATTAATATATACTTAACATCTCTATGGTAGGGAAATATTACTTCTACATTTAATGCTTTTAATGGTGTCCATCCAGCTTTGGGACTTCCACCTGACATGAAAGGTGCTATATATTAGATTGTACATGTATGTAATTTCTAATGTTTATATTTCTATTATGGCTGCAAATGATTTTTGCTTATTTATCTTTCATTACCTTTACAAATTTGAAGTGCAAATGTCTTCATATAATCAGCATATTGAAGATACGAAAACTGCATGCTCAAGGAAAAATATAATCCTGTTAGAACAAAATATACTAGAATACATGTTAATTTTTTCACATGTTAATGTACATTTGATTGGTGTAGATGTATTGTGAACTGTATGTTTACAGCCTTCGTATTGTTTTCCATTCAGGCTCTGCAGCACATCTTGATCCCTGCTTTTCAGTCCAGTTTTGATAAGGGCGAAGGGGAGCAGTTACTGGGACCTCCTAATCCTGAAGGAGATAATGCAGAAAGCATCACTAGTGTTTTTATCACCAAGGTGAAAAGAATATAATAGTTTTGTGTGTTGACATTTATGCTAGTGAATGGTTTGAATGTATAGATTCAGTTGGTGTTGTAAAAGATTTAATTTTAAATTATTAATCAGTATTAAGTTGTGAATGTGCTTCGTTAGAACTGAATGTCGATTCACTTGTCAGCTCATAAATCATTTCAAATTTCACAAAAAAATTGTACACAATGTTCACATTGCAAAGATCCCAAATCCCAAGTTGTAAGAATTTCCCCACTTAGCTGTTCTGGTGCCATGTTGAGTAATAAATGTTCTAACTTGCATTCAAAATGCCCAAGCCTTGTACATTTAAAAATATAAAATATATGTGTTTCACATTTTTTTAAAAAATACGGTCAATCCACTTTACAATAAAGCTGGGAAACGCTTTGAGATGTCTCAACGATGTGCTATATCAAATGCAAGGATTATTAATATTTAATATATGTGAAAATGGAGCTGGTCTGAATTAATACATTATCTGTAAAATCACAATATTGTCAATGTTGTTTTATTGTGGGGAGTTATACAAATGTAATCTTTTGTATCCCTTTCTTAGGTGCTGGACCCAGAGAAACAGGCAGACATGCTGGATGCTCTAAGGATTTATTTACTACAGTTTGCAACACTGCTTGTTGAGCACGCACCTCATCACATCCATGACAATAATAAGAACCGAAACAGTAAACTCAGGCGCCTGATGACATTTGCTTGGCCTTGCTTGCTTTCCAAGACTTGTGTAGACCCAGCCTGCAAGTACAGTGGGCACTTGTTGCTTGCACACATCATAGCTAAATTTGCAATTCATAAGAAGATTGTCTTGCAGGTAACCATAAACAGTAATTTAACATTGATCTTTGTGTGATCTTGAGGCAGCGCTATTTGGTAAAGTGCTTCAAGACAATATCCTATGGGAATCGTTTTATATAAATACAGGTTGTATTCTTGCAAATGCCATAACTAATTATGTTGATTCAGCATAACTAATAAACCATTCATACTTTGTGAAGATAGGATTTTATATTTAAGTACTAATGATAAGTGGGGGAAAAAGTAGTCCGTAAAATGCTGTTTCTGAAGAATTAAGTTTATAGTGCCATTTTGTTATTTATGCAAAGAACCTTTATAATAATAATAATCCTTGCATCACTGTAAAGTGAATTGACTGTATATTTGTGGGCGAACGCGGCAGCCAATTGCGCACAGCAATGTCCCACAAACAGTCGTAGATTGAAAATGACCAATTTATTATTGGTTTTGGAGGGATTATTATTAGGCTCTGTGTGGAGTAAGGAAACTTGCCCAAGGTTTCGCCCTCTGCCTGGAATTGAACTCAGGTCTCTCACTTGCAAAGCGAGTGCTCTAACCACTGAGCTACAGGACTCCTGTAGTTGGCAATAACGGATGTCGTTACTGGATCAAGAGCACCGGGACGCCACCCTGCATGAGGGGCTGCGTTTTGCCAACAAAATATATAGACTTTACAGTATATTCCGTGAAGCGCTTTGAGAAGTCTCGGAGACATGATAAGGCACTATATCAGATGCAAGGATTATTATTTTTATAATTCTAATATTATTCTGAATTATTCTAATTCACTGCTCTTTTCCCTAAACCCGTTTATTTTCTTTTTCTTCAAATACTTACCTAATTCCCTTCAAAAGCCACTTGTGGCATAACTAATTATGTTGATTTAGCATAATAAACCATTCATGCTTTGTGAAGATAGGATTTTATATTTACTACTAATGCTAAGTGGGGGGGAAAGTAGTCTGATGCACACTGACATCTCTGTATCCTCCTGTACTTTGTCTGAAACACAGGCAGTGTAAAGATAGGGCTTTGATGATTCCCCTCAGGATAAACATTGGATTAATTGTATACATTGTTAGGTTGAAGCTTACAGGGTAAAATAATTCCTCTTGCTTTCCCTTTTAAAACAAGAAATTGGAAATTAATTTCCAATTTAGCTTTTAACTTTTTTTGGCTGATATGGGAGCAGTAGCAATGTTTTTTTTTTTTTTTAAAAAAAAATGCCATTCTCATGCAGACCGAGCATTACTAAACCAAGTTTGGAATGTTCACAATTCCCATAGGTTTTCCTCAGTTTGCTTAAAGCCCATGCGATGGAGGCACGGTTGGTCGTCCGGCAAGCAATGGCCATTCTTACCCCTGCTGTCCCTGCTCGAATGGAAGATGGACATCAAATGCTGACTCATTGGACGCGAAAAATCATTGTGGAGGAAGGACATACAGTGCCTCAATTGGTTCATATCCTACATTTAATTGTCCAACATTTCAGGGTAAGTAAATAATAAATCTATATATTTTTGTGTTTTGAAGTGGTTTGTTCAAAGCTAAAAGTATACAAAACAGTAAATCTTCCTTTTGCCAACACATTCTACTTTGCATTATTCAAATTCCTTCAAGCAATAATAGCCAATCAATAATATTCCTTAAAGGGCATTTTACAGCAAAGATGTTTGGTTAGGAAATGATGAGTAGCAGGTTAGGTTTTCCCCTAAAAATACTCCAACCCAAAGTAAATCCTGGAAATGCTTTTGAGATATTTTGATGACATAAAGCTCTTCATCAAGTGAAAAGATTATTATGAAATTAGTGAATCGGTTTATAGATCTGTGAGTCTGGTATTTTCTTAAGTATACATATTACAATACAATAAAATACACAGAATCCACTTCACAATATATTCAGTGAAGCACTCTGAGAGGTCTCAACAACATAAGTCCCAATATCAAATGGAAGGATTATTGCAATTTTTTTTTAGTGTTCCTTTTCTAAAATGGTGTTGAAAATAATCTTTCTCTTTAGGTGTACTTTCCTGTGAGACACCACCTTGTACAGCACATGGTTAGTGCCATGCAACGACTTGGATTTACTCCTAGTGTTACCATTGAACAGAGGAAGTTAGCTGTAGATCTGGCTGAAGTAGTGATTAAATGGGAGCTGCAGAGAATCAAAGACCAACAGGTAACTATGAATACACTCGGACAACCTCCCCTCCATCTTTAAAAGCACAAAATGCAACACAATGTGCACATTGGTTGGATGTTACTTCTTTTCATCCTCTTCTATTTTTTGCTCTCTCCCTCCATTATTTAAAAATTTAGCCAGAGTCCGAACCAGAGGTCAATAATGGTGGGGAGGGAACCAGTGCAACCAATGGTGGAGTAAAACGAGGGTTATCAATAGATTCAGCTCAGGATCGCTTTAGAACAGCCACTGGAACGGTGAGTATAATCCCAAGGTATATGGCGTTAAAGTGATTTACATTCAATTTTAGATGAATCATATATTTTCTGGGTTCTTTTTCCTAATCTCGGTTTTGTATTTTTTATACAGAAATATTATATAGAAACCGTCTTCTTTTAAAATAATCAGTGACTTGTGTTGTCGGTGTGTAATTTAGTCATTTCCAGGAGTTAGTCCATCCAGTTTACCAAAACATTCCTTTGGCAAATCTATTTCATCGGTAATTTTCAGGAATCTATCTATCTTCTATTTCAAAACCATTTACTCTTCATTGTTCCGCACCTTTGTTTTGTTTATTTGCATGAAAAATCGCATTTACAAAAGTTGTGGATCTTCATTTATCTTAAAGATTCCTATCCCCGTATCTGCTCCCAACTTCGCACTTGCAGTTAAATATAATGGTGTGAACGTTCTTGAAACCTGATCTGATTTTTTTTATTTGATGGACAATTTTGAACTAGTATCGTTGACATCTTAAAATAGCTTTTTCAGAAATAAGGATAAATAATACATAATTTCTATTTTACATATACTTACTCCACATGCCTCTGTTTACCTAGCAGTAAGTAGGAACCCTTGGTTCCTACTTACTGGTTGTAGTAGGTTGTTTGTCGATTGGCGGATCGCTTTTCCGGGGATAATAATCTCTCAAAAAAAGCCAACAATAATAATTTGTCACTCAATCCAATCCATGACTGTTTGTAGGATACTGCTGTGTGCAATTGGCTGCCACGTTTCGCCCGCAAATATACAGTCAATTCACTTTACAGTATATTCTGTGAAGCGCTTTGAGACAGTGAGAAAGATGTGAAAAGCGCTATATCAAATGCAAGGATTATTATTATGATGAGCGCAAGCCTTCTTATAATGTGTTGTACTGAGGGCATATTACCCATGTGAAAGTGTCCTATTTGTGCAGGGTTAATGCAGGGACCGAATCTAGAGAACATTGCATTTAACTGTACTCCAGATGTTTAATCATTATGCTAAAACTGGAAAGCATTTCATTTTCCGCCATGTATATTTAAACCATATAGGCATTTGGGCGTAGCCAATCCTTGCCGGGAGCTGATCATCTGCTTTCTAAACCTATTGATAAGCAACACACTGACACCGTGGTGAATTTCCTCATCAGAATAGCTTGTCAGGTAAGAATCATACTTCCATGTGTAGCTATGTATATTAAGGTTCTCACCCAAGATTTAGTCTTGTTCAGTGTTCAGCACTTGTGTAATGTTAGAGAAGGCACATTCAGAGCAAGTGTTTATTTTGCTTTGTTGTGGTTCTTTTTGTGTGTTTGCTTCAATCCTCTTAACACTTTTTAAATGTTCTCTGCACTGTGTCCTTTTATAATCCTTGTTCGTCCGAAATTGGGAAAATGTTGTTATTGTTCCTGCGGCTGAAAATGAAGCCACGCTTCTTGGCTCCCATCAACATCTTCACTCCTGCGGATCTAAAACTCCTCAACCTCCCTGAGCTCTCCCTCAGACTCACCAAACCAGTGCGCAACCTGGACATCCGATTCGACCCCCAGTTGTCCTTCCTCCCCCACATCCGGTCCCTGACCAGGACCGCCTTCTTCCACCTCCGCCACATTGCCCGCCACTTGCCATTTTATGTTTGTATCTTCTGATATGATAAAATCCTAAATGAACGTTTTTAAAAATATATAATTACTATTCTTTAAGCTTCTATAACGTGTTTGAAAATTTAATCTCAGGTGAATGACTCCTCAAATACAGCAGGGTCTCCAGGTGAAATGCTATCCCGACGCTGTGTTAGCCTTCTGAAGACAGCACTTCGTCCTGACATGTGGCCCAAAGCAGAGCTAAAACTCCAGTGGTTCGACAAGTTACTAATGACGGTGGTACGATTTTACGATTATAGTTCTGAATTTTGTACAAGTTGTGCATTGTGCTAATCTCTTAACATGTTTTGTGCACTAAATGAATTTGCGTCTTTAAGTTTGAACAACTTTAGTTCGTGTCTTGATCAAGCACAAAAAATTATGATAGTGATTGCTCCTTCAGCCCTTAGAATAGTACCAACTAATAACATGTTGGTTCGTAAAATAAATATACGGCTCAACGTTAAATTAAATTTTAGGTCGCATTATTTAATTAATTGTGCTTGTTCTAGTTAAGAAAATAACACATAATGGGGTTAAAGTGACGACTGCAACAGGAAATCTCAAATTTCAATCCATTCTAGACTTTGAGATTGCTTCATACTCTGAAACAAAGTCCAGACTACAATTTTTCTGCAGAACATAGCAATTTAAAATCATGTACTTTTGTTTTGTAAGTTTCCAATATTGTGGGGAATTACTGTAGACAGTGAGGGATCTTACTGTTCAATTCTAATGAGCAGAAACTGAAGTTTAATATATATTATAATACTTTCTAGCTCACATGCTATTAACATTGGAAATAGTCAGGATTTTGTATTTGCCTTCAAACACTGTAATATATAGATGTTTCTGGGGAAACAAAACAATATTTGGTGTACCATCTCAGTACCTTTTATAAATGCTTCATAATATTTCAAATGCTTTACAAATATCTTGCCCTCATCAAACATCAGACTCTAGAGATGAGATGTTAGAATGTCTTTATTACTGTAATAAATACTGTTTTATTGAATTTAATTGCTCTTTGTTTATATGTTAAAATGAGGCTGTCCTGAGGTAGGCAGTGATTGTTTTGTATCTGTTAGCACTCTACAGTCATCAATAACCCGTTATCTAAATGATTTTAAAATGCTGAACTTAATAGGGTACTTTGTTTTTCTTATCAGTCTCTCAGGTGACCATTAATTTTGTTCTGTTTATAAGCTGTTTATTTTCTTCCACTATTTTAGCTTTATATTATTCATTGACCAAGTGTGTAAGTAGTAAATCCCCTCCAAAACGTTTGGCAGTTCAGTGTTCATACACCCCTAATTGTGCAGGAACAGCCTAGGGTGACTTGCTCACTGATCATTTTTTTCCTGTTTCTGTGGAAAAAATCCCTTGCCTCCATTCAGTAGCATCTGTAATAGTAAGGCTGGGATTCTGAACTCACTGTAGGAAATAGGTGTAAATCACTGCTTTATGACGCAGCACACTGGAGCTTCAGCTTGCTGAACCACGTAGTGTTGGTTTCTTCTGATATTAAACCAGCTGGAAATTGTACTCTGACATGCAAGGCATGTGCATTTGGTAAGATGAATGATCACAGAACACAGTTAAGGTAGCATTAACTAGTATGTAAGATCTCATNAAAAATGAGAGGTGCTGTTTGAAGTACAATATTTGCTCAGTTGGACCTGCATTACTAGAGATTATTATGCTTTAATGGGAAGTGATTGGCACTAAAAATACTACTTATGGTTTTTTTTAATTTTTAGAATTCCAGAATCATCCTTCTGTTTCAGCTCTTGAGGTTTGAACTGGAGCATAAATCAGAAGCAATAAATAGTGACATTTTAGAATTAATGTTGTCCAATTTGCAAGTCAAAGTTATCATGCTGCTTGAATAATTGCATTAATCCATAGGTGTACTGTACAGCACAAAAAATAGTTGCCGTTATGCATTTTCATATGCAGAATGCGTGGTTGAGCACAGCTCAAATGAGGAAACCTTTAATCTTGCTGGCCATTTGGTGTTGCATAATTTGCATTCTATAAGCTATAATTAATATTTTCAGACAATTTAGGAAAACCTGAGCCTCAGAACAAGTGTAAGAATATATCAATTATTTGATCATTTAATTTCCCTCTTGAAATTCAGATTGCTGTGTTGTCTTTGCCAAGGTTATCTTACAGTTTGCAGCATGATTTAAAGAAAATTTGCTGCAGCTCACAACAGCTATTCCCAGGAGTACAGAGCCAGAAAAATAAGCCATTTGTGCTCGGTATTCGTTTTAGTAATCTCAGTTAAATTACAATAGTGTTATCAGACTGATTTACAATTAACGGATTTAAATCCAAATCTGATTGCTTCACCAAATCTTTTGTACCTTCATCAAGTAAAGCATTGAGTAAAATAGCCTTGACAGCCTTGTTATAGTCGGTAATAAAATAACCTAAATTCATTTTTAATGCTTAATCTTCTTCCTATTTATTACATTAGGAACAACCCAATCAGGCAAACATGGCAAACATTTGCACTGGACTAGAGGTGCTAAGTTTTTTGCTGACAGTCCTCCAGTCCCCAGCCATTCTTAGCAGTTTCAAACCTTTACAACGCGGAATAGCAGCTTGCATGACTTGTGGCAACACCAAGGTCCTGAGGGCTGTGCACACACTGCTGTCCCGCTTAATGAGCATCTTCCCAACAGAACCAAGTAGGTGCCTTATTTAAATAAATAAAATTCTCTTCCTTGTCCACTGTTGGGTGTGTGGTGTACATTTTGTTCCTTTCTCTTTTTAATAGGTACATCAAGCGTGGCTTCTAAGTACGAAGAGCTGGAGTGCCTTTATGCCGCAGTTGGAAAAGTGATTTATGAAGGTCTCACAAATTATGAAAAGGCAACGAATGCTAATCCCAATCAGTTGTTTGGTAAGTCATTTTTAAGAACTTTTGAGTGATAACTATATTTACTGTATTTAAACTGAATTAATTATAATATTAGGGGTGAATTTGGGTGAGGAGGGCCAATGTAAACTAAGATAACTGAGAGAGGAAGGTCACTTTGAAAAGGTGGCAGAGAAACGATTGCATGTTGTAACTTAGTGGGTACATGCCGCCTTGGGTTCAAATACGGACGGACCTCTGGGGGTTTCATTTGAGTCTAATGCATGAGGTTAATGACACTCATTCCATTTGCTAGCAAATTCCATTTGCAATGCATTGCCTGAAGCTCGAGAAAACTTAATGAATTGTTCCTAAAAGCATTTTCCCACTGCTGAATTGTGTTTTGCATTACTTTTAAGGAACGTGTTGATAGATGACTGCTTTGAATATGTTGTAATGCAGAAAGTCAGTGTGCCTCAGAAATACTAGTCACTTATTGATTCCACTAAAGTGTAATTGCACACCTCTGCTTTAATGGACGTAAATCGGTAAACTGCTGCTAAAAGTAAAGCGATTATGCCACAGTATGTCTATAGTTGCCTTTTCGGGACAAAAACATTTTAATTGAAATTAACTTTTCTCTTGTACAGTTATCTTTGCACTATTATCTTCATTGCTTTCCAGCTTCTTTGGGTTGTTAATTATTTTCGTCAGTGCTTTTCAACATTGTTTCTTGAATGTTATAGGCTCACTGTACAGTGTTTCTGTACCCTTGAAATCTTCCTGGCCACTTATTGTATATCTTTATCATCTTCATTGGCTTAGATCTAGTTTATAAGCCAATGAAGGTGACAGAGAAACTATTGCACATTGTAACTTAATTGTGCTTAGTGCTTATTTTTTTAATCTATAGTATACATTATAAATTATATCTTAAATTTTTTTAACAGGTTATAAAACTAGTTTTAATTTAGAGATTTCAATAATCATGTAAAACATTTGAATGTCATCTTGGATATTTGATGTCAGAATCTTGTTGATTGAATTAAACTTTACAGTAATTTCTTTGGCATTTTCACTCTGCTGTTAAATATAAGATGCCTATCTCCTGCAGTTTATGCACCTCTATGCCTTCAGCCACTGACGTGAAATATTGCAGTAGCGCTTGTCATTTTGGCATGTATATCCCTCTTATTCTGGCAGTGAATTGGTTCTGTCAGTAAAGCAGGCATGAAACGTCACAACAGGTCACATTGTATTCCCTAAATAGCGACTGTCCCTCACTATCCAACTTTGTAATCGGTAGAGGCAGATGTAATTTTAGTTCAGGAATTGGCAATTTGTCAGTTGTCAAGTTGCTTGACTCTTGAGTGTCCAAGTAAGCCACTTAGGTAACCTGTGGTGTATAAACTTTTGAGAAGGTTTTAGCCTAAAGATACAATTGGCTTGAGTAACTACTAATCTTCTTAGGTGGATAGGTCAATGATGCTGACTGTTTGAGTTTAATTTAACCTGTGAGTTGAAGCTTCCATTTAACTTATTTAAGAGAAAATATTATTTGGCACTCATTGACACAAAACATTCTAACCATAAAATATTTAACTTAGTTTATGTGTGTGTCTGTCAACAATTCATACAGAACACTGCATCAAATCACAGTCAGATCTTGCTAGATTATGCCATTCCCTTTGGTAAGAATATAAAAATATTTTCCGCAAAAACTGATTTACCCCCAAAACACCCTTGGTTAATTATAACTAAACCACCATGTGGCCAATCATTTATGAATTACCATTAATCCATTGAGGAAATCTTAGTTCTACCAAAAATCCATTGGTGGGAATCTCACCAGGAGTGTAAGAGTGTAAGCGAAGTGTCTCTGTGTCTTGTCTGTCTGTGCATCCGCCAATAGCGTAATAACCGATTGATGTAGAGACATGATTTATATCTCATCGGAAAGGTCTTGCTTGCGTGAGTGTCGGTCATTTTTTTTTCAGGAAATCGTTGGTGAGCTATATTTAAAAAATGCTTTAATTAAGCCCAGAGGAAAGCACACACCCTTCTAAAGAGATATGTTTATACTAATATATTCTGCAACAAATGTTTGGCAGTTTTTTTGCCTTGGAATAACTCGAGGACCTGTCGGATCACTCAGTAAACCCCTTTGGTTAACGTAACTTTGATAGGAGTCCTCCCACAGGAGTCTTCCCAAAAGGAGTCCTCTCACAGGAGTCATCCCAGCTGAGTATAAATATGTCTGTGTGTCAATTTACATTCCATATTGGTTGCGAGCGAATTTGCAATGGGTATTTCTCTCTAGTATGTAATAGAAAGCTGAAAAAGTCATATTTTCTTGCCATGTTTCTGTGTCAGATGCTTAGACAGATATTGCAACTTTGGTGTTTTGGTTTTCATTACAATTTCAATGTACCTTGAATGCTGGTTGTATTTAGTTTTTTTAAAAAATATATAAAATGGGAAGGAAGAAAAGAAACTTATATTGATTGTAAAAGTGCTAGCTAGATAAGCTAGCAATGGATATGTATAGATGTGTGCAAAATGTTATGAGCCTGGATGGCACAGTATACTTTTACCTCCAGTATTTTAATTGAGCTTAGTCTTATAGTTCCAATCTAGCTCAGTTTTATAGGTTGAAAGCCTCCTATTTCTACTGCCTAAAGGGCTGTGAAACGAGTAAGTTTATGGGGTCTCCCAATGGGCACAAAGCTGCTCATAATTTAGTACTAATTGATACTAAATTTGTAGGCTCACTAAAACAGACTGTAATGATGGTATAGGAAATGAAAATGTCACATATCCATTCCCACCTCTGCAGTTCCTCGCTTGGCTGAGCATACAAAGTTATTTTAAAAATCCTCATCAGATTTGGAAGTTTATACTGGTTCAAAGCACTCACAACAAACGATTGTATACGTGTGCGGTATTCCAGTCAACCATGCACAATTCATTCATGAGACGATAACTTGGAATTTTTTTCTTGATTAATTCCCTGATTGGATTCTTCTGAGTATTAACAGGATTGTTGATGAGGAAGGATGTCTCCATGGATAGTATTTATGCTGCTCCTTGGCCATTTTGGCAGGAGATGTGCTTGAAATATGTACCCCAAGGGTCACCCATTATCTTACACCATTTCCCTGTCTTCCTAAATACCTTGAGTGAGTGACGAACCTAGCCTTCAGTCATGAATTCATGACCATACTGAGGTGCTAATATGACCACATCATATCACATTATATTCATTGTACCACATATCCACTGGGATGTCTAACAGCTTTGCTAAAAATAAGGGAATTAACAAATATACAACTGTGTGTTTCATTCATACGAGTTTTATGATGACGTCAAAGCAGATAATTTGTCATTTATTTTCGGAGTCAGATGGCTTTATAATTTACTGGAATATTTGGAGACTTCTAAATTTACTAAATCATATCCTCCAATTTCAGGTACACTTATGATCCTGAAGTCTGCCTGCAGCAACAATCCCAGCTACATTGACCGCCTCATCTCTGTCTTCATGCGTTCCTTACAGAAAATGGTGAGAGATCATCTGAATCCACAGGCATCACCAGGAGCATCTGAAACAAGTACAGGTAATAACATTGATTTCAGTATAGTTCTACTCAATGAGGTCAGAAAGAAAATATAAGTTATTTTCTCATAATTCTATGTCCCAACTGCAATAAAACTAGGCTTATTGCTTCAGAAGAATTCCAGAGAGCTTTCAAAGCTTTAATGGTTTATAGGTTCTTTCAGGTCAATTTGATTTATGGGCCAATGTGATCCTCTTGTTGTGATACCAAAGAAATGGAAAAGTAGAGAAAGATGACTTGAAACATTTTTTAAATTTGTAAACATCTTCTATAATGTGTACTTTCAGCTGTTGAATGTTCATGGATAATGAGTTGTGTTAGCTAAATGTATTGCCCACAGAACCTATGCAAACCGTACTTTCTTTCTGCAGGGTACAAAATAGATTTGAACAACCAACAATAATATGTTTTGATAATGTGAGTGCATTTATGACAAAGTGATACCTGCGCAGTAAGAGTGCTTACTGCTTGAGCTCTGAAAATGATAGCTCAATGCAATTTTGCAATATTTAATGTAATATATGTGAAGTGTCCATACATTATTTAGTATAATAAATATAAATGTTTTACTGAAATATTTAAACTATTTTGAAATATTGGACGTTTTAAAATAAGAGTAACTGGAGGAGTTCATGCTGGAAGTTCTGCGGAACTAGCTATTTCAGGTGTTGCTGTTGAGTGCTCGATACACCAAGAATAAAATAGACTGGAGGAGAGGAATGTATTTTGCACTTACTGCTCTATATTTTGTATATTTTGCATATAGCTCTTGTATTTTTTTACATTATTACCTTGAAAGTGCCATATGCACCATGAATTTGGAAGCATTTCTCTTCTCTTCCTCTTAGCTACCCCTCTCCACCCACCCTAAGCACACATTCCTCGCCATTCGTGGGGTTTCTGAACATGAAGCGATAGTGTTCTATTTATATGATGTGTGATAGTTTCTTGGCTGTAACAATCGATTAATAAATGTAAAACATTTTAGACATCTTAAAACAATTAGTGCTGTCAAAGCTTCTGAACATCTCAAACTTTCCTAACACTGGTGACGGTGCCCATTGAAGGTGTCTTGGTCTAATTCAATATATTACAATTATTCTGGCATTTTTGAAGGATAGTTTCTTTGACATCAAGTACCCCCTGTGACTTCAATAAGAAGGCAATTATACTAAGCTTACTAATTTGTGTTTCTTTGCCAAATGTGTGAAAATGTCCAAACAAGAATTTAATCTGTCGAGTGCTAATTTGCTTCTGTGCTTCATTACCATAGGTCTAATTATCGAATCAGACATAACCTTGAAACTGCTAAAATTTTACCTTCTAGTGCTAGTGCTTAATGTCAGACGTTTTTGTGTATAGAATGTTGGCTCCCATTGCCATTTCAAATATCAGTGTCTTACTATATAATGCATTGGATAACTTTTCTCTCAAGTGGACTAAAAATACCAACCGGAAAGAAAATGTGGCTTTCTAAATTTGCTCACCAGTAATACACCATTAGATAGAGTTTTTCATTAAACATATTAGCATATTTGAAACAATATATTGTTTTAAGAAGCATAAAATCTACCATTCTGACATTTTGGGTTTACAGGAAATAATGATATCGGTATTGAATAATTTTACATCCTTGAAAGCATAAAGTGGTCAGTCTAGTAGAAGGGACGAGCTTGTCTGCTATAATATTTGGCCTTGTAGCACAAGGGTACTTACTGCAAACTGAACCAGTGTTGCATTTGTGTTTTTTTTAAATCTGTTTTCTTTGCTCTAAGAAGATGATGTGTTTTTATTTGAAGTCACTGTGGAGCTGATCATGTTGAGTCTGGATCTTGTGAAAACACGACTTGCTGTGATGAGCATGGAAATGAGGAAGAACTTCATTCAGGTTATCTTGACTTCTCTCATTGAGAAGTCACCAGATGCCAAGATTCTTAGAGCTGTGGTAAAAATAGTAGAAGAATGGGTGAAGAATAATTCCCCAATGGCAGTAAATCAGGTAAGGACCCTTAACATTAGAGGATGTACTTGGTTTTAATTAGTTTAATTCAGTACAAGATAGTTATTTATTCTATCATAACCTCTGCAAAAAAGCTGTTTCAATTTCTTATGTACTTTTATCAATCCACCTTAAATAAACTCACATTTATTTTATTGTGGAAATATTTTCATTCTGCACAGACTTTGCAGTAGTATCGAGGCATATAGACTGAGATAAAAATTTGTGTGGCAATTGAATGTTGGGCACCACAGTCACCAAAAGAGTTGCTAGTGACTCTCCCTATGATAATGCTGTGCCAGTGATTGTGATTCTGGTACTGATCTGGTCATAGGAGTAGTTTTTGGTCCTAAAACTCTTAAGAATCATCATAAAGCCCAGCTACAAGCTATGTTGCCATTTCACTTTGAAAATTTTTAATAAGCTTCTGTGATATTCTAGCTTCATGACTTTCAACACAAAGTCATTCGGAACCTTCTGTGAACATAAATGTGGGTTACAAAAACATGTGTTAATGTATAAACTTCTTTAGTTCATTTAAAGTGGTTTTGATTAATGCGAAGTTGCAAAACGATACCATATAATGAATTCAGAAAAACACGAAACAAATGATTCCTGTAGCTCAGTGATTTGTGCACTTGAGTCGCAAGACCTGGGTTTGATTCCCTAGCAAGTTTTCTTATTCCACACGCCGCTGTTTACCTAGCAGTAGGTAAGAACCCAGATGTTAGTCAGGTGGATCGCTTTTCTGTGGGTAATAATCCCTTTAAAAAAAATTTGGTTCGTCAATCCATGGCTGTTTGTGGAACACTGCTATGCGCAATTGGCTGCCGCGTTTCGCCCCCATAATTTGCAGTCAATTCACTTTGCAGTGTATTCGGTGAAGCGCTTTAAGATGTCTCTAAGACACGATAAAGCGCTATATCAAATATGAAGGATTGCCATTATTTACATTCTTCCTGAAGGTGGAACACAAACAGGGTTATTGCTCCAGGAATCTGGCAGTCCTCTGGGATCTGGCCATTTATGTGAGTTCAGACAAATAGTGCAATAGTCCAGCACTCGTCTGCTGAGGTTGTTGCCCACATTTGACTGTTTCAGTCTCTTGGGTTTCTCTTGGCATTTGTTGTTTTGTTATAACATGTTCATTAACTTTCCTAGTTCTCAAAGTTAAGCATTTGAAATCTCTTTTCAATGTACTGAAATGGACAAAATTAATCATTTCTTCATTCTATCCAGACACCTACACTGAGGGAGAAGTCAATTTTGCTGGTTAAAATGATGACCTACATTGAAAAACGGTTTCCAGATGACCTTGAATTAAATGCCCAATTCTTGGACCTCGTTAACTATGTCTATAGGTAATTGTAGTAATTAATCAAAAATTACATTTCATTAGTTCACACACTTGTGTCTTTGCACAAAGCTCTTGTGAGGGCATTCAATTTATATGCAATGCAATTCAATTGCAAATGCAATGCCTCCCCCTCCCCTCCTCATTTTCTAATTGATGATCAGTAAAGGAAAGGTACATAGTTATTTGTTGTATGTCCATACAGGTTAAAATTAGCATTAATGTGCAATGCTTTACTTGCCAAGGTAAAACAGATCGGCATTTCTTTTTCCCTTTCACATTGTAAGTTTTAAGGTTCTTGTGATTTCTTTTAAATTGTCAGGCTTAATGTAGTGGTGTTTTTAATTTTTTTTCTATCCCCTTTAAAGATAAGGTATATTTTCACATGTGCCAACTGGTACCTCGCCCAAATGACCAGTTCTATGTGCGAGCCCAGACAGTGAGTGTCGGCAGATAGGCATTATAGCCTAACCTGATGATTTAGTGATATAATAGGCTGCGCCTTTATACACAGGACTATTGGTGAAGCCAAGTCAAATCAGTCTTGTCATTTTGTCTCCCATAACTGTTCATCTAAAATGCAAAGGGAGTTCTAAATGTAAATTGTATCTCCCAGAGGTGTATGTGATGATTTAGTATTTGCTTCTTCACAGAAGTTCTCCTTTAACTATCGCCATTCTCATCATTGCAACTGTGTGTGAAACTTCTCTTGGAGCACTTTGCTTATTGTACTCTTATGGCCATATACAGGGATGAAAACCTCTCGGGCAGTGAGCTTACTGCTAAACTGGAACCGGCCTTCCTAGCAGGCTTAAGGTGTTGTCAGCCTCACATTCGTGCCAAATTTTTTGAAGTGTTTGATAACTCCATGAGGCGGCGTGTCTATGATCGTCTGTTGTATATCACTTGCTCCCAAAACTGGGAAGCCATGGGTAACCACTTCTGGATTAAACAGTGCATTGAGGTAAGAAGAAAGGCTGCATATTGACTGAATTTCAAGATGATATTTCAAGTGTTGCAAATATTGTAGTTGATACTCTTACCTAAATAGGTTAGGAGTGTTGAAGAGTGGATGAGTAAATATTAGGCAGGTGATAATGAAGAATAGGCTTTCTGCAGAAGGGTTGTAAGAAAATGAAAATGATGAATTTGAGTAAGGTAAAAAAATCACAGAATGAAACCACACATACCTATAATGGGAATGAAACAATTTCATGACCAAATCAGTAGTAAGTCACTGAAATCTACAATTTTTTGAGCTAAAAATTTAACAAGTGACTTACTTTAAAAGACGCATTTCAGAGAAATGTGTCTCATTTTCAAATAACAAGCAGTGCCTGGCTCCTTTAAAACAAAATATGAAGCTGCCCTTCAATTTTCAGGATTCAGCTCTCACAACTGGACAGTGATGTGAGTGTAACCAGTGGATTTTATACTTTAAAATATCAGATCAGTAATGTAGCATGAATCCCTGGGAAGAGTCAGATTTTTGGTTGTTTGAAGCTTTGTTCTTCCATCTATTTAGAGCTGATTCTCTAATATTTAGATAAGCATTTTAAAATTCCCTGAGATTTCAGCAGTTTGGCACCCGAACACTATGGGGCTCAGTAACTCCTCCAGGTGAATACTGTTTAACAGTGGAATCAGCAGTTACCATAAGATGAATGTTAGAATTGTCAGCACCAAATGTGCTGTGTTTAAACTATTTGCTGCATTCCTGACCATTGCTTGTCCTTTGTGTGCATATGTGTGTTTTTTCCCTAGTTACTTCTTGCGGTGTGTGAAAAGAATACTACCATTGGTACCAATTGTCAGGGTGCCATGCTCCCCTCTATCACTAATGTCATCAATCTGGCTGATAGTCATGACCGAGCAGCCTTCGCCATGGTAACCCACGTCAAGCAGGAGCCAAGAGAAAGAGAGAACAGTGAGAGCAAGGAAGAGGTGATTTATTTTTTTTAACGCGTTGAACTGCACAGACCAGTGAGGTTTGGAACAGTTGGGTAAGCAAGATGCTTATTGATGCTGGAGGATGAATCAAACACACTGGACACAAAGTTAACATAATTCAAACAGCAAATCTGCAGCAAAGAAGTGAATGACCATCTCAGATTTTATCTTTCTAAGAAAATAGATTTCTTGACCCAAAGTACTATTAATCATCATCAGACATTTTTCAAGTAATTATTTAGGTATTGTGGCAAAATATTTTTTTTTCGGTAACCCAAATGTCATATAGCCTAAGTTGCCAGTAAGTAGCAGTAAACCGAGTGCATCTACGTTTTTGTTCCTGGAGCGGACAGAATTTTGTATGAGCGTTTATTTAAACCATCTTGGTATTTTAAAGAGGCTAAAATGGAAAAGGTTAGATGATGAGATCACACATCTAATGGAATAAATACCCTCTTTTTGTATATACAGACCGTTATAATATGATCGTTTGGGTCTATAAAATCAGACAGTACAATACAATTTCCATTTACAAATTAGCACGTCGGGAGGATGTCCTAAGGTGTTGGATAGTACAGAGCTGTTGTAAGCATTTTCAATGGTTGAGATACTTAGAGGTTTTCTGAGCCTGCACAATATGGGCTAGAGGCTGGAAGTGTACCGTACTTGTAGTATACTGTTGTTTAACACATGAGCCAAAGCTGAAAAAAATGTTTTTACTCTATAGACACATGGAAGGGAAAAGAGGCCAAAGTATAATATATGAAGAATAGCGTCTCTATAACATTAAATCATCTCCAGCTGTTCATTCAATGCAGTGCCTCTATTTAGAAGGTGGAAATTTAGAAGGTGGAAGGAACTAATGCCAGCAATTCGCTACCAAATGTATGGTAAGAATAGTGGTTTAGGCAGAGTAAATTTCACTACTGATATCACCCGGAGGAAATGGTTTCAAAAGCAGTATGATTCCAGAACCAGGTTGCAAGCTGGTTATGTGCATTATACTGAAATTAGTTTTCCAGTTTCCCCAATGCAAAATATAAATTGTGCTTCCCTTTCCATTACTGCTGTACAGGTGGGAGTATTATTGTTTCACAATGTGCAAAACTAATGGATTGTTTATCACTAGCTGTACCCATTGCAGCTTTGTTTGCAACCAAAGGATCCAATATGGAATAGATTAACACACGGACAAACATTTCATACTCATCTAGGAAGACTTATTTGTACTCATCTAGGAAGACTTCTGTAGGAGGACTTCAGTGCTTTAAAAATGCAAATCTGTTGTTGTTGCCGCGGCTTAGCTTTGTCTGTGTTCTTTATTTTGTTCCCGCCGCTTGGCTATGTGCGTGGTCTGTGACAGAATATGCCACAGAGCCACAGTCAGCCAGCGTGGCCACCAGGTGTAACTGCAGGGTGTGCGTACATAGGTAGGTGCTCTGTGGCACTCGATGCCAAAGCACCACTTTGACTCGGTCAGGTGTAACTGTAGCGGAAAACAGAAAACTGAAAATAACTCATGAACGATAGTGCACACCCAAAAACAGATATACCCATGTCACACCCAGGTACAAGACCTTTCCGATGAGGTATAAATCATGTCTCTATGTCAATCAGTTATTGAGATTCTTCTTGAAGCACAGACAGACATTGTCGTTTTATTAGTACAGAAGAAGAAGATTGCAATTATACAGCACAAGCTCAATTAGAGCTTTTCCGGCCTTCATCTGTGACCCTTCTAAGATGTGATTTTGTGTGTCTCATTGGTCTCTATTTGTCTGACTGACTGTCCCAGACATGGATAGTATTGGGACGCAATGCTTTTCTCATTCCTTCTCATCTATACAATAGAGACTTATTGAAACAGACCCCTCAGGGTTTCTTTACCCGTAGCAATCAATTTGAGCTGTCACTGGCTCAGTCATGCTTAATCGCCTTTCTTATTGATTCGCTGATAACAACGACAACCAAATTACATTTGTATAGCGCCTTTCATGTCAGGAAGACGTCCCAAGGCGCTGAACAGTCAGTGTTTTGGACCCGAGCTGGGTGTGGGATTGGGGAGGGTGGATGGCGGGGGAAAGCAGGGTGATTGAAAGCACGGTCGAAGAGGAGGGTTTTGAGATGGGCTTTGAAGGAGGCAAGGGAGTGGGCGAGGTCGAGGACTATGGGATGGAGTTCCAGAGGGAGGGGGCAGAGTGGCTGAAGGCCCGCCAGGCAATGGTGGGTCCGTGAGGCAGGGGACGTAAAGCAGGCCGGAGTCCGCTGAAGAAAGTTAGCTCTCATCCAGAACTTGATGCCTGAAAGACATTTTGTCAGGACAGTGGTCCTGGAGTCAAGGGTGGAGGCAGAGAGGTACAGTTGGGTGTCATCTGCATACATGTGGAAGTTGATCAAGAGGGAGCACATAGATATTGAAGAGGAGGGGACCAAGGACAGAGCCCTGAGGAACGCCACATGAGACAGTGCGGGGGCTGGAGTAGAAACTGTTTGTGGAGATAAAGTGGAGGCGGAGTGAGAGGTACGATCTGAATCAGTGAAGGACAGAGCCGTGAAGGTGAGAGGAAAGGCGATGGATGAGGATAGACTAGTCAACGATGTTGGAGGCAGCAGAGAGGATGAGGAGGCAGAGGGAGCCCTGGTCACAGATGGACAGAATGTCAATTGTCACTTTGGCCAGGGCTGTTTCTGTGCTGTGGGTGGCAGAGAAACCCGATTGGAGGGGTTAGTGAAGGGACTAGTGGAAGAGGAAAACGCGAAGCTGGGTAGGCCGAGCGGGGACCAGGAGGTGAGAGTCACCCCGCCACCATGGCGGTTAGGTTGAGGGGTGTGATGGAAGATGTAGCCGAAGGTGTGACCTCTTATCGGGGAAGGTGTCGCCTGGAGTGATACAGGTTTCAGTGAGGGCGAGAATGTCGATGGTTTTGTTGACAGTGAGGCCTTGGATGGTGAATGTTTTGTTGGAGAGGGAACAGAGATTTTGTAGGCCGATGCAGAGGGGACAGTTGGTGGCAGAATGTGGGGGGGCGAGGTGTGGGATGGGGAGAAGTGTCACGGAGGGTGGGGATGTGGATGAGGGAAGAGAGGTTGGCCCCCGTGGTCAGGGACTGATGGGCATTGCGGTGAGAGTGGGGGATAGGACAGTCAGAGTAGCTGCTGTTGGCAGCCAGCGGCATCTGCCACGGTAAGCTTGACGGAGGATTTGCAGGCTGGAGTAGAGGGGGGGTGCTGTGGGATGGTCGAGCAGGGATAGGAGTCGGGGAGGCCAGTGGGAGAGGAGGACCGAGCGGGAGTAATGGAGAGTAGAGGACGGGGTGGCAGCATTTTGGGCAAGCAGCTCGGGTCAGTGGCGGCAGCCAAAATGCGCATGCCAACAACAACAACAACAACAAGATTCCATTTATAAAGCGCCTTTCACGTCAGGAGGACGTCCCAAGGCGCTGCACAGTTGGGTCATGACCCGAGCAGGGGGGAAATGGTCAGGGTGAGGGGAGGGAAGGGAGCCAAGACTAAGAGCGAACGGGGTGAGGGGTCAGCGAGGCATGGTTAACCCGCTTGCGTGAGGTATTAACTTCTATGCTTTGCTTGATTAGTATTTTATGTTTGATCCAAACTTATTGTTTGGAGTCTGACTTGTATGGACTGATTCTTAGACTAAACAACTCTTTATTAGGATGTGGAGATTGATATTGAGCTTGCACCAGGGGATCAGAGCAGCACCCCGAAAACCAAGGAGCAATCAGAAAAGGATGCCGGCAACCAGTTACACATGCTTACAAACAGGCACGATAAGTTCTTGGATTCCCTGAGAGAAGTAAAGGTTAGTAATAATAATCCTTGCATTTGATATAGCGCCTTTTCATGTCTTTGAGACATCTCAAAGCGCTTCACAGAGTATACCGTAAAGTGAATTGACTGTATATTTTGTGCCGAAACAGATTACAGTACAGAGAATTATGCACACTGCTCAATCGCCTCCTCTCTTTGCAATTTAGCCTTCATTTTAAACACTCGTGGGTGATTCTCTGTTTTATCAGTCAATGTAATGACCATATTATTATAAAAAAAATGTAATAAAAACATTTTTTATTTTTATTTTTATTGAAATATAAATAGTTTAATGTATGTTACTTTCTGAACCTGGAGTCAGATTTAAATTGAGAGCGATTCCCTGCTTCTATCAAAACTTCTGCATTGTAAGCAACTGCTGTTTCATTTAATTTTTATGTGACAAAGGAGGGCAGTACCAGCTCAGTGTTGAGTTGTGTGCTTGGTGAAAACTGAGCTGTGATATCTGTACATGACAGAATTTCCAATGACATTTGAATGGAACACTTAATTAAGTTGGTGCAGATGGCCTGCTTATGCAAATACATGTAGTCGCTCTCTTTGTCATTTTGCCCAGATAAGGTGAGTGGATATTAAAGTTGAGTTGTACATTCACAGTCTACAGTCTACCTCCCACCTTGCAGTAGCACAGTGTATTGATGTTTCGATGCATTGTGCCACATGAGCTGGTTCATATTTTATTTAGTGAGCCAGCAATCTAGTGCCATTAAATCCAGCAAGAAAGAATCCCTTTTTTCAGCTTTAAGCTGAATGTGGAGTTTATAATGCTGCTTTCATTGTTTTGTATGTTTTCCCTTTAATAATAATAATAATACTTGCCTTTGATATAGCGCTTTTCACGTCTTCTAGACATCTCAAAGCACTTCACAGAATAGACTGTAAAGTGAATTGACTATATATTTATGGGCAAAATGCGGCAGCCAATTGTGCACAACAGTGTCCCACAAACAGTCGTGGATTGAAATGACCAATTTATTAATGTTATTTTTTCTTGGGAGATTATTATCAGGCATGTAGAGTAAGGAAACTTGCCCACGGTTTCGCCCTGCCAGGAATCAAACCCAGGTCTCTGGAATTAATTGAAAGATGATTTATCCATATAAATTCCATTGAGATTGTAATTTTGATTGTGGTAAGGATAGAGTCAGCATGATTCACTCTCGCCTCTCAGCCATAACACTTAGTAGGACTTACAGTTGTGATTAAGGTTGTGGATTCAAGTCCCTTTATGCGTTATTCAATTCCCATATCAGTTCATAGTATAGACTAACTCTCCAGTGCAGTACTAGGGGGAGCACTGCATTGTTGCAGGTGCTATGTTTTGCATGAGACCTTAAACTGAGCTATGGTTAACAATTCTTTTGCATTATTCAAAAAGAGAATGTGTTTCTTCCTAAGGCTGGCTAACAACTCTCCAAATGAAATGGTCATGCGTCTTGTGTTTGGAGGCTCTAGAAGAATGCAGTTTCTTCCTTCAGGTTTTAAAAAACAACACTGAAATCCAACAGACTTGATAACGGTTTCTTTTCTGAATTAACTTTGTTTTTTTCCTTTTGTTTGATAGACTGGGGCATTGCTGAGTGCATATGTTCAGTTATGCCACATTAGTACACCATTAGCAGAAAAGACGTGGATCCAGCTCTTTCCCAGGCTGTGGAAGATACTATCTGATAGGCAGCAGCATGTGAGTATTTAAATCTATTGTCAGATTGGATTAGTATTTACCTGTGCTGCTTTTTTATGAAAGGTACTTTTTAACAAGTGAGTAAAAAATATTTTTATAACTTTTACACTCCCCCACCACCACCACCCTAACCCCGGTGAAATGCTTATGAGTTTGGCCTATTCGTTAGGTAACAAATTCATTAGGTACTGTCTTGATACTGTGAACTTATCATAGCTTTTTCTTATGTATGTAAGTCAGCTGTGTTGATTGAACGGTATGTCTAGGAATGCAACTCGCCAAACAAAAGATATTTTCTGCCCCTCCATGAAAGGCAGTAGGCTTCTAAAATCAGCTTCAAGTGTAACTACGAAATTCATCAAGTGTAAATACGAAACGATGCATTATTTTATGACTGCTTTAAAATGTAGTCCTCAGGCAACTTTAATTTTTATTCAGCAAATGTGTTTTAAAGCAGACTATTAGTATATAATGTGTGTTCCAGTCTGTTCAGTAAGGTGTCACCACGGCAAATTGAATTTAATACTAAATTCACGGGCCATCATTTAGGGCATACTGCACGGAATCGAAGAGCCAAGAAGAGCTTTTTTTCCTGTACTGTTTACATCAGGTCAGTGAACTGAAAAATTTGTAATAGCTCAGTAACTTGCTTTTAAATCCAAGTTGTATTTAAGGCTGTCAGTGCTGTAGCTGGTAGAGAAAGATAAGCGTCAGCTACAGGAACAAGCAGAACATTTCTCCGTCCCTAAATTGTGACAGCTCAGGGTGCTCCAAGCAGGTTCAAATATTTTAGTCTTCAGCTTTCCCCCAATATTTGTAATACTTTGGTATAATCTTGATTTTTAAGTGCAGCTTGAACACATGAGAGAATCTGAGATTACCCCCCATAGGTACTATGTTAATTTTTTTAAAATAGTTTTTTTTGCAAAATTCCAATTGAATCTACTGTGACCTGGTGTTACTTGGAGTTATTACGTTTGTTACATTGGTCGGTAGAAATATATATATTTTTAAAAACAATAATTTATATGATAAATATCAGTAAATATAAAAATTGGTTTCCACCAACCCTGAGTATAGCCGTGTAAAGGTAGAAAGCTTGGAATTCTCAGTTTTGGTTGAATATTCTTCAGAACAGTGATGGGTTTCTGCTTTTGTCAGACTGACCAAAAAAACTAATATTCAGTAATACTTGGGAGAAACATATTAGTTGATAGGAGTATTCAGTCCAGAATGGATTGCATTCACAATTCACAACATTCGATTCTTCACAACTCTCTCTCTCTATTACTGTTTTGCATTGCACCCTCCTACCTCTCCGACCTACTATCCCCCCACGTACCTGCCCGTACCCTCCGTTCCTCAGGCTCCAGTCTGCTCCACATCCCCCGCCCCAACCGCCCTACCATCAGTGGCCGGGCTCTCAGCCCCTAAGCTCTGGAACTCCATCCCCCAGTGCCTTCGCCTTGCTTCCTCCCTTTCCTCCTTCAAGGCCGGTCTCAAGACCTTTCTCTTCAACCATGCCTTCACCTCCCCTCCTCGCTCCCTCCCTTCCCTCCCCCTGACCATTTCTCCCCTGCTCGGGTCCCGACCAAACTGTCCAGCGCCTTGGGATGTCCTCCCGACGTGAAAGGCACTCTATAAATGCAATCTTGTTGTTGTTGTTGTAAATGGAGACAAAAGAACGGTGTGCAGATTGTGTAAGAAATAAATTGCTACTCATATTGCCCTTAAAGTAACGACCATTCTCCACTGACAAGCTTAGGTAAGAGATTGTTGAGCTCAGCAAGCTTGGTTCAACAATCTATTTTGGATCGCAGCCTACTCATGGAGAACGGACCAGTTCCTCATGGGAAATGGCTGTAATATTCTATGTACTCTGCTCGAGATGATGAATTATTAGAGAAGTGATATATTGAGGGCAGTCATATTACAGTGCTTTTAGTGTCCAACCCAACAACTCGTTTAACTCTGTATCAAGCTGTATGTCTTTTGAAATTTACAAATCTGTGGGTGAAGATGTTGACAGGAATTTATCTAAAATATTATAATTTGTGTTAATTATGATCTCCCTTTAAAATGGGAAACTATTTCCCCTAATATTGGAACTTGATCTATTTAAGTGTGTATAAATGTACATTTTTAATTTTCTAGTTTACGATTTGAAATAGAATATTAATAGTACTATATTGATTATGTTGTCAAAGGAATTTTAGGACAGTAGGTAGACAAGGTGGACCAATGGTTTTACCTAACTGAAACTGCTGTTGTATCATTTTATTTTATTTCAAACTGTTACTATTGATTAATGTACTTCCTAAATGCATAAGTTTTTAACTTTTCTTTACTGAGGCAAATGGCACGATTGGTCATGAAACGAACAGAATATTTTGAAATTAAATTGTATCAAAGCATTGTTTTGATCTGATTACAATCTGCTTGATTTTCAGGCTCTGGCAGGAGAGATAAGCCCTTTCCTCTGCAGTGGTAGTCATCAGGTCCAGCGAGATTGCCAGCCAAGTGCTCTGAATTGCTTTGTTGAAGCTATGTCGCAATGTGTCCCTCACATTTCAATTAGACCTTGTGTACTGAAGTATCTGGGCAAGACACACAACCTGTGGTTTCGTTCCACGCTAATGTTAGAGCATCAGGCATTTGAAAAGGGCTTAAGTCTTCAGATTAAACCACGACAGACCTCTGAATTCTATGAACAGGAAAGCATCACTCCACCTCCGCAGGTAAGCAGTTGTGGGTGTGCGCACCGAATATATTAAGAGTGGAAGAGCTTCCACTAAATTGAATGTTCTCACAAGATTCTCAGAAAGTAAAAGCTTTCATTTTCTTTTTCGCATCATAGAGAATTCGCAACCATGTCAGATTCCTTCCATACTGATAGAGTGGGCTATGCTTTTTCTGAAGTGCAACAAAGAAATTGGTGAACATGTAATTCACCAATTCATTGATCTTAAAAAATTAGATTCCCTCATGTTAAAATCTAAAAGGGTTGGAACACTATAGATCATTAATTTCTTTTATCCTTTCTCCTAAATATTAATAAAATAAGCTGCAGTATAAGCAGCAGTGTCATTTTTAAACTATGCAAAGTTGGTGTCCAGGGCAATTGGGTTTTGCATCTAGAATCTAATCAACCCAGGCTGGTGAAATGAAAGCCTCCTTTCTATCTAGTGATGATTTTAGGTGAAACTAAAGTAGACAGTCTTAACTCTAGTACATAATGGGGTTAGTTCACTCTTAAAGTCTTTCCAATATTTTGCACTAATTGAAACTGTTATTTCACTCTGATGCTAAGCTGGTGGCATAAATAAAAGTGCCGTATTGGACCAGTAAGAAACACCATTCAGAGTTGCTATAAAGAACTTGTGTGTCAGAACAGAATTTTGCCTTAAACCAATGCTGTATCTGACATTGGCACATTCAATACTGAGACCAGGTGCAAAAAAACTAATTAAACAAAATCCCCAGCGGTGACTTTTGCTTTTAACTGAGCCCAAAATTCAGTATATGTTGAAGTGTTTGATTTACTTACCCTATGTGGGAGTAAAACATGCAGGTTTGAAAAATTGGAGAAATGTCTAAAACTAATTGAGACATGTTTCTGCCTGAATCCACATACTGATGGGGTGGAGTCCTGTAGCTCAGTGGTTACAGCACTTGCCTCAGTTTGATTCCCGGCAGGGCGAAACCTTGGGCAAGTTTCCTTACTCCACATGCCTGATAATAATCCCTCAAGAAAATAAATAAATAACATAATAATTTGGTCACTCAATCCACGACTGTTTGTGGGATGCTGCTGTGCACAATTAGCTTCCACGTTTCGCCCACAAATATACGTTCAATTCACTTTAAAGTATATTCTGTGAAGCGCTTTGAAACGTCTAGTAGACGTGAAAAGCGCTACATCAATTGCAAGGATTATTATTGCTATTAGTGATTACTTACTGTGTCCCACTGAACAGTTCCCTTTTAGCTTTTTCTTTCTTCTGTTGATAGCCTCAATGCCAAGTGTTCACTCTCTGTTCACTGCACTGTGAAATGAGCTTCAAGAATTCTGCACAATTGGTATAAAGTTTAGTATGGAATGCAGAGTTTCTAGTTTGAAATTAGTTCATGATTTTACGTTCATGATCAAGAAGCCACTGGTCCTATGACTTGTCGTTAAGCTTGCTCTTCTATACGATTCCTTGTCTTTCTGTTCATGTTTTTATTTGTGCCCAAAGTGCACCTCGGGACCAAAGCAAAGCTGAGACCAACCACGTACATTTTCTCCCTCTTTTTGCATTTTTTTCTCAGATTTCACTTTTTTAAAATTTCCTTTCTGGTCTCCCCATCACTTTTTTCTTCCCTCTGATTTGGTGGTTGAGTTTCTATGTTAACCTGTCCAGGTGGCAGCCTGGCTCACTTGGGAGCAATCTTGTCTCTGAGACAGAAGGTTGTGGGTTCTAGCCTCATGTTGGAACTATAAATTCATAATCTAGGCTGTCACTTCCAATACTTTGCTGGGGCAGCACGGTATTATAGAGTCAGTCCTTCCCATGATGTGTTAAACTGAAGTCCTGTCTGTCTGATTAGGAGAATATTAAAGATCCTTTGGCGCTGTTTGAAAAGAAAAGGGAGTTTCTTTTGGTGGCCTGGCCAGCAATCTACTAGACACAATTGTTCATTCACATCAAGGCTATTTCTGAAACATTGTACAAAATTTGGCTGCCTGGTTCACCTACAAATACACAGTTAATACACTACAGTAGAATAAGAACATAAGAACATAAGAATTAGGGGCAGGAGTAGGCCATTCAGCCCCTCGAGCCTGCCCCGCCATTCGATAAGATCATGGCTGATCTTCAGACCTAACTCTAATTACCTGCCCTATCCCCTAATCCCGCTGTTTTTTAAAAATCTATCAGTCTCAGTCTTGAAGATGTTTAAGGACTGAGCATCTACAGCCTTCTGGGGTAGTGAATTCCATAAATTTGAGTGAAGAAATGTTTCCTCAGCTCTGTTGAATCTTAGAGAGTTGAGTAAAAATGCACAGTAATAAATAGACACAGACTTGAATTAGAACCAACCTACTAGTAAGTTATTCCTTATATCCCTAGTATCCATTCAATTCTTACCCTATAGTATTTAAACACTGGTTTCTGATCATAAATGGGATCAGCAAATGGTAAATTGTCCAATGGTAGCCGATAAATGTGATGTAACAGGATATGGAGGGCAGTCAGCCGTAAAATTACCCAGTTAGAAAATTAACTATTTGATTTGAAATCCGCCCGGCATTCCCATTAAATGCAGACTTGTATGATGAAGTGCTTTTTCTACTAGATTTCTAGCCAAATCAAAATACAGTGTCCAGTGTGGATGTTCAGCAAAATGGGCAGCACTAGCATTTTTGTCCATTTTAGAAGTGTATTTCCACAAATCTAATACTATTTTAGTTCAGAAGTGAAGTAACAATCCTTAAATGTCTATAGGAGATTCTAGATTCACTGGCTGAACTGTACTGCTTACTGCAAGAGGAAGATATGTGGGCTGGCCTATGGCAAAAGCGTTGCAAGTTTCCAGAAACTGCGACTGCAATTGCCTACGAACAGCATGGCTTCTTTGAACAGGTATGTCTGTTTCACATTTCAACACTGAATTCATTCTGCACAAAGTGTTTCAGCTAAGTGTATTCTTTCAAATAATCAAGTAAATTTTCCAAAATATTACGACCTACATTTAACAATTTTGCGTTCCGATCATTACTTGCTTGGAGGTGTTAATACTGAAAGTCTGTGGTGACTGCATTTCATTAATTTGATTGAATTTTGCTATTTTTCCAAGTTACTAGCATAGTGTTGGGTGGTGTTACAGCAACATTATGTTTGAAGTTAGTGCTTTTGTGTTTTTTTTCTTTAAACCTCACTAAAATATTCATCACGTATTCATCACTGGCCTAGTATATACATTTTGAGTCTTATTAATGTTATAGGGGGCAAGAGAATTTTCCGATAGTAGATAAATCTCCTAACATTGATAGGCGGGCTCATCTGATTCGTTGCTTATTGGGACATTTACTGACCTTGAGGGACTGGACTTGTAATGGGATTTTGCCATTTTAGGTTTGTCTACCAAAATTAGTAATTTTACTAGCGATTTGGGAATCAACCCTTATATTTGTTTCAGTTGATGTGTGAAAATGTATTAAGCATACAGTAGAGAGCTGATTATCTGCATTAATTGGGACCATTCCTGTTGCAGTTAAGTGAATAAATGGACATTGCCCAAAATTCAAATTGGCTATGGTGGTAATTTAAAAAGTTGTTGCTTTGGGAGTTGTACTGTTACTTTTGTACAAACCTGTACCACACTCTCTGTGTGCCACTTTCTCTATGACTCTCTGACATGACGTCCTGTTCGACTCTCAACTATCCTTCATACCCCACATCCATGCCATGACCTGGTCTGCCTTCCCCCACCTCTGCAATCGCCCGGCTCCACCACTGTCTCACACTCATTCATAATATCCAGGCTTGACTATGCAAATTCCCTACTTGTCGGCCTCCCCGACTCCTCCCTCCATAGGCTGCAGATCATCCAGAACTCTGCAGCCCATGTCCTCGCCCACACCAGGCTCTGAGACTCTGCCACCCCTTTGCTCGCCCAACTCCACTGGCTTCCCATCACACAGAGGATACAGTTCAAGATCCTGGTCCACACTTTCAAAGCCCTCCGCCCCTACCTTTGCGACCTCCTACCCCCTATCAAACTACCCGATCCCTCTGCTCAGCGGGCTCCGGCCTGCTTCACGTCCCCCGACTCACCTGTCCCACCATTGGCGGGCGGGCCTTCAGCCACTCTGCCCCCGCCCTCTGGAACTCCATCCTGCAGACCCTATGCTCCTTCCTTGCCTCCTTCAAGACCTGTCTCAAGATCCTCCTCTTCAACCGTGCCTTCGGTCTCCCTCCTTCGCCCCCTGCTCCCCACCCTTCCTGATCCCGACCCCCAGTTCGAGTCCGAAACACTGATTGTCCAGTGCCTTGAGATGTCTGCCCGATGTGAAAGGCACTATACAAATGTAATTTTGTTGTTGTTTCTTTCACTTTCTGCTATGCCTTTTTCTTTCTCTGAATCTCTCTGCGTATCTTTCTTTCTCTCTTTTTCTCTTGAGTTTCTTAAACATTCTATCTCTCTTTCTCGGCAATGTCTTTCTCTAACGAAAAGAATTATGTCCTGTAAAAATTCTGAAATCTTACCTTCCTTAACGGCAAAGAAACACTGTTGATGCACAGTGTCTGCACAATGTCTGGTCTAAGACACCAATGTTACACATGCACGCAACACTACTTCTACCAGTATCTCACTGCCCTCCGTCCACCTTCTGCGTGGCCTGTATGGTTAACTTGTGGTTAATTGAGGTTCTGCTGCAGTTAAATAAACTGCTAATTCTGGATGGGTGGCATAGTTTGTTCTCTAAATTTTCAATCTTGGTTTAAACTAAAACAGTTCTTGATTTGGAAAAATGTTTTGGTATTCCAAAAGGCACAAGAAACGTATGAAAAAGCCATGGATAAAGCGAGGAAAGAGAATGAAAGAAACAATGCATCACCTGCCATATTTCCGGAGTATCAACTATGGGAAGATCATTGGAATCGGTAGGCACTTTATTTCGCTCACAAAGTATACAGTCAATTCACTTTTTACAGTATAGTGTGTGAAGCGCTTTGAGCCGTCTCGAAGACTTGATAAGGCCCTATATCAAATGCAGATATTATTATCACTTCAGGGAAACCTCCAGGTGATGAGTTAAAAGTTTAATGTTTGCATGATAGAGCTGGATAATGAATATCAAATCTTGATAGATCCCAGAATGTTTCAGCGCTTTTCCTGTAAATGGTTAGATCTCCATTCTAAAATTGTACCACATCAATCTAGATACTGTCTTTTTTATAGCAATAATGTTTCATCATAGGCCCCTGTAGTTTTTAGTGTTCAATGTGAAATTCCATATAGGGACAGGAGGATGTCTCAAAGTGCTTCATAAGATTTACTGTAAAGTGTCATTACTTGTATTTTGTAGGTGAATGCGCCAGCCAATATGCCACAACCATTCAGCCATGAAGTGAATGATCAAGTTTATCTGGGGGATTGTTAGCCAGGACACCAAAACAAACTCCCTTCTCTTTTCAAATAATGACATGAGATCTTTTAACATCCACCTGAACAGGCAGGTGGGATCTTGGTTTAATGCCTACCCTGACACCAGTCAGGGCATTTAGGTTACCACACAAAGTTGATATCAGGGTTTATTTATACATGTCCATGTGTAAACACAGCTTTATTATGTACCATTTATAAACTCGTGTAAAGGGATTTACATGTGCCTTAAATATGTAATTATTGACTAAAGGGTGGGTTGCCAATTATATAATTAATGAAATTGTCATTGCTTAATTACTTAATTACATATTTTTAATTTCCTTGTCATCATGCATTTTACACATAGAAGATGACAATAGTTGTATCTACGCATGGTTTACATACAGTGCACAATAAACCAAACTGACAACTACAATGCCTATGGTTAATATGCAGAAAATACCTACCTTCAACAAAGGATTGCCACATTAGTATTCTTTGTTTGTTGACTGTTTTTATTCCCCCAAAAATGACAAAACCTGTTGGTGACCTTTAATTCTTCCCATTTAATTATGTCCATGGCCATCTGTTAAAATATCACTGTAACTGAAGTAGAGAGAAAAAAGCAGGAGGGTAAGTGACAGTATATTTGTGTTTGAAGCCAGTCAAAAATGTTGGTTTCTCCTAATAGCAATCTGCTTATTGTGTTCTTCTTTATGAACAGCTGCTCAAAGGAGCTAAATCAATGGGAAGCACTGACAGAATATGGTCAGTCCAAGGGCCATGTTAATCCGTATTTGGTGTTAGAATGTGCTTGGAGGGTTTCAAATTGGGCAGCTATGAAAGAAGCACTGGTGCAGGTAAGAAGTTTTGGGGGAAAATACACCTATTTTACTGTGTATTAAACTATTTACTTAATGTGTCTAAATATCTAGATTTACTATATTAATTATTTATATATTTTAGGTAATTGAACTGCAGTTAATCCATGTTAACACTGTTAGAATCTAATTTGATTTTCCTCTCGGTATTGAATTCTTGTGGTAGAAGATCCCAGGCAAAGGTCAGGTTTCGTCTTACATGGAGAATGGTAAATTGGAGCAGAGTTGTTTTTACTCCCTCTTAATGACTTTCAGAACAGATTGGCAAAGACTGCTAGCTACTCTTGTATCTTTTTGCCTGAGACATACTGGGCACTGAGAGGAAAGTCGAGAGAATTTATCCTTCCATGAAAGCTCCCATTGTTTAGGACAAAGGTTGGAAGTCACTAGTAACTGTTAACTCACTGTATACCAGTTTTCTTTAACTATAGCATGTACATTAGACAACAAAGCATGTTTTTGGTTCCATTATGAGTTGCTTTTGTATAGAAAAAGTTGAGGAAATACTTTATTCACTTCTATGTCTCTCCTTAATCAAAATTTATCCTGACTTCTTTCACATTAACAGTTTCAAGGGTTTTCTGGCGATATATAAGGTAGTGGTTTCTGGCATTGCACTGTCTGTAGTGAAGCAAGTTGCAGAATTTGGCATATCCATGCTGAGTTTCAAAATATGTTCTACTTATTCTAACGTTTTATATTTTTACTGATTTAGTTCTTTAAAATTAAAACATGTATCTTTGCATCTTGGAAATGTTTGACCCATTAAGTTGAACTTCTGTTTTAACGCCAAAGCTTCATACTAGCATATCTTTCAACACAATTAAAATATGTTAATAGTGTTGATTTCTATAGCTATACTATTGATCACCAAATAAGTGCTGCTGCTGTTTTGAAAACAATTGGAACAAATCAGTGCAATGTGGTAAATGCTTTCATTTGCATTAGATAATAATTCCTTAAAAAAAGTCATTCAATCCACGACTGTGAGTGGGACACTGCTGTGCCTAATTGGCTGCTGCGTTTCACCCACAAAATACAGTCAATTCACTTTACAGTATATTCTGTGAAGTACTTTGAGACATGATAGAGACTTGATAAGGCCCTATACCAAATGCAAGGATTATTATATTAGGTATAGTAATTTATCAGAAACTTCTTCACCATTAGTCATTTTTTTTCAGAATGCATTAATGTATGTTGTACACTATTATGATTAGATTAATATACTTTAGTGCAGCACATTCACCTGACTTCCTGCTATTAAGGTCCACTCAAGGGTCTGTGCATATTGCCTTATTTTGCATAACACGACGGATCACTTTGTGGAAGTGGCTTGTAGCTTTGTGGGGACTATATATTTTTATTTTGGACAATCAATGCAAAAAAAAGCTTGCAATGCTGCTAGATATTTTGTAGAGTTTTTTTCTCTCCCAGAACGCACATTTTTTTGGTCAAGATGGTTAACTGGAAGCTGCTCCCAGTCTTATCCCAACGTTGTTTAAAAGGAGGTTAATGTGAACTGCGCAAGAGTCAAGGGTCTTCGTTATCCTCACTTCTCTGATCCCTGTGGGGATCCACATGGCTTTTGCTGATCACTCCCATGCACGGTCTTGGTTGAATGGAATATTCCCTGTGAGGTAAATTATGTCCTTCCATTACACAGCATTGAGCACAGCTGTTTAGCCTTCATTACTTTCTGCACCCTGGTGAATCGTCCACATTATTCTGTTAGTTGTTTATCCTAATATGGGAACAAACAGTTCGAAATGGGATTGTATTTCCATGGATCTGACCTGGTTACATTGGTTTTTTAGTTGTTTGTGAACGAATATCTTGAATAATTGCATGAACATCTGGTCTGTCCATTTGTTGTCAATGATGAGCTGCCAGCATCAGGCAAATAAAGTACTGTTTGTGTAACCAAATATTTCGGACCTTGAGTTGAGGTAGGCAAAATTGATCATTTCTGGCTTTATTTTGAAAATACTGAGAGTACCACATATGGTACCACATATATCAAGTCTGCATTGCAGAGGACATTTATTTTTATTAATGAGTTGCTGACTTGGTAGAGAAATTTATATTATTACCAGTGTAAGCTGCCCTTGAATATGAACAAATTTCATCTTCAGCACTAATTAAACAGAGTTTATCATAACAATAAGAGAAAAATATCCATGAAAAGTGCCAGGTGCCTATTTGTGCAATCACTCAAATCTACTGTGTGCTGTTTTCCTGTGTTTTGTATCTGCCACCTTTTACAGTTGCAGTTCGTTTGCTTTACAGACGTTCTCAGGCAGCTATCTTCACCTGTATTTTTCCAAAAATTCCTCTTTAGAGTTGTAATTTGGGCAGCTAGTTTTGAGCTGCTGCAATGGGAACTGGTTTCTGGTTTCCTCAAAACCATGGCTTTTATCTAGCTTTTTCCCTCAGCTAATTCAGAGATCTGACCTGGTACCTTTCTGGTTTCTATGGTTGAAATTTCACATTCTACAGTGGGTTTACCCACTGAGCCAATGAGGAGACGTCTGATTCACTTTTTAAAAAAAAAATTGTTAGCTGATCTAAGCTAAGTGCAGTGATGGAAGCATTGCAGTTGGAGGGTAGATTCGCATATACGACCTACCACCCAACGAATCCTCTTATTAATGCCTTTAATATCATTACAATTACATTTAAACACAGCGTAGTTACAGGTTTTCTGCACAAAAGAACTAAGCATATACTCACAAGTGCCTTTATTGGGGCTAGATGGTATTTTCTGTTCCTGTAGTGTTTTTGAGTGTTTAAGTGTAACTTCAACCTGCATTAACAGTTTTAATAGTTTGTGCAACATGCAGTATCACAATAAGTAGCGTATTAGGAGGAAGAAGAATAGCAGCTACAAATAACCGTATTTTAATATCATTCAGGTGGAGCTAAGTTGTCCAAAGGAGATGGCGTGGAAGGTTAACATGTACCGTGGTTATCTGGCAATCTGTCACCCAGAAGAACAACAGCTTAACTTAATTGAACGTCTTGTGGAGATGGCCAGTAGTCTAGCTATTCGGGAATGGCGTCGACTCCCACATATAGTGTCACATGTTCATACGCCTTTGCTTCAGGTAAGAAGACTGTGTTGACACAAGGTTCTGTGGAATTGAAAACATTTTTGATCATCTCAATGCATTTACTTAATTAATTCTCTCCCCTCATCAAGACCTCAGGTTCGTAGAGTTCCTTACCACCCTCAGTTTTGTCTCTTGCATACAGTGTAATGGGTTTCAAATCCCAGGCTTTAGGTACCACACCACTTACTTGTTGGTGGGTTGCATGATGGCCTTTACTTAGATTCTGAAGAAAATCGCTAGCATTTACTTAGATTCTGAAGAACCTATGTTTCTCTTAAAAACGAATCCTTTAAAATGAATTATTTGAGAGTTTGTTGGAAAAAATCCAGTGGGACACTATGGCTAAATCTTTACTGACATAGTTATACCTAGATTTATTGTCCCCATTAAATGTTGAATATCCTTGACTTACCTGCACTTCTAAGAAGCTGAAAGAAAAGGACTGGTGTCTTTTTGTTGTTCCTGAACCCAGTAGCAACATATGCTGTTGCCAGATTGGAATGCATACTGTGCCTGGGTCCTTTCACTGGTTGTGAACCATGGCATTACTTCTCCAGACAAGACCCCACATGAATGAGATGAATTATGCTGTGTTTTCACAAAAGAAATCTGCATCCTATGATTTTTTTTTAAGATTACATTGTTTCACAAAATATACTGGATCCAAATGGAATCTATTTGGTAGATGGGATTTTACAGTTGGATGCCAGGGCTCTGCTCTTATTAAAGTTAACATACTAGAAAATCCACTGCTAACAACTTTTTTTAAAATTGAGCATAGTTGACAAATGAGCTTTGCAAGTTAAAAAATGTTTAATACCAGAAAACTCCCAGCTATTTAATCTCCAGCTGGAAGTGGTATTTCATTTGTTAACATTCGCCACTTCGATTAAAATCTTAAACCACAAACAACAAGATACAACAAGATTACATTTGTGTAGTGCCTTTCACGTCCGGAGGACGTCCCAAGGCGCTGGACAGTACAGCATTTCAGACCCGAGCTGGGGTCAGGAGGGGAGAAGGGAGGGAAGAGGGGTGGCCGATGGCATGGTCGAAGAGGAGGGTCTTGAAGGAGGCCAAGGAGGGGGCGAGGCAGAGTGATTGGTGGATGGAATTCCAGAGGTTGAGGGCAGAGTTGCTGAAGGTTCTCCTGCCAATGGTGGGGTGGGTGGGGCGGGGGACCTGGAGCAGGCCTGAGCTGGCTGAGTGGAGGGAGGGGGCGGGTTGGTAGGGGGTTAGGAGGTCACAGAGGTAGGGTGGGGCGAGGCCATGGAGGGCTTTGTAGGTGAGGCCCAGGATCTTGAACTGGATCCTCTGAAGGATAGGGAGCCAATGGAGTCGGGCGAGAGCGGAGGAGATGGGGTCACGAAGTTTGGTGCGGGAGAGGACACGGGCTGCAGAGTTCTGGATTATCTGCAGCCTGTGGAGGGAGGAGCTGGGAAGGCTGAGAAGCCTGTATAGTCGAGCAAACCCAAACAAAAAAAATCTAATGCACGAAAAACAGTTTTTTCAAGCTACACTTTGAATCTGTTTCACCATTTTAGTTGTTTTTATGGTTTATATTCGCATTGTGAATGTTTAGACTACAAGTAATACAAAACGTTTGTGGCAAGTTCATATTGCTGATAAGGTGCTGAAGGTGTGCCAGCTGTTGGCAGCGGACTGGCAATGGTAAACAAAGTAATGCGCAATTCAAAATGAATTTCCAGTAGAACTGTGTATTGCCAGTTCCTCAGTTGCTTTGTCACCTTTATCTTCTGCAGTGGAGAAACTTATGGGGATTATTTCTTCTTGATCTCAGTGCAAGGTACCCAGAGGTACAGCACAAATTAGTCCAAGGATGAAAGGAAGAAAGGTGGCTGATCTTGACAAGCTCTTCAAGTCCGGCCTTCAGATCAAGGTTTTTCTAGGCCTTTAACGGAAGCAAAATCAAACATTTGATATAAAATCAGGACTAAAATATCCAAAGCTGGTCATCGCTGTCACATTGGTTTGTCCGTCTTGTGAAAATTGCGTTCAGCTATTGTCTTTTAAAAGCAATTGTCATGCATTATATAAGCTTCTGTGCTAGAAACATTCAGTGGGATATTGGAGTCTAAGCCAGTCTGATTGCTTTTTTCACTGCATTTTTATATTGGGATTTTACATAATAAAAATTCATGTTAAAACCTGTAATGTTCCCTTAATAAGAAAGTGGGGTTGGGAGGAGTCAGATATACAGTTATTGGCTTCAACGGTCTTCTTATTGGAGGAGTTGTAAAGTGAGAAGATAAACAGAAAGAAAGAAAAAAGATGAGAGTAAGGAAAGAATACAAATGAAAAACTTGCAGATTGTAGTAATGCATGGTTTTTATACATGTTGTCCTAATTATAGGCAGCCCAGCAAATTATTGAACTACAGGAAGCAGCTCAAATAAATGCAGGTTTGCAGCCAGCAAATTTGGGGAGAAACACGAGTCTGCACGACATGAAAACAGTTGTGAAGACCTGGAGGAACCGCCTGCCCATTGTATCCGATGATCTCTCTCACTGGAGCAGCATTTTCATGTGGAGGCAGCATCACTACCAAGGTAAGGCCTGCTGGTGCTGCTTACAAATATTTTGCTCAATGTGAACCATGTATTGCTGTAAACTTAAATGGAGCGAAGTTTAGAACGTGCAGGTATTAAATTTAGATCGCAGAGTGCTTCGCCAAGAAGCAGGTCTGCACTGATTCAGGTTACTTGTTGCTGTGAGATCCGTTTCAGTTCACAATACGAGACGTATCCACCAGCACTGGCCTCAAAATAATAGAAACTGTCTTAGACAAGTAACTATCCTTTTTTCGTCGAAAACAACAACAACTTGCATTTATATAGCACCTCTCATGCAGGTTAGCGTCCCAGAGCGCTTGACAGTGGCGGAGCATGAGGCCAGGGTGACCATAGGCACAGTCGAAGAGGAAGATCTTCAGGCTCGACCTGAAGATGGGGAAGGAAGGGACAAGGTGGAGGAATAGAGGAATAATGTTCCAGAGTTTCGGGGCTCAGTGGCTGAAAGCGCGGCCACCTATGGTGAAACGGAGAGCACGAGGGACAAGCAGGAGGCCGGAGCCAGTCGAGCGGAGGCAGTGGGTTGGGGGTAAGCAGGTTGGAGAGGTATGGAGGTTCTAGGGCATGAAGGGATTTGAAAAGAGTTGAGGATTTTGAAATTGATCCGTTTGGTGATAGGGAGCCAATGGACCCTGGCTAGAACTGGTGTGATGGCCATCACATAATGTTTGGAGAAGGTGCATACATGGCCAGCAACTAGGAAACTGAATTATTGGTTACGTGGGGGATAAACACTCACAACCAGAAAAGTAATCCATTCTGTGGGAGATCGAGTATTTCTTACCTATAGAGGTTGACAAATACAGGCCGAGAGATGAATTTTCCTTTCATTTCAAAAAATTTCAGAGATAACCTTAAAACTATTTTTCCACTCCCATGTGGGGTCTGGCGCCCCGGATGTAGGAGCGCTGTTTAATTCGTTTCAGGGTGTTGGAGCTCATATTTCTGCCAGGTAAATGAGGCAAATCTTTGCCTAATACCCAATCTGTTTTGGGATTAGTCACTGTTTAGTAAGTACAGAAAAGCACAGTGCTGAAAGTGCACAACAGGTTGGTCAGAATTTGAAAGATAAAAAGAGGCTTTGGGTAAGACCTTTCAGCAGGACTGGATGATGAGGTTGAGTAGAGCATGTCCCAGAAAGACATCTGGAAGAAGTCAATAATTTAAATGATTTATAATTTAAATAATGTAACTATATTGATAAGGAAGCAGCTAATTGGTCAGCATTTGAGATATGGGAACGTTCTACAGCTGATAAAAGGCAATCTCAGCCAGAAGCAGGATATGTGAGACATGAGAGAGATATGGGGTGAGCAAGACTGTAGAAAAATGACGTATGATAGAGGATCTGGTAGGAAAATAGGCAGACAATAAACATCTGTCTTCTGCTGTTGTCCTTTAGGACTTTTACCTAATAGCAATGCCTCCGATTGGAGCAGAGCTATGACCTAACTGAGGCAAGTTTTCTATATCCTACCTGAGGTGAATGGTGCAGCAGAGACAGTTGTGGTGTAACTTAGTTACTGTTATTTTGGTAGCAGCAGTCAAGAATAATAAACTTCTAAAAGTCTTTAGATAACATTATCTCACTGAAATTGCACATCCTTCACGAAATGTAACAGTACTTAAAACACTGAAAAATCTCAAAGCGTTGAGGAGTTGCTGCTATGTGTAGTGGCTGTATTTGTAGGCAAACACAGCAAACCTTTTGCACACAGGAAGATCCCACAAAAAGCCTGAAGTGAATGATTAGTTTATCTGAAAGAATGTTGACTAATGCCCATATAGATAAAAGAGGTATCAGCTCTTTCACTCCATGACGCAGGATCCATGATATAACTGTGTCCTGCTGAATTGCCAATTTCTACAATTTGACTCCATTCTCAGAAACATAAGAATATATCTTTTGTTTCATATACAGAACATGCCGTTCCAGGGTCTCATAGTCTGTTGATGGCTGCTTCCTGATGTCTTTCTTTTACCTGGTCATTCTTTCCCTCCTCATTCTATACAGTCTGATGATGTGTTGAGACATTGCTTTACCCTCGTATTTCAGATGCTGATTGACCTGTTTGTGATGCGTTCCATCATTTTACATTTTTTCTGAAGATTGTAGCATTCAGCTTTTCTTTCTATTCCATTTGTATGCAAGTCCAGTTTCAAGGAACAACCTCTTATTCATCCGATCTGTTGTCTTTTTCCTTATTAAGTAAAGGCCCAAGACCCATATAGCAGGAGCCACAGAGTAGGAGAGAAGATAAGATAAACCAAGTACTAATGGTTAGGTGATGCCAAATTTGCCTTTTAAAAGCTTACAGATTGTGGGAGGAAGAAGATTTGGGGAGTGAGGAATTCCATAGTCAAATATAACATCAGAAATGGGTTTGAAAAGGTTGTATATAATGATCTCAGATGGGAGACCGACACGCTATTATTATCAGTGACTGACAATAGAAAGACTTTGGATTTAATGTACATTGTAGTGACACATATTTTAACAGTACTTCATTTCTAGCAAGAGATGTACAAAAAAAGACATGCAGGCATTTAAAGAATGACAATTGCCAATTTGATTTTAGTTCATTTTGAGTAATTGCCACGCATTAGCCATCTAACCAGAAGAATGTTTGGGAATGAGTAATTCAGGAGGTCAAAAAATTGTTAATGTTGTTCATATGCATTAACTTTTTATGTTTTAAGTTTTCAAAACATTTTATCCATATTTATAAATTGAAACACTTTTTTTGGATAGATTTGTACTGTATTAAGCAGTTGAAACATCAGTTTTTGGCATAATTTCAATCAATTTCAAAGTATTTCACATTATTTGGGTGTCAACCTGGTTCAGTTGGTAGCCCTCGCCTCGTGATTCATAAAACTTTGTATTGAAGCCCTAAATCAGAAATTTGAACCCACAAGCCTCAGCTGACACTCCAATGCATTTCTGGGGTTCTGCTGTATTGTTGTAGGTACCATTCTTCGAATAGGACTTTAAAGTTGAATCATGTCTGCATTTTCAGGTAGTCGTTAAAGATTTGGGGGATTGTTGTCCAGGCAAATAATCCCCCAAATGAAATTGGTTCCTCATTTCATGGTTGCTTATAGGAGGACATTGCTGTGTGCAAATTGGCTGTTGCATTTGCCTCCAGAATAAACAGTCACGAACTTTACAGTATATCCTGTGAAACATTTTGAGATATCCTCTTGGCGCTGTACCTAATGGAAGAATTATTATTATTGTATTCCACTAATAATAATTGTGCATCACAGATGATCAGTTTGGAAAACAGTTTTGGAACAAATCAAATATCTCACTGGAGATATTTGGAGATATATGGTTAAAAATAATGATTGAGCTGACCATGTGTTTCTTCTGTACCAACTGGAGGTGTAAGTAAACAAAGAAAGAAAGTATTGAGGGAGCATTTTCTGTTTAAAGTATCTCTTCCCATAATTATAAGTAGATATTAAACGTATACTACTTACAGAAATACCAGGTACTTCTGCAAATATGTTTAGAAGTACTAAATATACTTACAGAAATACCTGCAGGAAGGAATCACTGCTGAGACCATCTTGGCACCCAGTTGATAGGAAATGAAGTAGGGAATGAAGTATTCAATGGGTAGGAGCCGGTACATCCGGCTCCTAATTACACACAGATGGGTGTATTTAGTTTAATGGGATGGGTGCTCTGACTGGCCTGGTAAATAATCTGAATCCCTCCCCCTGCCCCGGAAAACTGCTGTGCGCAATTGACTGCCGAGTTTCGCCCACAATATATACAGTCAATTCACTTTACAATATATGCTGTGAAGAGCTTTGAGATGTCTAGAAGACGTGATAAGGTGCTATATCAAATGCAAGGATTATTATTATTGTTGTTATTATGGTAAAACTTGCTTTCATCTTTACATGGAATAAATTGAACATTAAATTAGTATTTTTGTTTGAAATTCTGATATGAAATTCTTGAGGTGCTGATTGGAGGTGAGGTACTTCACTCAGGGCGTGAAAATTGGAGGATGTCGACCTATATTTGTGGTTCTTATTTGGCTTAATGACTAGTTTTACAGATAGAGGTTGACAGAATGGTCGGTGCACCATAGGCGATGGACAGAAAGCTAAAAAGGCTGAAACGAAGGAATAGAATAAGATGAAAACCTACCTTCCTTCCCCTACATTGTTTTATACACATCACTATAATAGAATACTTAATGGATCATCCTTTAGAGAATATAAATTAAAATATCACCATAAAAGTTGTAATTTACATAGAGTTTAGCCATAGCACACTCCAGAAAATTTGTTATTTTTCGCTGTCAATTTCACGTTTCCATTCATTTCAGTGGGACGGACTACAGCTGATTTTACAAAACTGAAAGCAGGTATGGAACAAACGAGTTTAAAAATTAAAATTACTTTGGATTTGAGCTCATTTAATGATAAATCCTTTGTGAATACTCAAAAAAAAACTCCACCTTCATATAAAATCCTGCTGACGGCCACAAAAATTCTATGTACAAGATATTTTTTGTTGACTGCGGTACAAAAAATACCACAGTCAAGATAAATTTGGAATTAGGATAAATATCTTCTCCAATGTCTTTGATTCAGGGCAAAGGTTTAATCCTAAAATTTGTTGCAGTCCTTTAAATTACAAGTGCTTGTGAAGTCGATCTGTAAAATCAAATCTAAGTTAACTTTTTTAAAACATTTTCTGTGATCAGATTCTTCACCTTTCTCTTCCCCCCCACCACCACCCCCAATATATCAATAGGGAAAATGGTTGGAAAATATTATTGAGCCATCAATAACCATGTCACAAGGATTTTATAGAATTGTGTTAATTCTGCTCCATTCACTACCACTGGATATTTTCATTATTTTTTAAAATGCTCCCAATATTTTAAGTGAATGAACATTTTCAAATGGCAGACAATAGATTCCACACCATATTTTGCTCATTCTAGTATGTCCTGGTATGCCATTCTTAGAAGGTATCATTCATTTAACATAGTTCTCTGGGATATGAAACTGAATTATAACATGCCACCAATGTAACTCATTCACAAAATGTCTTTAAATGGGCTTCAAAATCTTAGCTTTATAAAATGTTAAAATAATTGACTGTGTTAATTCTTCTTTTTCTTTTTCTTTAAAGCAATTGTGGCAGCCTATGAAAACAGTTCTCAGCATGACCCCAACTCAAATAATGCAATGTTGGGCGTTCACGCATCTGCTTCAGCCATTATCCAGTATGGGAAGATTGCCCGTAAGCAGGGCCTGGTGAATGTGGCATTAGATATACTCAGCCGTATCCATACTATTCCAACTGTGCCCATTGTGGACTGTTTTCAGAAGATTCGCCAACAAGTAAAGTGTTACCTACAGCAGGCTGGAGTTATGGGAAAGAACGAATGCATGCAGGTATGCAGCACAGCCATTCCTTCAAAACAGAGGGGATGTTGGTTGGTTCATTTGCAGTGCTCTTGCTTCTGGTCCAGACCTTGTGCCTTCAAGTTCATGAGGGAGACTTCAGTTTACCTCCATTTTGACACACCACAACTTGCTCCCTGTTCTTTGACTGGAGACATCTGCCTCCTGGATAATGAAGATCATGCTGTTCATGGCATACATTAGGGGTGAACCCTGATGTTCTTTAAAATGCTCTGTCAAGACTAAACTCACAGTAATCTACATCAGGTATTACCTGAAAGGGTAGTGGAAGCCGATTCGATAACAACTTTTTAAGAGAGAAGTAGATAATTATTTGGGGAGAACAAGTTTGCAGCGCTATGGGGTGAGAGTGGGGCAATGGAATTGATCTGGATAGCTCTTTTCAAAGAGCCGGATAATGCTGCATAATTTTATGATTCTATTCTATGATTCTCCTTCTGTGCTGCATGATTCTATGATAAATTCTATGATAAATCCTTAGGATTTATCAGCCTATCAAAATATGAACTTCAGAACATTTTATTAAGTTCACAAGACATTAATCGTTTGAATTAAAAATGATTCTGCAATATCATATTGTGATAGGCAAATCTCTATGGGTGATATCCTGATTAAAATGGAACTGTTTCAAAAGTCTCAATCCCTATAAAAACAACTATTTTTCAAATATATTTGTATAACTATTAATGCAGCACAAACTGAAGCCATGATTTTTATACAAATTAGAAACTGCATCATGATTCGATTAGAGCACAGTTTGATAAATTTCTCATTAGATGTCATTTGTCTTTTGTAGGATCTCTGGGCAAATTCTACTCTTTAAGCTTGTATTAGTTCCGCCAACTGAAAAAAAGGGCATTTAATGTCATTCAGATCATGCATAACTAAAATCTTCCATAGGTTGAACCTTTTTTAACTCCTCTTCGGAGACTGCGATTTGAAAATGGATATCAGATATGTACTCATAGTAAATCCCAATCCTTCCTCTAATTCCTAAAACCTACTCAGAAAAAGATTAATCCACAAACTAAGTCTGAGCTTTCCACTCCTTGACTACATGTTAATCTGACAGGGAGAAATCCTTGACTTTTGAAATATCAGATAGCCGGATTTTTGGCTCTTAAGTATTTGGTTCAGTTTTCAGATCTTTCTTCACAATTCTCCTGAAGTGACTAAAGCTATCACAACGTTCAGAAACTGACATGGAAATGATACTCTGGAATACAATAGAAACTGATTTCTTTTTTTTATTAGTCAGTTCTAGTCTTCAAATTTACTCCCAGTATCAGTGTTTAATCCAAGTCGACTACACTCCACCCTCATTACAGGATGACTCCTCCCCCTCCCCCCATTTGTATTTTTTAGTGAATTTATCTTAAATTTGACACAAAATGAAAAGGAAGGTAGTGTTACAATGGAGAACTTCTATTATTTTTAGGAGTGGGGGACGAGAAAGAGAACTTATAATAAGTAGAAGTATATGTATTCTTAAAAATGACTCTTTCAAATGACTCTTTGAAAGATTTTGGATTCAAAATGGAATTTGTGTAATTGAAGTATTTATTTTTTTGAGAGTATAACTCCCTCCCTTCCCCCCCCCCGCCGACAAAAAAAGGATCATTACTCCAGGGATTCTGAAACTATCTGATCCTTTAGGGTCTGTCTTGAGCTAATCCTATTATATGTTTTGGTGAGAAGTTGCAATTTAGAAAAAAATCGATACGAAATGGATTGTGTTTTTGAAATGTTTTGTTCTCTCATTTTTTCCAAATGATCCCATTGACCTTTGAAGTGTCGTCGGTCATCGAAGACTAGCTCCAGTGTAGGAGTATTTTCACATTCAGTCGTCTCTGACATTGAACTGCTCTGACTGTTTGTTAGATCACAGGTTATCCAGCATCTCCAGCACTTGTAAGAACGACAATTCTGGCCAGAGTAATATGAAAAATCAGGCAATTGCAGCTTGTGAAAAGGAATGCATTTCAGCGTTGGAGAAACCTAGTTGCTATTGATGGCATTTTTGGCATCTGTTTTGTCGTGGTCTAAAGTAACTTTTCTCACTACAGGGGACGTGTGTAATTTCTTGCCTTTGCTTCTTAGCTTAGCTATAAATAAAAGGCAGTGTTGCTTGGATTAAAGAGGTCAGAATTTGATGTTAGTTGCTAAATGACGATTTGAAGGGCGAACATGTTTTTTATATCTGCAAAATCATTTTTCAATTTGCAAGACATTTTGGGTGCAGCTCCACTACTTTTGAGGCGAGTACTGAAGGCACTGTAAATGTAGTTTGTCAGAAGGACCATCTAATTTTTTTGTTGACGAATACAAATTCTACTACAGTATTATTTCTATTATAGCTGTTTCTTAAACTACATGAGGAATCACCCTTTTACAAATGCCATGAAAAGTTGGAAAAACTTGAATGTTGTATGAAATTTAATTTTAATAAATATAAGATCCTCCTTGTATCCAGAATAATATGAACCCAGGGATTACAAGTGTTCGCTACCGTGTTTTGTACTATGAAATTATAATTTATTGAGAATCGGTTTTAGTCTGGTAGTGGATTAAGAGATTGTCGGATAAAGGCTGCTGTGCAGAACCTGATCTCGAAAGTTACTAATGTAGCTGTCTTGCTCTTGAAAGGTCCTTTGTAAAATAATATAATGTCAGAGTTTGATAAATAGGTCACTACATCTTGCATTCAATTTTTGACTTTGTTCCACGCAGGGTTTGGAGGTTATTGAATCTACAAATCTGAAGTACTTCACAAAGGAGATGACAGCTGAATTCTATGCACTCAAAGGGATGTTCCTTGCTCAGATTAATAAGTATGTACATAATTTGTTGCAGTTCTTGATCTTATTTTTTCCATTACACAGTATTTCTGTCCCACTATAATTGGAAGATCGGGACAGCAACAACAACAACAACAAAATTATATTTGTAAAGCGCCTTTCACATCAGGAGGACGTCCCAAGGACAGTCGGAGCTTAGATGTGTTCTCCTCACTTGGTGTAGCTCTTTCTGGTTTGTGGCCAGAATGACAGTCTTTGATGCATTTAATTTACTTTCATAAAGAGGTCTATCCAGCAGCCTAACTGATAACTGGGATATGTGTCCTTGGAGGGAGGGGAGTCTGAATGATTGTTAGGTTTTTGTGTTGTTGTTGTTGAAACTGAGTCTTTTCAGCATACATTCAGTATTAATCAGGCTATTAGCTTAGCCCATGATTTATTCTATTCTCTGTCTTCTTGCTTGATTAAAATTTAATTTAATTAAGCTTTATCTATGGCTAGAAAGTGAAATGTCTATCTAGCTGAAATCACTTGGCAAGCAGAGGTATACAGAATTCTGAGCGGATTACAGATGCCATCAAATTGTTTGCTTCACACAGTCTGCATATAAAAAATATTTAAGTAAATATTGTGTATTAACCTTAGTTTTCCAGACACAAGCATGATTTGTGGTATTTTCTCTTGCTCTTCTCCCCTGGCCCCATCTTGTGTTTTTTGTAAATAATTCTATGCTTACCACTTTGCCTTATTTTCTGTGCCTCTTGGTTTCTGCTGACCGGACTTGCTGATACATGTCATATTTATATTACTTAGTAAACCTGGGAAAGCGATGTAAGAAAGTAAGAAAGTGGAATTGTGGAAAGTGTGACTGTATTTACACTGGCTAATACTATAACACATAATCGAATTGTAAATATCAATGTTGCATAATGCAAAACTGGATAGATGATCCGACCTGGGTACACAATCTAGTCTTTTGCTAAATGGTGAGCTCTGCAGTGTCACTGACTGATTTGACCTCTTATCCCTTCCTAAGAAGGAGTTGGAAGTGTGGTTAAAATCCATTCCTCCAAACCTTTCATTGTGGGAATCAAGGTGAGTGCGATGTCTCAGAGTGATCGATAATGCACAAGAGCTCTGTGTTTGGAGATTTTTGAGCACTCACTCACGCACAGCTCTGCTGACTGGTATTGTATTTTAATGTTGATGGTGGCACTGTCTGAATGTAGTGTAAACTTAGTACAAGATAGGAAGAGAGCAGAAACTTTTTCAGGACTGGCAAATTGACTTCACAATTATGACACGTAGTTTCAGTCCAGATGAATATGAAGTCATAGTTGAAAAAATCCTTGAAAAAGTACCAATCTACATCAATTCAGAAATTGCTTGTATTTTGCTTGATTGTATTTAAAATGGCTTTCTAAAAGCTTTTAAAACTTTTGAATGTGTTTAATAATTAAAGCTGCTAAAGGCATTGTAGCAGCTAATGTATGGTTTACGGTCTCTCTATTTGGGAAGATCTTTTCATTTGATAACTTTGCGTGGGAAATCATGACTCCCGTAAGCTCCAAGACTTCTGTATTGCTGCTGTTTTCAGGTTCATTGAGCCTCGGTGGTCAGGTGGTAATCAATCACCCTGGGTCTAAGTAAGACAGAAACATGTATATTTTAAACGCACCACGTACATTTTTAAAAATGTATGTTTTTCAAAATGTTAACACATTTGGTAGAATAACAAGCCAAATGTTCTAAATACAAATATGGTCAGCACTTGTAGAATACGTGCGATATTCTTTAGGAAATCACATTCTGAGTGCCTGCGGTTATTCACCAGTTGATTTTGATATTGGTTCATGTCTGGTGAAGGAGAGACCTGCTGAGATTGTTATTTTGGATCAGGTTTCATGTTGCTTTTTACACATTTACATGAAAAAAACAGCATTGCTTGATGTTCGGAAAAGCTTTTTTTTAGAATAGACATTTTTTAGTGACATTGAAAATGAGCGCAAGCGATTTATGGTTCTGCACTATTTTAACTCTAGGTACGTGCAGTATTGAGATTCTCACAGATCAGATTTCTGGTCCACATATTGATGTAGCCTACATCAGGATTAATTTATTCAAAAGTACCAGAAAACTAATAAAGAGCCTCTTGGCATTTGAGCTGTTGTGGTTTTTGGATCACTACATTATTGTGTGCTCTTTTACAACCCAAATTTAGCCTGTTTGACATCTTCAGAATTCATCTAATCAATGCATAGCTAGTTTGCCAGGAAACATTGGGTTTGCCTCGTCATTTTAAACAAAATATATTTTTAAAAACTGTCCCTATTTAATCTCTGTTGCTCAAATTTTGCTCAAATGGGTTTCATTGATACTTTGATAACCATAGAACAAAAGGAAAATTTGATTTGACTGCAGTTATTTATCACTTAAATTCTTGCTTTGTGTTTTATGATCGACCAAACCAATACAATGGATTTAATAGTGATCCAAAATCTCAGAATTACAAAGTTATTTTGTCTGTGTGAAGGATCACCTGTAAACACTTAAGAAAGACTTGCAGATATGTAAGAGCCGGAAGCAGTACCCATATGCAATATGATACATTTGGTCAGGCAACTGTGAAAAAGATGGCTGATTGTAATTGATATGTTGAGTGGTGGAAATTTACATGGGAAAATAATTAATGTTTGAATTGGGATTATTTGGACAGTGTAGTGGGCCTCTGGTGGGCAGCTACAAGGCATGGATCTTCTTTGGGACAGGGATGTTATGTTTGCTTCAGAAAAATGGGCTGTCCATGATAACTGCCTACATTCACTACACTTGACTGGTTTGAAATGCTCTGACTTGATGACTTCCTTTTTTCCTCTTCTATGATGATTAATGCATTGGAAAGATTTGGGGGGGAATTTGGTGCAGTATATTCAAAATCTATGCTTGAATCAAGTTTATTATTTATATAAACAGATCTGAAGAAGCAAACAAAGCCTTTTCTGCAGCTGTTCAGATGCATGACGTGCTTGTAAAAGCCTGGGCAATGTGGGGTGACTATCTGGAGAACATTTTTGTCAAAGAAAGACAGCTTCACCTTGGTGTATCTGCCATTACCTGCTACCTGCATGCATGTCGCCATCAGAATGAGAGTAAATCAAGGAAGTATTTGGCAAAGGTGAGAATTATCGTGTTAATATGAGCTTCTTGCTGAAACTTTTAATGATGTCTTTATTGTACCTGATGCAGTCACTATCTGCCTCTATACCTATTGTAGTCACCGTGTCCACTGTACCTAATGCAATCACCTTCTTTCCTGTACCTGAAACAATCACTATCCGCACTGTACTGAATGCAATGTGCACTGTAAGTAATGTGGTTGCTGTTTGCACTGTATCTGATGCAGTCACCATATGCACCAAATCTAATGAAATCTCTACCTGTTGTGACCGCTGTCTATACTGTACCTACTGCGGCCGTTGTCTGTAGTGTATCTAGTGCTCCCACTGCCCATGTTTTCACTGTATCTATGCATTAACTAAACATACTTGTGTGGTGGGGATGTACATTATGGATTGGGTTTCTTCCTTATTCTGTCTTCACTGTGTCCAAGGTTTCATCTAATGTGATTCATCTCCTGAGCTTTAGTAAACTGTCAGGTTAGATCGCCATTTAAAAGTTTTCCGTGACACATTGCCATTTCTGAGTCATTTTAATGCATACTGTTGGCATTTGCAAGAGCAGAAAGTACTCCTCCTAGACATTCCTTTCCTTTTAATGCCACATTTATCCTACATTTCAGACTTGGGAAGCCTCAATTATTTTTCTGCTCCAAAATGGCATTTTCCCTGTGCCGAGGAGAGCATTGTGCGTCTAGTTCTTAAAGCATATTCGGAATTCTGCTAACCGCCCCCAGAATGCTGTTAGTTTTATATTATCGAAGAACTGGGAGGGCATTCGGCACTTTTATTACATTCAAAAATATTACCTTTATTAGGTGGAGTCCAAATTGATTTTCCTAGTGTAGGAGACTTAATGTTAGATGCCCAAGTGAAGGATTTCAAAAAAACGTGTCGTTTAGTGCAGAGATGCTGGGTATTGGTGTGCTTAAAATTCAGTGCCAGGAGAAGGGGTGGATATGTGTTGGTGCAGTGTTGTGTCGTAGCACTCAGGTACAACGACAGACCATTACAATCCTGATTCAACAGACTGGGCAAGATGTAACCCATTAAAAGTTAACGGATTCATTTCTGTCTGCTTTCCTCAGGTTCTTTGGCTACTGAGTTTTGATGACGAAAAGAACACCCTAGCGGATGCAGTCGACAAGTATTGCATTGGTGTCCCACCCATTCAGTGGCTCGCTTGGATCCCACAGCTGTTGACCTGCTTGGTTGGCTCAGAGGGCAAACTCCTTCTCAACCTCATCAGTCAGGTCAGTACAATATATGTCATGTTGAAGGCTCAAAACTGTAATCAGTGATATTTTTTTCATTTTCGGGACTGGATTTGACAAGATTTTGTACAGTGGGTTGATTGGTCAATTTGTTTTCAGAATGCATAAATAATAATACATTTGCAAGGCTCGTTTATTTCGATAAAATCGGTGTAAGTGTGTGTAAAGACAATGGGTTAATGTTCTGTCCCTTGCACATTCCCAGGCACCTGCTTGCTTCTCTCCCCCCAGCACAGCTCACTAGTGCCATTTTGTAAGGTCACAAAATGATATTCAATAATGAAATGGATGTGCACATCTTGACCCTTTAAAGTAAAAAATTAAAGAATCAGTTAACAAACCACAGTCAGGTTTTAGTTCTGAGAATTAATATTAAGATTGGCACCAATGATGCGCTGCATACTAGAGTTCTTGCCATAGGGGTGTTGTAGGGGCAGTGTGTGTATGTGTGTTGAAGTCATGAGGAATTTTAAACAACAGCTCCTGAAGCTGGAACAACACATTTGAATTGTTTTTCAAGCAGCCAAACTTATTTTACATTTTTAACCATTATTAAACTGAAATCTCCCAGCTAAGAGGGGGGAGGTGAGAGGTAGGTCACAAGAGCTTTTAAGCAACTTCTGTCACAAAAGTTCTCATTGTAGATAAAGTAATATTTTAATTAGCTTTTTAAAAATCATTGTTATCCTTCCTCCACAAAGAATACTCAACAGGGCACTGTAACATACTGAGTATATTCCATGTACAGACGTGAATGGCTGATTTAAGACAGAATTTGGAGTCTTAAAAACTATGGTCCATCTCCCTCCTGATGAATTTCCCCTCCACTTAACTGCTCATTTTTCTATCACTTCCTTTTTCAGTGTAAATGAAATTTCAGGGTTCTATTAATGTCTCCCGATGGTATACAGCTTGTGTTGGGAATTGCTGTGAAACGCACAATATATAATGCTCCAAGGTACCACTGTATTGTCAAAAAATCCTAGAATTATAGTTGTTAGCTTTCTTTGTTAATAATCTGGAATTTGGTGGTATCTTCTTAAATATTTATGTACTTCATGACGATTGAAAAATGGATTTGATTCAATGTTTAAGTGTAAACCAATGTTTACAATCAAACTAATGGCTGTTTGTGGGATATTGCTGTGTGCAAATTGACTGCCGTGTTCACCCACAAACGTACACTTTACAGTAATTCTGTGAAGCACTTTTAAAATCTTTGGATAATATGATAAAGGGTTATATCAAATGCATAGATTATTGTGTGAATTATTTGAAAACTTACCAAGGAAATTTGCTATGATTTATGTACTTGTCAGTTTTCTTTTTAATAAAGCTAATGTTCTGTTATAAAATACATTTATATTAAGAAAGAGGATTAGAAAATAGGCGATGATAGAAAAAGACTTCTGAACTTTTGAATTCATTTTAAATTGGTGAGGCTGGAGATGCCCTTTCAGAACTGTACAGATCCTCCCATTTGCTCTTGGGAATAGTGTAAAAGATTTGAAGGCAGGAACATTATATTAAAGACTATTCAGCATTTCATTAGACATTCTCGGAATAGTCATTTTTTACCCTCATTGCAGTGTTCACAGTGTATAAGATTACACTATAATAGGCAAAGCAGCATGTAGTGTTGGGCGCACTGGGAATTGTGGCCTAATTTAAAGACTGGATGATGTCATTATGTCTTTTTTTCTCTTCAATTATCTGCATGACTGCTATGCTGATGCAGGTGTTTTTGCATTATGCCGATACTAAATTCTACAGAAATATGATAGCTGGATTTCAACAATTAATTGCTGACATGTCAAGTGGAAATATGACATTTAAGCATTTTAGCTGCAATGCTATGATTGAAGGTGTAAATTTAACTGGAAGGTAGAGAATAATGTAGCCCACTACACTGAAAATTTTGATGATGCATAAATTTCTGAAGCGATATGGTAATTTGCAGTTGGTCATGGGTTCCTATATATTACATTTAAAATGATTTCATTATCAAGGCAATACCAGCAGATAGAAAATCAAACGCAAAATACTGCAGATGTTGGAAATCTGAAACAAAAACAGAAGTCGCTGGGAACACTCAGCAGGTCAGGCAGCATTAATGGAGAAAGGAAAGTGAGTCAACATTTCGGGTCCACGACCCTTTGTCAGTTCTGAATGGGTCAATGGGGGAAAGTCGGCCAAGATATCTGATCTTGGGAAAGATGTACACGTGCACTCCTTGTGTATAATGTGAGACAAAATAAAACTAGTTCACTCTCAATGCTTGCATTTCTCTATTATGGAGACGTGCTTCTTCCTGATGTAGCAGTCGTGACACAAGTGATATTACCGACTGAGAGGATGTCCTCGAGATTGGGCTCCATTGAGTTGAACAGAAGATGGCAGATCTGCCCGACCCTGAAAAAGGCTAATAGCCACTAACATTTCTGCCTACTTGTTGGTTCTTGACCAGGCAACTGCAGATCAGCTTGCAGGCTATTTACATGTCGCTGCCTGTGTCTAAGGCAATGGAGTCGCTCCTGGACAAATGTGGATCCTTTGCTGTCATTGCTTTGTTGGACCAGCCTAGGGGCAGAAGAGGCAAATTGCAGCAAATTTGCAAAGGAGAAAATTCTTTGCTGCAAACAAATTTAAAATTTTGTAGCTGGGCAGTACATCTGATGTAGCAGGGTGAGGGGGGACCAAACAGAAAATGTTTCCAATCCTCTTCAATTCCTTTTGAGATGAAACGTAAGGTTATTCTGAATAGTGCATGCTCAGGGGATGATTATTTCAGTGAGTTGTCTCTGAAAAGAACTACTTGAGTTGATGTGTGTGGATTTTTAGCACATGGTTTTTGTTATGTAGCATATTTGGTGTTCCAATGCTTACCATGGCATTATTTGTAAAACAAAATTGCACAAGTGGTCAAAGTAACTTTTGTGACAGACAAAAATAGAATGTGTATAGTTGTACAGTAGTCTAAATTGTTGAGAGGTTTTAGATGTGGGCTATTGGGTAAATTATTTGATATTTTAGAGAAAACTCCTTGTTTTGCAACCAGTTAACAATATTTTGATGTGAGCAAATTCTCACAAGGAGCTTTCAAGCGTTACTGAGCTTCAAAGCTAAGCACTGTTCTAACTGGGGATTGCAATCCCTGGATTTCGGGAGCACCGTTATTATATGTGATGCCAGGATTCCCATATGGTAACTGTGCTTCTGAATTGCAATCCCTAGTTCTAACCTTGAATATTTTAATGCACCTCTTTGTAGTGTATTATTGTACAGCTGGGCAGACATGCATCTTTCTATGCACCAAATCATTCCTTTATATTGCCATCGAAATGAAAGATGTTTCTCGGAGTAAATAAAAGGAATGTGCTTTAGCTAATAAGTATTCGAGGTGAGTAAACAGCTCCGATCAACTGAGCACTTTTAAATTATGTTTATTTGGTGTTTTATTGCTGTTTTGAGTTACATCAATAACCATATACACTGGTATCAGTGGGAGGTTTTACAGCAGACGGCACTACCTTTTAATGGTTGTATTGAGTACTATGTGGCACTGTTTTGCTGATTTTGAGAAGAGTCAGAAAATCCCCACAGTCCAACTTACCAGAAGGATAAGAAAGGTTGAGTCCTGTAATTTTTCTGCGAGGAACTGCCTGTCACTGTAATGGCAAGATGGTTTGTATTATAGCGAGAATTGATAAAATGGCCTAGGACTGATTCATTTGACCTATTATGATCTTAGATATTTATGTTTTTTTTATATTGTTTAAAACTAATCATATCAAAAGATTCTACAGCTCTAAGTCAATGTAAAGCAAAAGGGAGCATCTGTAGCATCTGCACCCTTCTATTTCTTTCAATTTATTACAGAGTTATTAAAATAACTTTTAATACTTCACGGCGGATGCGAATCAGTTATTGGTATAAGAATGCCCTAAAATAAATCTTCAAATTATTATATTTGTAGTTTAAAGAAGCACCATATCTCATTATTTCATTTTATCACATCATATGCTAATGCTGTGTACTTTACACTTTTTTCCCTAAACTTGAATGTAATAGAATTAATAGCCTTCAGCTCCCCTCTCGACTCTCTACCCCCTCCTCGCTCCCTCCCTTCCCTCCCCTCACCCTGACCATTTCCCCCCTGCTCAGGTCCCGACCCAACTGTACAGCGCCATGGGACGTCCTCCCAACGTGAAAGGCGCTCTATAAATGCAATCTTGTTGTTGTTGTTCTATACGTCTCAAAGCACTTCACAGAATATACTGTAAAGTGAATTGACTGTATATTTGTGGGTGAAATGCGGCAACCAATTGCGCACAGCAGTGTCCCCCACAAACAATCGTGGATTGAAGTGACCAATTTATTATTGGGGTTTTTTTTTCTTGAGGGATTATTATTCTGATACATTAGTCATACTGCACCTAATATTTATACACTATATAACGATGTTAATTTGTTTGAAAAATCTGGGAATACACACACACAAATACACACCCACACTCATAAAATGCAATCTTCAGCAAAACAAAAGGATCAATACTTTTGCAAAATTGTGCAACAATTTTATGGTTTTACAATAAAACCATACCTTAAATGGTATTGCCTGTCCTAACTGTGCTCACAATTATGACAATGTAAGTGTTTTATTGCAAACAGTTTTGAATGGCTCTTTGTTTCTGCCTACACATCTAGGTTTTCATATTACTTCTTAGGCCTGACTTATTATTCGTAATAAATTGCAAGTCTTTGTGATTTCCCTTTTGTTTTGCTTTCAAAGGTTGGAAGAGTATATCCTCAAGCTGTCTATTTCCCAATCAGGACACTCTATTTGACATTGAAAATTGAGCAACGAGAACGCTACAAAAGTGGTAAGGTTCATTGAGCTTTTTGTCTTTGTGATGTGTCCAGCAATGAATTTCTATCGACCTGGATGGAATTGATAGTGGTGGGAGGGGGGAATGGAGGTTATAAATCGTTCAGTATTTTATGTTAAGCAGGGTAGAATGTAAGCTCTTATAAGAATTCGGGAGAATTCCAGCAGAGTAGGTTTTGAAGTTAACTAATTCAGTTGAAGCACAAAATGTTTTGCCTTTATAAAATGAAAACTAAAAGAAGTACAGCTGTATAGAATGCGCCATTTTGAAATAAAATTAAGGAAATTAAGACCAAACCTTCAATGGTTTCTAATTGATGTAGAGATTATTCTGAGGGTTATCACATGGGGCAGTTGTTTTGTTTCATTGTTATTCAAATTTGCGATGTTTTACTGTGCTGCCTGAAGAACTAATCGCTTTTTTAGAATCTTTGCTCTCTTCCTCCCATTAAGTAGTATTGTATGTATAATTATATCTACTCTGGAAAGATTAACTTATTAAATGACAATGGCTTTGTGCATGCTGGCCTGCAAATATGGGAGGGAAATGGAATAAATTCTTTGTATAGACAGCAGTGCCCTTTATTATTTCAGATGTATTACATTTATTCGGAACAAAGCTTTGAGAGTAAGGCTCTTGACTAATGGAGAATTTAGGTTATTAAATCAAAGAGAAAGCTTTACAGATAAGATGTCTGTCCTAGAATCACTTATATGTTTTGAATGTGAAAGTTGCTGGTTTGTATCTTGGTTCTTTGAGGTCTTGTACAGCATTCCTCAGGGCTCTGTCCTTGGTCCCCTCCTCTTCAATATCTATATGCTTCCTCTCTGTCACATCATCTGCAGACATGGGTTCAACTTCCATATGTATGCGGATGACACCCAACTCTACCTCTCTGCCTCCACTGTTGACTCCAGGACCACTGCTGTCCTGACAGAATGTCTGTCACACATCAAGTCCTGGATGAGAGCTAACTTTCTTCAGTTGAACCTCAACAAGACTGAGGCTCTCCTGATTGGCTCCCGTCAGCGCCTCCTCACCTCAGGCGCTGACAGCATCACCATTCATGGTTGCACACTCCACCTTGTTAAGCAAGTCCGGAACCTTGGGATCTTATTTGACCCTCAACTATCTTTTCTATCCCACATCTGCGCCATGACCCGCTCTGCCTTCTCCCACCTCCGCAACATCGCCCGGCTCCGACACTGTCTCACACCACAAACCGCCGAAACCCTCATACACGCCATCATTACATCGAAGCCTGACTATGCAAACTCACTGCTTGTCGGCCTCCCCAACTCCTCACTCCACAGGCTGCAGATCATCCAGAACTCTGCAGCCCATGTCCTCCCGCACTAGGCTCCATGACCCTATCACCCCCATCCTTGCCCAACTGCATTGGGTTGCCATCACACAGAGGATACAGTTCAAGATCCTGGTCCTCACCTTCAAAGCCCTCCGTGGTCTTGCTACCCCCTATCTCTGAGACCTCCTGACCCCCTACCACCCTGTTCACTCCCTCTGCTCAGTGGGCTCTGGCCTGCTTCACGTCCCCCGCCTCGCTCACTCCACTATTGGTGGGCGGGCCTTCCGCCACCTTCGAGACCCACCTCAAGACCCTCCTCTAGATCTCCCTGCTTCCCCCCCACTGACTCCACCCTCCCCCACCCCAATCCGTAACTCTGTCCAGCGCCTTGGGACGTGAAAGGCGCTATACAAATGTAAATTTGTTGTTTGTTGTTTTGAGGTGAAAACACGAATCCAATTAAATGATGTGCACTCCAGTTCTTTTTGGCAGTTTGGTGGCTTTGAATATAGTCTTTAGGCTTTTTTTTATCCTTAAAACTTTAACTGTACGATGTGTGTATAGTGTTTACACTATAGACGTGACTTATTTTTGTATATTCTTACATGTTTCGATAAACATGTTTCGTAGTTTATAAGGCAAACACTTGTTAAGGTTTGGGTATTCAGAACTGCTAACGAGGAATGTACATTTGAAGGAAATAGTAAGGATTCATCTTCTATCTTTGTTTCAGACTCTGGCCAGCAGCAGCCAGGTTCAGTCGGTGCACAGTCACACTCTGCTTCAGATCCTGGGCCAATACGAGCCACGGCACCCATGTGGCGCTGCAGTCGAATAATGCACATGCAGCGGGAATTGCACCCAACGCTGCTCTCCTCCTTGGAAGGCATCGTAGATCAAATGGTGTGGTTCCGTGAAAACTGGCACGAAGAGGTTTGCTGGCTATTTCTTCTAATAAATAATACTTACATTTGGTATTGTACCTCTCATGTCTGGAGGACGTCCTAAAGGACAGCACTTCTAACAATGCAGTATGTCCCTACCACAGCATTGGAGTGTCATCTTAGACAATGTGGATTCCAAGTCCAGACATGGGACTTGAACCCACAACCTTCTTACTCAGAGGCGAGAGTGTTGGCACCTGAGCAGGCTGGTACACTGCAGAGAAAGTATGATTGCCTTGACGCAGAGAGAACATCTAGTACATTGATTTGTCTGAAGACATTTTGCATTGATTAGTATGTTCAATTACTTCTTTACCATAAACTTGCTTTACATAGGTTGAAGTATCTGTATCATGGTGCATTCTTTAAATTCAGGATAAAACTTTTTTGTTGCTTTGATGATTTAACTTAATAACTCCTCTTTTTCTTCTTTTTCTCTTTTACCTCCTCATCACGCCACATCAAAATCACTGCCCTAGCTACAGGTGAATGACTCCCTAATGTTTTGAAAAGCTTTAAAACTAGTCCACTTGGTAACTAATGATGCCTTTCCCAGATGCACTACATTTGTAGTCCTAGTACTGATCCTTTGCTGGATTTTCAAAAAGCATCTCTTCTTCCCTATTCTCAAATTTTGAATTTTCTTCCAGTATTTCAGTACATCTCAGATGCATTGTATCTAATAAGAAGTCAGAGCACATCCATGTCTGGCAGTCAGAAGTGTAAGAAACTTAAGCCTGCCGATATGCTGTGTGACTGGTTTGTTTTGAGAGAAATTGCATACAGTTCCCTTTTCCTTTATTTTCAATAGTTTTTTTAAAAAAAAGCTGTTTATATTTCTCTAGTCAAATCTCTCTTTGTTTCGGTATTTGGACTGTTCAGGCTGTCACATTTGTTGCTCTGAATTATGGATGAATGAAGTGATCCCAGTTTCTCGATTCCAGTTAAATCTCACCCTGAGGATGTTTGCTTAATTCAGAACTGTTGGGGGATTTATACAGGTAGTGCAAGTCAACAGTTACTTAACTTACGCATTCTTGGTACGAAAAAGCTATTGATTCAGGTGACCTATATAACCAACTATAATGTACTTTTTTTCTATGGGGGAATCAAACTGTTTCAAATAACTAGAAAAAAATAATGTATTTATTGAAATGCCCATACCAGAATTGCAGAGGAGGAAAGTATTCCAAAGACCTATTAAAAACCCTATTAGTTTCCGTTACTTGTGTCCTTCAAACTAAGGCAACAATTTGCTGAATGCCCTTCCTCTCAAGTTATCTTACCCCATCTCTTCCTTAGGCGTAAGCTTTTTAATCCCCTTTAGATTGCAACAAATACGATTTGAGTGAAGTGTTTGTTATAATCTAATTTGGATTAAAATCATAACCGTGAAAAGAGTGGAACTTGCTGAGCTCCATGACCTAGATATAGAACAAGCAGGAAAAGGTCCACATGCCCATTTCTAAGATAATTTTCCTCCAATTATATATACCAACTATCCAACACTTGTCTTGCTGGCCATCCACTGCCCTTCCAGATTAGGTGAAAAACAGGGAGAGCCAAAATAAAATAAATCACCAAGGAAGGGACGCATGCAGTCTCAGAAATTCCTTCCCAAATCACAAAGAGCATACCAGTAGAGGACTGTCGTAGGAGGCTGCTCCAATTGGAACTACGTTGAGTGCTCAACCCCCGAGTGGAGGGTGTGGTGCTTATAGCTGTAGAACTGGAAAGGAATAGTCAGAACTCTTCCCAGCGTGCAATTAGTTAAAGAGCTGTATTCCTTCAATGTAACAGGACTTTAAGAAAAAACATGTTTTTAAACTGTTTGGCTTCATTTCAGCCAGGCAAAACTGCTTATGAAAGTGGTGTTTTTAAAATGCTGATCAACTCTGTTTTTGGAAATGTGGTTTCAACTGAACACACAAAGTTTTAGTCTGCAGCATAAGTTCTGCCTAATAGTTCAATTAGTAAAGGCCTGATTCAGTGTTGCCTTGACTGGTTTGCACAGGCTGTAGAATATAAATAAAACATGACATTAGATCTACTTCAGAAATAAATCTGGTTATAAAATTTTGCTCAAAAACCTATAGGAAAAACGGTTGCTCTTTGAATTCTCTCGTAATATCTAAATTCTTCTCAACATTTAGGTGCTGAGACAGCTGCAACAAGGTTTGGCAAAGTGTTATTCTGTGGCCTTTGAGAAGAGCGGGGCAGTCTCTGATGCTAAAATCACTCCTCACACGTTAAACTTTGTAAAGAAGCTCGTGAGCACTTTTGGAGTCGGCCTTGAAAATGTCTCCAACGTATCAACCATGTTTTCGAGTGCAGCCTCTGAGTCTCTGGCAAGGAGAGCTCAGGCCACAGCCCAAGACCCAGTCTTTCAGAAGCTCAAGGGCCAGTTTACAACAGGTGAGGATAATATTTATATTCACAACATGCCTGGGCAGGCATCATTTTGAAATATTTTGCAGAGTTTCACATTGGGTCCAGTGTTTTTTTTCTGTTTTGAAAAAGCAATATAAGCCAACATTTCCACTTTGCAAATATGGTGCTTTCATGTTATCGATCTTGAGTAAAGTAATCATGGTTGTAAGTGTAAAACAAATATTTTTGAAAAGATTGCATCGAACTAAATGAAAGGCAATTGGTAAAGTTCCTAAGGTTCCCAAAGCAATGGCTTTGCAAAGTTCACCAGGAACTATGCCAAAAAGAAAGGGCAGTGCATCTTTTTTTAAAAAAAATATGCTTTCTTGTTCCAGTGGTTCAGCTGGTATGAAATTAAGCTGTACAAATCAAGAAAATCCAAGGTTCAATTTCCCTTTCCTATGTTTAGGATTTTAACTGGGGCACTAAATCAATGTCACTGAGGTAATGAGGGAAAATTCAACAGCATACCCACTAATCATTTCTTTCCAATGACCCCTTGGAAAATGCACATGTGTGGACGTCAGGTTAGAACAGTATTGGGTTATACTGTGATGACCCCTGTCGTGCAATAGTCTTCCTACATTTATTGGTTGAAACAGAATGGACACTTAGTTGATGTACTGGAGAGCTGGGGTTGCCAGTGAAATTGTACCGAAAGTATCAGTCAATTTCTTTAAATAAAAGTAATGAGTCAGATAACAATTTTACATTTTATGGGTGGAATTACACCATATATCATACATTAGGAAGTAATTCAAATGAGAAGATCTCAGTGTAAATGAATGACAATATTAGGAGCTCTGCGTGTTTGTTGGGTGTTAGAAAAAAGTTAACCTCAATTTCAGGTACATGCACAATTGAGCACTTGAAATCTTATTGCGCAGATTGAAGTTATTCCTCAGCAATGCTTTGGTCTGCGGTGATCTTTTTTGTGTGATCTTGCCACCACATTTATACTGCAACAGTGTGAATGCTAGCCTCGACAGCTTGCAGAGAATTGCTATTAGTGTATAAAGACGGCATTAATCACCTTTTACTCTCTGCACAATGCTCATTTTGGTGTCACCTCTGTGGCTTGAGTATTCTTTGATGGATTTGCAGCAATTTCTCGAGGTAGACAGGCAGACTGTTGCCTTGAGCAACTGCTCTAGTTTGAAAAGGAGTGTAACCTTGTGCTTTCCACATTCAGAAAATTTAAACCAATAAGCCAAAAGATGCATACTTTCTTTCTCTTTTTGGTCTATGAAAAGCTAGCTGATTATTAAAGATCACAAGATCATTTGGGATAAACTGCAACGACAAAATTACATTTGTATAGCATCTTTTACGTCGGGAGGACGTCACAAGGGGCTGGACAATCAGCGTTTCAATCGCAAGCTGGGGGTCGGAATCAGGGAGGGTGGGGGACAGGGGGAAAGGAGAGTGACCGATGGCACAGTTGAAGAGGAGGGTTTTAAGACGGGTCTTGAAGGAGGCAAGGGAGGGGGCGAGGTGGGGGGACTGTGGGATGAAGTCCCAGTGGGTGGCTGAAGGCCTGTCGGCCAGTAGTGGGATGGGTGAGGCGAGGGACATGAAGCAGGCTGGAGCCCGCTGAGCGGAGGGAGTGGACAAGTTGGTAGGGGGTTAGGAGGTTGCAGAGGTAGGGATGAGCAAAGCCATGAAGGGCTCTGAAGGTGAGGACCAGGATCTTGAACTGTATCCTCTGTTGGATTGGAAGCCAGTGGAATCAGATGAGAGTTGGAGGGGGGGATGATAGGGTAGCGGACCCTGATGCGGGAGAGGACATGGGCTGCAGAGTTCTGGATGATCTGCAGCCTATGAAGGGAGGAGTTGGGGAGGCCGACAAGCAGGGAGTTTGCATAGTCAAGCCTGGATGTTACAAATGCATGTATGAGGATCTCGGCGGCCTGCGGTGTGAGAGAGTGGTGGAGCCGAGCAATGTTGCGGAGGTGGGATAGGATGCCAAGGTTCCGTATTTGCTCAGTGAGATGTAGAGTGCATCCATGGAAGGAGATGCTGTCAGTGTCTGAGGTATGGAAGCGCTAACGGGAGCCAAGCAGGAGGGCCTGGTTCTTGTTGACATTCAGCTGCATGAAATCAGCTTTTATCGAGGACTTGATGAGACAAGCAGGCAGTCTGTGAGGACAGCAGTGGTCCTGGAATCGAGGGTGGAGGCAGAGAGGTACAATTGGGTGTCATCCGCACACACGTGGAAGTTGACTGCGGATGATGTCACCAAGGGAGGACATATAGATATTGAAAAGTAGAGAGCAAGGACAACCCTGAGGGACGCCACACGTGATGGTGCGGTGGCTGGAGGAGAAGCCATTAGTGGGAGAGGTAAGATTCGAACCAGGCAAGGGCAGGCGCGCGAAGATTGAGCTGAGAGGAGAGGCAGTGTAGGAGGATAGAGTGGTCGACAGCGTCAAAGGCAGCTGAGAGGTCGAGGACGACGAGGAGGCAGAGAGAGCCGTGGATGCAGATGTTCAGAATGTCGTTAATGACTTTGACCAGGACTGTTTCTGTGCTGTGGGCAGCACGAAACCTGGTTGGAGAGGTTCAGAGAGGGAATGACGGGAGAGGAAAGAGCAAAGCTGGGATGTGACAACTCGTTCCAGGGCCTTGGAGAAGAATGGTATGTTGGAGATGGGGTGATAGCTGGAGAGTAGAGATGGGTCCAGGGGAAAAAATTTTTGAGGGTGGGGGTGATGACAGCTGTTTTTAGGGTGTGGAAACAGTGCCAGAAGAACGCTGTTTGCCTTTAAATATACTTAATCCTATGAAGAGCTTTGGGACATCCTTCTGGAGTGAAAGGCATTGTATCAAATTCAAAGGATTGTTATTTCCAGAACACTAGCCGTGCCATCTTCTCCGTTTCTTAACTTCATCCATTGTCCTAGCCTCAGCTATCTTTCCTGGTCGCTTGCTGAGCTGTTGATTACCCTCTTTTGGAAGAAATTGTTCCTAGTGCCTTTCCTAAAATTTTCTCGAGGATATCTCATCTCTCCTCTCAGCCGTGTTTCTCTGCACAAAACGCCTGCTCATAATGGGCAATTTCAACCTTCCATCTCAATTCCCCCACCCCATCTCCTCTGACTTGGCGCTCTTCTCTCCATCCTAAACCTCCTCCACGCCCCCTCCCAAGCACGCTTGATCCTCACTTCAGATGCCATGTGCAAATAGGTCCTGGACTTTATCTCCAAGATACGTAACTTCTGTCTGGCTGCCTTCTCCTCCTCCCCCAATCACCCCGCTCCTCCCCCCATCACCTACCACTCCCCACTCCACCACCCACTGCCTCCGCTCGGCTGGCTCTGGCCTCCTGTTTGACTCTTGTCCCCTCCGCTCCACCATCGGTGGCCATGCCTTTAGCCACTATGCCCCGCCACTCTGGAATTCTCTCCCTCAATCCCTCCACTTTGCTCCCTCCCTCCCCACTTTCAAATCCCACCTAAAGATCTTCCTTTTTGATGGTGCTTACAGGTCACCTCCTTCTTCTCCCTGGCGCCTATGTCATTTTGAATACAGCAATATGTCTTTATGGGTTAACAGTCTACAGCTGAGCCAACAATTCAAATAGCAGTTGAATCTATCTTGTATTATGAATTGAGAGCAATCATTCAAATCTGAGGTTTATTTTCATCTGGAGGAACACGGCACAAAATAAACCACTACAAATTGGGTGGAGAAAAACTCAGTTAAAGTGCATTTTTTAATATATATATGTGTATATTTAAAAAAGAACTTTGCTTAGCTATAAATATTGGTTAAAGTTCATGTTATATAATCACTTAATGCCCAAATCTGGATGATTCATCATCACACAGTAATAGCTGTTGGAATATGGGCATTTACATTGAGGGCACTGCAAAATAAAGAATCTGATTGTATTCTTTTGAAAGTAGCTTGGAGTTATAAATGTGACCTACATAGCTGTGCACATCTATTTGGCATGATGTAGTCTCTGAGGCACAACAGTTGCATGACAGTAAATAATGGGAGTTCTGAACCATGTGATTAAATTTAATGGACAATGGTCACCATGCAAAGAAAATAACAGGGAAAGTAGTTTGCTTCTCAGCAATTGGTCAGAAATTAGAGGGGAATCACAATAAAGATAATGTTGTTCTATTTTTTAACTTGGTTTGGGGAAGCTTTAATATTTTTAAAAATGGTTTATCTTGCACAGTAATGCTCGGGAGAGTCTCTGTTCAGTTTAGATTGCTTCAGTTCAGGTTTGTGCTTAGAACTCAGTTTTGTTGCTGTCTCTCGTGTATGCTCATGTTTCAGGTGGGACTGTTTAAAGGGAAGTATTTTTACCCTAAATATGAGTGAAAAGGAGTTGTTCAAAAGCTGTTACATTTCAGAGGCGAAGATGCAAAATCTCAAAGAGCTTAATAACATTTACAAATGAAAGCAGAACAGTTTATATTGATAATATCCAAGACTTGCAAAGCTAGCACCCTGTTCACATCTTAAACATTGATTTTTTTTCACCAGACAACATGGTATTTATTATTCTCGTAAATGTTTCTTAAAACTCCATTGCAGAGTTTTAACACTGATATTATTGGCTTTGCAATTTCTAAACATATCATTTATAAGTTTGTTATGATAGTAAAATAGTAATTTCTCATCCACGTCTGATTGCAATACAGTATTATTTAGGTTTTATTACTAGCTACGTATAATAAGCAGCAGAATGGATGGGGGTCTTGATCAAGTGAATATTCATTCTTTCTAAAGTAAAGGAGGAAAGGCAATTATTAGAAACCATATTCTTCAACTTGAATTGTATATATTTCTAAAACGTATTCTCTAAATCGAATAATCTGTAAATCGAATATTTCCAAACCACTGTATAACATGTTTAGCTAAGACACTGGAAAATGGTGCTTCCTCAGCCTAACTGAGTTGCAGCTGTGAGAAGCCTGGGAGACAAATAGCTTTTCAACCCCACATATAAAACATAAATTCACCACCTCATCAAGATTTAGACACTGCAACTTTGGCACATACCAAAACAGTATCCATTGGAAAACTCATGCAGCCAATCACTTCTGACACCAAGGCGTCAATAATTCAACGCTGTGAAGGCCAATGACATTGAAAGATGTCATTCTATTTACAATATTCCAATCAAGTCTGATGTCAGCAGTAAGGCCAGTTATCGTATGCTCATGAGTTAAAGGAGCAGTCATCATTTATCTTCTAAATTATCTGCTACATGTTTAGTGCTTTCAGTGTGAATTAAATGATGTACTGCCTTTAATTTAAAAACAAAAGGTCATTCGGAATGAACATTGAGGCTGAGAAACTTTTAAGAGGCAGCCAGTATATTTCAGTGTGTTGCAGTAGACTAGGCTTCATGTTTAACCTTGATCATACATGTTAGCTGAGATTTTTTGATGAAGTGATTGAAGACAAGAATGAGTATGTGACTAAAAGAGCGTGCAGTATAGAAAAGCTGAAATTTAAAGCAATATTGCATGCTAAATAAATTATTACAACATTTAATATATATGTTGCAGAATAATTTGCACTGGTTCTGAGAAAAAGAAATTTCTAGACTACTTAAAATGACAAACCTCATGCTCAAATACAGAATATTTTGTAGGAATGCCACGAGAAAGATGGTACGCTCTTCAATCTTGAAATGCTTTCAGCTAGTTAAGCGTTTACAAATGAGGGATGCAAAGATTCTTGTTTTTTAGATTCATTTTGGTGCATCTGTTTGTTACAACTGAATGCTAGCTATCAACACAGCTTTCAGCGATGTTAATGTGCCAATAAGTTATGATAACAATACTTGGGAAATAATGCTTTCCCCATTCCCATCCGAAAACATCCTTTTTTTAAAAAAAGGCTAAACTGCAGCTATTTTAGTGAACAAGTACTGTATCTGTAATTTGTAAAGTATCTTTATATCATTCTCCTATGTGAAAGACATAATATAAGTGCAAATTGTTGTGCTGTGTTTTGAATGGTTTCTTTAGGTTGTGAATCACAAGTGAGGACAGTTCATTAGTATGGTCAAAATTCCTCTATTTGTGGACCTTATTTGTGAATCTCCACTGTAAGAAGATGAAGGGCCGAAGGCCATAAGACATGACAGTACAATACTCTGGTTGATAAGAGTAGGATTTGGAGTGTGGGGTCGGAGAGCGACAGAACAGTGAGCTGCCAGATTGGTACATAGTGTTATAGATCAGAGTGTAACTTGTGTGTTGTCTAAAAATGTCAGTCAGACCCAGCTAAACACATTTGCACATTTTTAGGGATTGTTTTGAGCATATTAATTGATAAATGTAGTTACGAAAGCCGTTTATGGTTCAGTGTGTTTACAGGACTACAACAAATTTAATCTCAATAATTGAGATTTGTGAAGAACGGTTCTCCCCTAAATCCTGTTCAAGCATTAAACCAGGGAATAATTGTATTTTATGAGATATAATGTATTTACATATTTGATATTACCCTGACTAATTAGAAATAAGATGGTTGTTTTAAATCTCCTTTGTTAACACAATATCTCATCACTGCATCACCCTGTAGTCCACATGGGATTCAAGACTCCATTTCGAGATAACTGCATAGAAGAAATGGATATGTACAAAACTAAATAGTTCATGAAGATATCAGCTATCTAGTGAATTCGTCTAATGTTTGTTTCAACACCAATTTTTGGAATTGTTTTATTGATGGTGGGAAAAAAATCAGGCAGAATTACTCTTCAGATTTCACTAAATGTATCTGTAGATTCTGCACACACACTCGGCACTGATTTATCCAGTGAAATGTCATATAAATCGAATTACCCAGCAGTTCAGGGTATCAGCTGGAAAGCTTTATAAAGTCAGTTTTTCTAATCCAGTATCATTAACAAGTCTGTTTTTCCTCCTCAATTTTACAGTTACTATTTCTGATATTTCTGTATTTTGACTGACACGCTAACAGAGAATGTGGCCTTTAAGCAGTTAGGCATAAAGATTCCTCCCTGTCAAAGCAGAGAAACTCATCTACAGGTTTAAAAAAACCTTTTCCTCAGCACTTTTCACTTTGACTGAAGGCTGCAGTATAATGGCTTTCAGTTTACAATCTAATACTCCCTGGAATATAGATTGAACAAAAGAACTGCAGCCTTATAATACAATTTGATAGAATGGGTCTTCTCCTGCATCTAGATAATGTTAATTGTTGTTGCTAATCTGTGCCAGTACTGGCAGTCAACTTGGCTGCTTGACACAAACAAAATCAGCTGCCCTCTGTTTGCAGTTTTTTGCGTCCTATCAGTTTCATGAATTGCAACTGAAGGAGACGTTGAGTTTAGTTATGATGAAGCAATTGAAGAGGCAAGCATACAAAAAGTAGGAGCAAATTGGAGTAAAAAGGCGTATTTCCATTGCAGTGTGTAGCTTGGAATCCCCAAATAAAATCCTGTGTCGTCTGCACTGGAATATGCTGCAGAATTATCACAGGTTTCCATCAATTTCCTTTGTTAGCAAAGGGGATTTAAAATCATCATTTCTTTTAATTCATATATCAAATGTATGTATAATTAAATCATGGTAAGAATAGATTTACCCATTTAATGTTCCTCACAAATTTAGCTACAATTTTAAATCCATTTCAGATGTGCTTGTTGAATTGTGAAACCCTAATGCCTGTGACAAACTTAGACCTTGTACTTAAGTATGTGAGTTATGGCATGTAGTGTGCATACAGTAGAAAACCTGTTAGCAATTATGGCCTGATCCCTTTGTGATTATGAAAATATTGCAGTTATCAGGCAATCTCCTAAAATAAACGGTAGTATTAAACTGCCATACCTATATGTTAAATGACTGATCTGTGTGCATCAAATAAAATTGGTCACTCACTTCATGGCTGTTTATTACAATACAAAATTACATTTATAAAGCGCTTTTCATGTCAGCAGGACCTCCCGCTGAAGAGTCAGGGATTAAGACCCGAGTGGGAGGGTGGGATCAGGGAAAATGGAGGGCAGACAGGGATAGGAGGGTGGCCGAAGGCACGGTCGAAGAGGAGGGTCTTGAGGCGTTCGTTGAAGGAGGCAAGGGAGGGAGTGAGGTGAAGGGAATGTGGAATGAAGTTCCAGAGGGTGGGGACAGAGCGTCTGAAAGCCTGACTGCTGAGGGTGGGGTGGCCGGGCGGGTGGAGCAGCTATTTTTATCGGCAAGCAAGCATAGTCACAAATGTGTTTATATGTAGATACATAAAAGAGTACTCTATTCAGTGTTAAATTGGGAAAACTAAATGTAGTCGTTGTAAATAACAACTTAATGACTGTTCATTGTTTGGATGATTAGATACCTACAGCCATAAAATGTCAACTGAGTGGTAAAATACAATTCTGAAGGTATAATATGGTTAGGGAGAAATCTACATAAGAACATACAAAATGTGTATAGAATAGCATGTCATTTAAAAATGCATTCTAGATAATGTGTATCTTCACGTAATGTGTATCATGTAATTTTATCATGCATTCCAGATAAACCCTCAACATCTATAATTTCCCCTTACCCATTTAGTCAAACTAATCTGTACTTTAATCCAACTTTGCGTGTCTGTTTTAACTCTTGATATGGAAGTACTTTGTGATTTGCAAGCCATTATGGCTGCAGTGAAAAGAATAGATATCTATCGGAGTAAACGTTCTTGAGTCCACTGTTTGTCTTTTTAAAAAAGCAAAATTCCAGTCATTGGAAATGAAGCTGTGATCTTATAGCAAAAAAGATTGTGATGAGAAAGAGAAACTAACAGCTGGTATTCAAGATTTTTTGAGTGGGGAGAAAGAGGCTGGTGGTGAAGATCAATGTGAGAGAAGAAAAGATGATGGTGGGGTTGATAAGATTGTTAGTGATAACATCAAGAAAAGAACTAGACTGAAATTGATTTGAGCGAGGGAAACAAAGGAAAGTAATTTTAAACTGGAATGTCAGAGCCATCCAAAGTATGGGTCATGACTGAGTGATTTGTAAGATTGCCATTCATCCTGCTGCCTGAACAGAAACTGATAGAAAATGTAGATTCTATTAGGTAAAGAAAATAAGTATGTTATTACAGTAAGTTAAAAGTAGATTTTTGCAAAACACTGTTTTGATAACAAATTTTTAAAGACTTGCTTTTCGAACATAGTTTATTTAGTCTGATAATATTTTTTAAACACTTGATGTAAAAAAGATACTATATCTAACATTATTTTGTCACAGATTTTGACTTCAGTGTGCCAGGCTCCATGAAACTTCACAATCTCATATCCAAGTTAAAAAAATGGATAAAAATTCTGGAGGCTAAGACCAAGCAGTTGCCTAAATTTTTCCTGATTGAGGAAAAGTGTCGATTTTTGAGTAACTTCTCTGCGCAGACTGCCGACGTAGAGATCCCAGGAGAGTTCCTGATGCCCAAGCCGACACATTATTATATTAAGATTGCACGGTTAGTAGATCTTTAATTCCATGTTTTGTTTCTACTCCAGTAAAACCGATGGTAAATATAATTTTTCAGTGTGTTGTATGCCTTCTTCACTTTAGAATTATGTTATTTGTCAGATTTTATGACGCACTCCTGGTAGCACAACAATGCCCAATTGTTTTGGGCAGTTACCTGCATATTTGTCACAAATCACGGTCTAAAGCTTTCAGCCATCATGAGCGTTCATCTGAATGTTTGTGTTCTGTCCATCAGATTTATGCCTAGAGTGGAGATTGTGCAGAAGCACAACACAGCAGCTCGAAGACTTTACATTCGGGGCCACAATGGCAAGATCTACCCCTACCTGGTGATGAACGATGCCTGTCTAACAGAGTCTAGGCGCGAAGAACGTGTTTTACAACTGCTGAGGCTTCTGAATCCCTGCCTGGAGAAAAGAAAGGAAACCACAAAGAGGCACTTGTTCTTCACAGGTAGCATCTTCTCGACTGCAGTACTTTTTTTTGTCTAGCTCAAACTTCAAATTTAGTTTTTGGCCGCAAACCTTGGCCGCATTTTTTTTGAGAACTTGGATAAAGGACATCAACAACAACAACAACAAGATTCCATTTATAGAGCGCCTTTCACGTCGGGAGGACGTCCCAAGGCTCTGATAGCAAGAGACAATGGCTCGTAGCAAGAGATTCACCAAATTTGAAAAGAAGGGAGATATCAATGAAAGATTATGTTTTATGGGCTTATTGATTGTTTTAGGGAAGGCTGAATGTAGTGCTTAAAGAATCTCCACAGGTTTTGCAGCAGTAGTCAACGTTTTTGATGTGTGGGTGAGTTAAGATTTGTTGAGGGAATTTGATACTCAGAGATGTGAGGAATCTGTTAGAGAACAGAGGAGATATTGAGGCCAAGAATTCTGATAGACGCAGCAGACTTGAGAATGGAATAGTCAAGGCTAAGAACTGTTTATATGTTGGTTAGATGTGGGAGAGATGTGTGAATAAAATGTCATTTGAAGAATTGAAACAAATGAGATTTTCTTTGCCTCAGCGAAGGGCATGAGGTAGATCAACATACAATGATTGTGTACACTGACTGTTTATGATCTGAAGCAAATTGATGTATGGAGTGGAATCATCAGCAAAAGAATGAATTGAATGAATAGTGGGGGAGGTCATTGGTATGGAGAAGTAGCAAAATAAGGAAGAATTCTGGGGACCTTTCGACTTCTGATGGAGAAGCAGTCAAGGGATCATTTATGAACTATGGTACTTACACACAAACAGGCATTTTTTTACAAATTAGCAGAACATTCAGAATTTCACAAACAAAATGATGCTTTTATTTACATGACCTACGTGATTATCTTTTTTAGTTAGCCACACCAAACAATGCTGTGATTATTAAACAATGGCTATTATAAAGAACCCGCCCATATCAATATTGAGATGATTATGTGGTGAAAACTAAGTGCATGGTGATAGGTTATTGCGGAAATTCAATACACAGGAAGAATATTTTTTATGTGTATTTTATTGAATATTTGGAATACTATGTTGACAAGAATTGACTTTTACTCTGTACTTTTGAGATATGTTTTTATCTTTGGGAACAAATAGAGCCCAGACTGACAGGATCAAAGGCTTTCCTATTTTGTGATATTATGTGCAATATGTCCAGGCAGTTTCAACCTAGTTCTTTATGAAAACTGAACCATAACACAAAACTGCTAGCAGAATTGTACTAAACAGTCTGAGTCTACATAAGGATGACTGTTGTGGGAGAAGGGAATATTTTGAAAAGGGGCCAAGGGGTATGATTAGGAAGAGAAAAGAAAGCTTTACTATCCATCTAATAATGCAAAAACTGAATTCCCATGGTGACAATACTGTTTCCCTCCACTGATATCCTTCACTTTGCTCACTAGAGAATATTAATGTTATAAAGTCTAGTTTTTGCCAAAAAATATACTTTAAACTATTTTTTAATAATTTAACGGTGGAATGTTTAACTATTGATATTGGCCCCATGTTACATGGATCTTGTTGCTGATGAATGTTGTGATGTTTTGGGGTTTTTCTTACAGTACCACGTGTTGTGGCAGTTTCTCCTCAAATGCGGTTGGTTGAAGACAATCCCTCTTCACTTTCTCTTGTGGAAATTTATAAGCAACGCTGTGCCAAAAAGGGAATTGAGCATGACAATCCAATATCTCGCTACTATGACCGGTTGGCTACTGTCCAAGCCAGAGGAACCCAAGCCAGCCATCAGGTACTAAACTCACAAGATATACTGTTTGGTATATAAATGATATGTTGGTTGCGTACAAAGTTTATATTGAACTTAAACATTTATTGTTCTGAATGGTGGAAATATTTTACTCAGAATTGTTAATTGTAATCAGAACCCAAGCAACTGGGAACTGCAATCTTATGTTTAAATGTCAATTCAGGGCATAGAATAAATGATTTCTGATATTGTGCAGGAAATGGTTTACCCGTTGTCAGAGAGGCTATTAAACAAATCAGCCAAAACCTATATCCCGATTTCACTTATCTTGGGAATACATGGTAGTCAGTTGTATCTGGTAATAATAATAATATTAATAATCATAATAGTTGTATTTGAAAGGAATCTGGATTTTATTTATTGTTTAGCATTTCTCATAAGTGATTAGAGCCAACAGTAATTGCTAGTCTAGAGAATTGCTTATTTCTAATGGGGAAACTGGAATCATATGAATCCTTTGATACATTTATCCAGAAATAAGCAATTTGGGTTATTAGAATACGTATCACTGTTATTCACTGGGACCAACTTATCAGGGAGTAGATTTTGCTCATTCGGTGACCACTTGAATTGTTCCTCAAACATTCAAGACTTGATGCTAACAGACTGGTTTTTGTACTGTCTCACCAACCAAAATTCTGATTGATTCGCACAATTCAGATATGTAGACATATGTAGACATTTTCAGAAACTTGATCTGTTGGTGTAAGTTTATATAGTTATCTCTGACATGCTCTTTAGGCATTTCTTCGGGAGTTTTAATTGCTCTGAGGAGACTTGCTTGATGAAGTCATGAAAGCGAGAGATTTAAGAGTGAGACATACGTGGGGAGTAAAAGTATTAAAAAAAATATGTTGGGGAGATGGAATAAAGGGTGATTGAAGTATATGAAATGGTCTATGGCACATATTGTGTTCATTGCATAATCCAATAATGAAAGCCAATTCAAATTGATAAATGGCATGCATATAAAAATCTGATCACGCCTAGATCATTTTGATGTATGCTTGTATTTTGCAGAGCTTTATATTCGTGCACAAGAGGCTAGTCGAATTAATAGGAAACTGAACTAAGGCTATCTGACAGATATGCCATTTATCCTGGTTTTAAGTTCGGCATATCAGTTGATCGAAGCTTCTCTGCCCATGAGACTGAACCAAAAATTGAAGGCTTTATTCTGATTATTTTTAAATGCCATGTCTCACTCGTCAAAGACAGATTATAGTTACCAAGTTACTTTGCTGTTTCGGTTCATAATGTATGTAGATATGAAATGGTCCTATGATTGTCATTATTATTGCCAAACATATTCAGTGGCACAAAGGTTATGTCATTGTGAAATTGGAAGGTGGTCGGATTCAGTGATTTCGTCGGTGCGGCATATCCTAAGCATGCTATCTTTTTTGACCTTTGTTTAACAGAATGTATTTGAAGGTGACCTTTTAAACTGGGATTGTTTTTCAAAATCCTGGTCAAAAATGTTCTAAGCAGACACACTCGCTCTTTCTCGTTCTCTCTGCTTGTCTCTTCCATTCACTCTTCCATCCTTTATCGCAATCTAGAATCTAGAAATACTGAAAAGTTTAATGTTTTGTGAGATTATAGATGGCAGATGTTAATACTCACTTATATAGTGAAGTCCTGTAGCTCAGTGGTTAGAGCACTCGCCTTGAAAGCGAGACGCCTGGGTTCAATTCCAGGCAGGGCAAAACCTTGGGCAAGTTTCCTTACTCCACACGCGTAATAATTAACCCTCCAAAACAATAATAAATTGGTCGTTTTGAATCCACGACTGTTTGTGGGACACTGCTGTGCGCAATTGGCTGCCATGTTTCGCCCACAAATATACAGTCAATTCACTTTATAGCATATTCTGTGAAGCGCTTTGAGACGTCTAGAAGACTTGAAAAGCGCTGTATCAAATGCAAGGGTTATTATTATTATATTATATTCAAAGTTATGTAAAATATTTGCTTGCATTCATTGCCTATACAATAGAACCTAGCTGAATTAAAATGTTCCAGCCAAGTGCATGTTCATTTGAATTCCCTCACAATATATGGCAGTATGCTGTTGCCTGAAGGTCTTCAATTATTTTCCTGAATTAGCTTTTCTCCTTTACAAAGATGGGCAAGACAACATTTGATTGTTTCACATCCATGCAGGATACTATAACTAAATTGTTCACAAACTCACAGTACGCTGACACATCTTCTGTGATGCACAGAATATGACCTATTCTGACTCCTTGTCTGTTGAAAGCCAAATCTCAATGCCAGTTCCAATTTGGATGAAATAATCCAAAGAGTAAAGGAATAAAAGTTCAACATGTGGGATTTATTTTATTGGTATGCAATCTTTAGTTTAGCATGTATACTCTCCCCAGTGCACAAGATGTTAATCCTTGATATTAAAATGATAAAAGGAGTGCCTTCTAAAATTGTAAACAAATATATAAACTGAGCAGCCCCCTCTCCCCCTCACCACCCTCCAGCGAAGATAAGAGTGTGTTCACATTAATGCCTTGAAACAGTGAAGTTCAGACAGAAATATGTTTTTTTCCTAATTCATAGCATGTAATGATTAATAGGTATTGTAACTCAAGTTCCCCAGTTACTTAAGTAAAGAATCATCAATTTTATATGTAAAGTTAATTTGTAATATCTTTGGAAACCATCTCAGAATAAATCTATTGGAAAAAACCCTTTATCTTGTACATAAAACCATATAAATGTATGCACAATAGGGGGTCATTTGGCTCATTTTTTCATGTCAGTGTTTGTTTCTCCATTAAATCATCCATCCTAATCCCAATTCCCTGCTCTCTCCTGATACCTGTTGTTTCATGTAATTATTTTATTTCCTTTCACTGTGACTTACTCATTCTTCCTTAGTCTGGAGATCTCCTTTTCTGATTAATATATTCATATTTAATTTTCTTATGCCATTTTTATAATTTAAATAATAATCCCTCTGCAACTTTCTGTGATCCAATTGCCCCAAACCATTCTCTCATGCAACAAACCTGCCTTCAGACTTATCAGTTTCAGCCACTTCCTCCTCCCATTTCGCCCCCTCTCCATGAGCTAGAGTTTGCAGTTAGCAGTGTGAAGCCCTTTAAGACATTCTTCTCATGTGAAATATAAACTTAAATTGTTGCTATTGTTTCAGGTTCTACGTGACATTCTGAAAGAAGTACAAGGCAACATGGTGCCACGGAGCATGCTGAAAGAATGGGCATTGCACACATTCCCCAATGCCACTGACTATTGGACATTTAGAAAAATGTTCACAATTCAGTTAGCATTAATTGGATTTGCTGAGTTTGTTCTCCATCTGAACCGCCTGAACCCAGAGATGCTTCAAATTGCGCAGGTATGGGTGGTGAAAGGGTGTATTTTTAATATCTTTCTCTTGTGTTATTTCAATGTTGGAAAATTAAATCAGTCTGTACTTGATATACTAGCATACTACCATGATCAAAGTTGGCAAGATTCATGTAAATATTGTGCCCGTCTGTCTGTCTGTTTGTATGTCTGTCTGTCTCTGAATTGCGATATCTTGGAATATTTACCTCAGAACCTGTGTTGTGCTTATGGGACCTTATGTGAGACCCTGATGAAACTGGTGCGACTAATGATGATCTCCCCGTTCTTGTATGTTTATAATTACAAGAAGGGAAAATCTGATCTTACTTTGGGATACAATCCCTGTATACCTTCATGCATGAGGTCAGTTTGTGCACATGCATCATTACTTAATTCTAAAAATAATCATACAGATTTGATTGCTGTACACTGAACTAAAAGCCTATCCACCACAACAAAATTTGTTTTTTTTTTAAAAAAATGAGATCCAAAGTCAACCGATCCACTTTGTCAGCCAACGTCAGTGCAAACTTGCTACCAGGTGTCTTCCTCACAAAGTCAGTGTTTGAAGCAACAGAGTCATGCAATTCAGTTTTATCAGATCTTATTCCACTTTACCACGCAGATTGGAAATTATAATGAATTTATTGACCAAATGTTCCAAAGCTTTATTGTAGCTCGTTTGATGCAAAGTAATATTGAAGTTTTGCAGCTTCTTGAGACATTATTTCAGATTGTTGATGTGGCTTCACGTGTCCCCCGAAGGTTCATGTCCACTAACTCTATTAGAGAAGTTACAGGAGAATATTGGGAGAGTAATTTGCATTGCCTCAGGTATCACATCATGAAGTGGATCACAGAAAATACCCCCTGATTGTCTTGTGTTGAGATTGTTCTCAGTAATACTGAATGCATTTACAATTCACTAAAATGCTCCTGAATAATTGCGGGAGAAGAAAGGAGCATCACTTGTGAGGTCGGTGCCTCTTTAAGTGAAACATATGTTGCCAGTGATGATGCATATCCTTTCAGCGTATAGCCTTTCACTTTATAATTTAAGATTTAACATTTTCCATCAGTATTTCGCCATTACAATGAATTGTAGAAAATAACTAAAAATATCTATTTGAATATAAAATACAGAACTAATTGGGTCACTAAGGATAAACTTATTTTCCTGTGTCAGACCAAATCAACTTACTGTAGTAAAAAGGAGGAGAGGTGAGAAAATTGGTGATGAGGAAAAAAATCTTAGCAAGAATGTTTATGTGGCATTCTTGATACTTTAATTTATTGGCTGGTATGTTCGATCCAGTTCACCCAAGGGACTTGTGCAACCTTTGTAGTCTGTCAAACTACATTTCTTAGCCGAATATTTGGAAAGCTCCTCTCCTGTCAAATCATTGGCTTGATTGACTAGAAGAAAATACAGTCTTAAGTCATCTGTTTGTGTTTTTTCTTTCCACGTACAATACCCAATACAAATTTGACATTCCCCTGAGTCATATTTGTTTATTCATGAGTTTTCTTTGTCTGACCTTGTGTTTAAGGATACTGGCAAGCTCAACGTAGCGTACTTCAGGTTTGATATCAACGATGCCACTGGGGATCTAGATGCCAACCGTCCTGTGCCATTCCGACTTACTCCAAACATCTCGGAGTTTCTAACCACTATTGGAGTATCCGGACCACTTACTGCATCAATGATAGCTGTTGCAAGATGTTTTGCCCAACCAAACTTCAAGGTAAGGTGTATGATAGGATCTCACCCCATCTATTGTGTGCATTGTTTCAGATATTCAGTATGACCAATCTTGTCAGTGGAAGAACTTTGTCTGGAGTTTTTCTGCCAAACAATAGATGGAGCTTTTGGCTTATGTTGCTCGAGTCCAGAGTTCAATCGGTTCCATTCCCTGAGCTAACATTGGAAAATGAGGAACTCTTGTTATGACTGCAAATATCATCTCTAAAGCTAAAATCAACAATCAAATGCTCAAACCATTCAAAACAATGTGGGAACTGAACTAGCACGATCTTTATCACGATTTCTGTCTCTATAAGCTTTTGTTGCCCACGTTGGTCTTCGCACCCACTGGTGGCCCCAGCAGTTTACCTTGCTGTTAAGTGCTGTTGGCTCTGGTAGACTGGATGCAGACCCACCTCAGCATTTGGTGATTACAAACCTCCATAAGCACCTTTGCTCACACTGCAGTACGGCTCCCGGTGTCAAAGCTGCCGGCAGTACTGAGGTAAACTAAAAAAGCTACTAAAAAATATTAATGGGGACTCTTTACCCACAATATCAGCTGAATCAAAAGAACGGATTCACAGTGTAGTTCATAAATGACTGAGGGCATTCATCAGAAAGTAAACCACTGAGTAATGTTACATGTTCCAAAACTGGTTTTAAAAAAATATCGAACCAATTTTGTGAAAATTGTGGTTCGTGCAGTTAATTTGACACATCTGTAGAGAAGTTTCATTTACAGATCCAGTCCCCATGATTAGACCTCCATAAAATAACCGAGCCAGTCTGCAGGACAGTTTAAGGATCTGGATTCCCTGCTAATTTATTTTCATCTTTTCCCAGCAGATAAAGAAGGTGTGTGATTGTTTTTAGCATACTGACAGCTTTAGTACTTTTAAGGTGAAGGCTTTTGCCTCCAAATTTGTTTTGGATTTTTTTATATAGAGTTATGGGCTTAGAATTGATACCTAAACTCGGCACAGGATTTCATATAAACTATAATTGGGGCATTGTCTTTCTCTAGATATTTTCAGAGGTTCTTGACACAGCTAAAAGCATTTCAGCTCACACAGGTCTGCTTATTTTTTCTAACCATAGAAATGGACGTTGTTGCCAGCTTGCAAAAATGCCTCAAAACATCATCCTGTAATCGAGCCTTGCCTTAGCTTGTAAAACCATTTTGCCATAAAATGTAAGATGGTGCAGAATTGTTAAAAAATAGTTTGTCTTAAATTTGAACCTGGTCCTTTTCAGAACAGCAGAAAACTGGCTTTCAAATTAAGACTGAATTTAGAATTTTCCACAATCCTGGGCCAGTTTAAATAAAGGCAAAATACACATATAGGTTAAAATTAGTGGGATTTTGGGGCCTTAGATGTGAAAGTTTAAACATGGACTTTTACTGCTGTTTAAACATATTACATTCTATATTTGCTTTGCTAATTCTATTTTACATCATTCTTCATTTCAGTATTTTGAATAGACAAAAGGAAAATAGGAATAAAAGTCAGTTCTCAAGTATTTTATGGTTATTTATCTTTTGTGATGAGTATTTTTGAGTTGAAGGGTTTTTTTTGGAAGTGAGAAATAGCTGTCATATGCTTTTATTTTTTTCCTCCCACTTTCACTGACATTGAATATACATTATAGTGGCAGAACACAAAGGCGGATTGTTTACTGAATACCAAATATTATTTTCTCCAAGGAACAGTTACTTTCAGCTTCAGTAACTGCTGTAAAATCATTGCCTAATCCCATTGTTCAAGGTGAGCTCAGCAGTAACTTGTGACACATGGACAGTGCTCGTGAATTCTTTAAGGCCCCATTCGCCCTGCATTTATAAACTTGCCCAAAACATTTCCCATTGAACCGCTAACTTTATTTGTAAGTGTTGGACAAATTCTCAGTAACTTTTACCAATCAGATTAAATAGTAAGCCTTGTTCATCTTTATGTTTCCAATTTGAAGCCCAATTCTCTGACCTCTCCTAGTTTTCTCCTTGTTCCTAATTCTTCCTCTTTCCCCTCAGCCCCCCATCACTCCATACTTCTGGCCGTCATGTCTACTGTTGCTCTTGTTGCATCACCCAGGGAATAAAATTGCAGATTCTCTAACTTTGTAGATTTATTTAAAATATGTGTGCAAATTTTTTCTGTCCTAAATGACGAGCCTAGCTCAATGTTAATTAGAATAAAATTGTGTGATAACCTGGGCTATAATGTTTCTGATTAACAGAGTGTCTTGTTTAATTTTACTTTTATTAAGTAGTTCAGTTGACAACGCACTGTCAGAAAGGATTTGGATGCTGTAATTTCTGCAGCTCATGCTGTTTTGTGCTGGAACACTGTCACATTGACTTTTCTAAGCACTTTGCCTTCACCAGCTGCTTCTTCCCTTTCCTTTACCCCACACAGGGCCCTAAAACCAACCCTGCCAACATGGTGTTTTGTGGAGATCAAAGCATTCAATATTTATGGAATTTATAATGCACTTCAAGTGAACAAAGATGAGGTGATGTCTGAATTGTGCATTCAGATCACTGACCAGCCAGTGTGGGATTGTGTAGTATATCATTGTGCAGTATATCTTGTGCTAATGGAAATATTTTAAGGCTATAAAGATAACTGGATTTTTCCATTAACTGAATAAAAGTTTGTGCTTTTTTCATACTTTTTCTCATTATTTGCAACTTTTAACCATATTTTCATGGACTTGTTCTATCCTTTCAGTTGTTTTTCTTTCCAGTGCAGGGGTTGCATGGGAAAATTGTAGGTTTGTTCACCTGAGCTGACTTTTGATCAAAATGCTGGTTTGGCCATTTAGCCATTTGGCCGCCTGGTTTGAGATCCAGGTGATGAAAGCTGAAGGAATATGACTTACAGTGACTGCACCTTCTGGGAATGTCCCATGGCTCTTTGTGTTAATTATAGATAATGATCTAATTTTCTTCTCCACATAGGTTGATGGTATTCTGAAAGCTGTGCTGCGAGATGAAATAATTGCTTGGCACAAGAAGACTCAGGAGGACACCTCCTCACCGCTCTCGGCAGCCGGCCAGCCCGAAAACATGGACAGCCAACAGCTGGTCTCTCTGGTTCAGAAAGCGGTAACCGCAATCATGACTCGACTGCATAATCTTGCCCAATTTGAAGGCGGGGAGAGCAAAGTCAACACACTAGTAGCAGCAGCCAACAGCCTTGACAATCTCTGTCGAATGGATCCTGCGTGGCACCCATGGCTTTGAAGCAAACCTCAAACCATACTTAGGGTAGATCAGCAGAGACTTTGCTATGTATATTTATGATTACAGCTTGATCAATTTGGGATTCTGTAAATTTTTATTGGACTCTAGAGTAGTCTCCGTTTTCTGAAAGTTGTTTTCGTCTCTCCTCCGTTGGATCACGAGTGGCTTCTTGTTTTAGATGAAATGATTGATTAAAACCCTTCTGGGGGATACATGAAAACAGCAATTATATCTCCGGTAGCACCGTAAACACAAGTAATATTACTGATTTAAAAATTTAGCTTGTTGCTTACAGTGTACACGACACAGAGTATAAATGGCCTTTGGGAGCCCTCTTCATCTAAGGTTGTTTTGTTGCAAAACCATCAACCATTTGATCAGAGTAATTAGTGCTTCATCAAAAACAAAAGTGAGAGCAGTTTTTTCGGTGTGGAAGAAATGGGCTGCTGGAAATTCTAAAACAACAGCGAAACATTGGAAGTAGGATTATACTCAGACATTCCTAATTAGTTACTACACCTTGCATTTTAATTGGATACAGTATGCTGGGCCTCTGAGTAATTCCCATTTTCACATTTGTAAGGATATAGCGTATATTGCTGTTAAAAATAAAATCTTTGTACTTTTTCATATGACGTGTGAAAGTCACTACTTCAAGTAAGGAAGAATCCTTTGTTAATGTCTGAAACTCATACCAGTGACATTATAGTATTGACTTGGAAAGGAATCTAAAGACTGACTGGATGTACAAACTGATTTAATTTTGTTAAGTTCGGAAAAGGGAATTGTCATGGATATATAAGGAACCGTTCTGCCTCCTGTTAAATCTACTAACCAAATTGCTGGTTAATGTAAAGTGTAAAGCTGAAGGCTATGTAAAACTGAATTGTATTTTATCCTGTTTGCTCCCTGTCCTAATTGAGACTTATGGTGGGAGCTTTGTTGATGAGTGTTTGGAGAGAGAAAAAATTTGCATCTTTTCAAAGAAGACATGTTTTTACTGATACAAGTCAGTTTAGTCTTGTACATCTTAGTAAAAACTATAACTTGATACTAGTTTTTGTAATTTATGAACCTTTCATTTATACTTTTTAAAAAAGCAATACTGAGTACTTTGCTGAGAGAATTACTTTGGGATTGTTCCGTCATGTTTGAAAAAAATTAGATTTTGTACAGATGTGTTTACAAAATAAACACTTTTGTAATAAATAACCTTGACGATCATGCATTTGTTTATTCCTGGAGGTTACTGAGCTTAGACCAATTCAAACTTGCAAGTCAATTTCATTGTTATTTTGAACATAGAACTGTGTAATGCATATTACTGCAGCTCATATCCCGTGTATATCCCGTGAAGTGCTTCTAGACATCCACTTTACATGAAAGGCGCTGTGTAAATGCAAGGACCATTATTAATGCCAAGGTCAACTCTGCCCCTCTTTTCTCTGAGGGTAGGCACTCTCTGGTACCAGCAAACAAAAACTTGTGGAACTGGAAACTCAGGTATGATGAGGGGTTTCCTTCTGGATAACCTGCCCCTCGAAAAAAAAAACCTAATATGTCGTATCGAATCTAAACACGGAACCTCAGGTATGGATGTGTGATTTAAGGAACAATTTTGCTATACACCCTGCATCTTCCACTATGTACGAAGACAATCGTAACTCAATTAATCTTCTATTGGAAATATGGTAGATGAGCTCAACCTCTCTCAGTCCAGTAGTGTAGTCATTTCTGAATGGGATTTATTGCAGCATTTCTGGTGAATTCACTGGTTTCTGGTGCATTGGCATAAAAATTACTTGGGCTAAAGAACTGAAAGTGTGGGCACTCGGGCGTTTGAAATCCCTTTTCAGAAGGAAGCCTGGCTTATTGGGTTTAAAACAGTTACAGAAAATGCACGTCTTCTGTGTAAATGGCTGAATTGTGCCTTTTTCCTCTACAGTGATGCAATGTCAGGAACTATTTCATAGAATCATAGAATCGTACAGCACAAAAAGAGGCCATTCGGCCCATTGAGCCTGTGCCGGCTCTTTGAAAAGAGCAATGTAATGTCAATCCCACTCCCCAGCCCTTTCCCGATTACACTGCAGACCCATCCTCCTCAAGTACCTGTCCACCACTTTTTTAAAAGTAGTTATCGAATCGGCCTCCACCGCCCTTTTTGACCTCAATTAAATTGTTTACTCAATTATAGCTTCTTAACCCATCTTTCTAGCTCCTGAATTGCATGTTCCTCCAATGCCTACAATTAATTAGCTTTTGCTTTTTGAATATCAATCAGATTTTATCCCACATTATAGGTGTGTTTTCCTGTTGACACAGGCTGGCCTAAAAACGGTTGTCATCACCACTATCCTTAAAAAAACCTTCCCTGGACCGATCCCTGCTCACTAACTCCCGTCCCATCTCCAACCTCCCTTTCCTTTCCAAGATCCTTGAAAGAATTGTTGCTTCCCAGCTTCGCTCCTTGCTCCTGCCACTCCCTTTACAAACCCCTCCAATCAGGTTTCCGTGCTGCCCCACAGCGCAGCAACAGTCCTGGTCAAGGTGACAAATGACATTCTGACATTCGTCCTGCTTGACTTCTCTGCTTACTTAGACACTGTAGACCACTCTATCTATCCTCCACCACCGCCTCTCCTCTCCTTTAACCATCAAGGTTCTGTCCTTGAATGGTTCAGATCCTATCCCTCACACCGGCTCCACTTTATCTCCACAAATGGTTTCTCCGCCAGCCCCCGCACTATCCTGGGCGATGTTCCTCAGGAGCCTGTCCTTGGTCTTCTCCTCTTCATCTTGTACATGCTCCCTCTTGGTGCCATCATTCTACTCTCTGCCTCCACCCTCGACCGCAGGACCACTGATGTCCTGACAAACTTTCTGTCAGACATCAAGTCCTGGATGAGAGCCCACTTTCTACAGTTGAATGTCAGCAAGACCGAGGCTCTCCTAATTGGCTCTGCCAGCGTCTCCACACTTCAGGCACTGGCAGCATCAGCATCCACGGATGTACAATCCATCTCAATCAGTCAGGAACCTGGGCATCTTATTCGACCCTCAACTGTCCTTTCTCCCCCCACATCCGTGCCATGACCTGCTCTGCCTTGCCCCACCTCAGCAACATTGCCCCACTCCACCACTGCCTCACTCCTCAGGCCGCTGAAACCCTCATATATGCCTTAATTACAAACAGGCTTGACTATCCAATGCCCTGCTTATTGGCCTTCCCAACTCTTCCCTCCACAAGCTACAGATCATCCAGAACTCTGCGGCTGGTGTCCTCTCCTGCGCCTGGCTCCGTGACCCCATCACACCCACCCTCGCCTGGCTCCACTGGCTCCCCACCCCTCAGAGGATCGAGTTCAAAATTCTCGTCCTCACCTTCAAGGCCCTCCACAGCCTTGCCCCCTCCTACCTTTCCAACCTGGTAACCCCTTTGCAAATCTTTGTCTCTCTGTCCTTCAAGGCCAGCTATGATATGGTCATGCAACTGCCTGCCAACACCCGCATTTCAAAGCAGAGCTTCATCTGAGTACTTCAGACTTAATAAACTTCAAAAAACGATCCCCGAGCCTTTGAAGCATCCCAGTGTGTCAGAGCACGTCACAAGTTCCAGCGATCAGCTTCAGTACTGAGAATGTATTGAACAATGAGAACATTCAGAAATGTTCCTCACCAGGGGTCGTGGTTAATTGACAGCATTGCTTATAAATTGCTGACTTAATATCAAGCAAATGACAAACTAAAATGGGCTCTAACTGAAGCCAGCAGTTGATTGTAAAGACTCTAAATGAAACGATTTATCTTTTTTTTTCGCCTGGTGAATGTGGTTTGTATCTAGGAATGAGGACATATAACAGACCACTGTAAATCCTAAGGCCATTGTTGATGGTTGACCAGCTCTTCAATGAAAATTGGAATTCAACTCAAGCGCCCTGTGTGCCAAAGCCCTGGTGTGCCGGACGGTCCTAGATTGACAACCAATGGGCTTGCAAAATTATTCTTGCACTGGCGGGCTGTGTGGTTTTAACTGACTGAACTCCAGTAGGACCCCCAATGCACACTCCGGATTCCTAAAACTTGGTTCGTACCAACCTGTGCCTCATCTTTCCAGGTTGAGTCTCTGGGGAGAGCGTGTGCACGCACTCTGTCATTGAAAACCATACGCGTTGGAACTCGCAGTAGTTTGGTTGGGATGTACTTGGGCGAGGCGATGGGTTTCCACCTGGCTGACCAAAACAAAATGGAGAAAAGATGTGAAAAATACTGGGACAGACCCTTGTGGCCTTGCTCAGTGCTATTTCATGGCATTGAGAATATCCAGTTTTCCGAATAATGATTTGCCTTTAGATAGAATCCGACGTATTTATCGAGGTTGCGATCGCCGGTGGAAGGAACGCATATGAGCGAAAGCTGTCCTGAAAACAAACTCTGTGTAAAACATGTTTGGCTTTCTTACTGAGTGATCTCTGTTGATTTGAGATGCCGCAATATTAGCTTGACACCAGCAGCATTGAGAGACCAGTGTAGACGCTGCCTATCCCAGGTCATCAAGCTGGCAGAAGAGACAAAGTTTACAGAATGATGCACCACCGGGGTGATTGAATTGTCTGTCATGCAGGAAAAAAAGAGGTTAGATATGCAGTAAACAGCTGAGAAGCAGCACCCCACAGGTACGACAATGAGGTGACTGTTGTAGCAGCGATAGAACAATATCAGTATCTGTGTGTGTGTGTAACTTGAAACAATAAATTATCAAAGGCAACATAGAGAGCCACTTTTGTAACAAAAGAATTCCGTTTACAAACGCCAACATACCAAAGATTATTCAGTGGCAAAACATTCTTCTGTTTCAATTCACTGAGCGATTGTATGCGGTGAAATAGAACGTATTGGGTGTGTCTGTATCTTTAAGAGCCTTTTTTTAAAAAATATTTTTGTGATTCATGAATGTTCACAGTGAAGTTTGGGTCAGCACCCTCTGCTATAAACAACATCCTCCACTATAATCAGCATCCTCCGCTATAAACAGCACCCTCCACAACAACAGTAACCTCCACAACAAACAGCACCCTCCGCAACAAACAGCACCCTCAGCAGCAAACAGCACCCTCCGCTATAACCAGCACCCTCAGCAGCAAACAGCAACCTCCACAACAAACAGCACCCTCAGCAGCAAACAGCACCCTCCGCTATCAACAGCACCCTCCGCTATAACCAGCACCCTCTGCCAAAGAACCGCAAAAACCGTGGAGTCCTGTAGCTCGGTGGGTAGAGCACTCACTTTGCAAGCGAGAGACCTGAGTTCAATTCCAGGCAGAGGGCGAAACCTTGGACAAGTTTCCTTACTCCACACAGAGCCTAATAATAATCCCTCCAAAACCCAAAACAATAATTAATTTGGTCATTTTCAATCCACGACTGTTTGTGGGACATTGCTGTGCGCAATTGGCTGCCGCGTTCGCCCACAAATATACAGTCAATTCACTTTACAGTGTGTTCTGTGAAGCGCTTTGGGACGTCCTCCCGATGTGAAAAGCGCTATATCAAATGCAAGGATTATTATTATTATTATTAAAACAATTACAGTTCTGGCCATAGGCCTCTGACGGCTGTTTAACCGACATTGCTGTGTGCGAGGCGGCTAGAATTAGTGCTGCCGACAGACCTGCGAGAGACCAGGTACGAATACTTGAGCCCTCAACACAGGGCTGGCAATGGTGCTGATGCGGACCTGGGAGGAACGACCCCCCCCACCCAAATGTTGGCTAAGCGAAAAGCGGCCCCGGCAGAAGCAGCGGCTGTGGTCAAAATCTCAGTAATAAAACTCTTCGCTCTGCGCTAACTGCCAAGTATGTGGTTCCTTATCACAGCTGTTTCAGAGGGCCACAGATTACCTTCTCTGCCCAAAGTCCCATAATATATTCCTTAAGAGATCCCTTTGTGGCGTCTATGTGGGAAGTGGGACAGGAGGAGGGGTAGGGATGATGGAGCGTATAGTTCAAGGCAACAGACGTCTCACAAAACTGAGCCTGAAAGCACTTTGGAAGGAGTAACAAATCTTTCTTTTACTCCCTCTCTCAGCCTCTAAGAAATGAGAGTACGATGCCTCTTACTATCTCCCCTCTTTCTCTCTCTCTCTCTCTCTGTGTGTAGTGCTGCCGTTTGACTTCCCGGCACCTCTCTAGTCTCAATTACCCGCTGTGTGTTTGGTGCT